GTTCTATCTATACTACCTGTGAAGTAAAAACCGACGATGAATAACAAGACTAAGAGTAGCTCCGTGTTCAATCCGTATCTACTATCTCTCATTTTTTTTTTCAATGCTGATTTCGGTTTGAGCTTCACTTAGATTTACAATTAAACAGAAACAGTCGCAAACTTTCTTTGAGATTTTTTATTTTCTAGCAATTTACAAAAGCAATCAATTGCAACCATTTTTTTGGTTTTTGATTTTTGGGAAGCAAGCAATTTGTAAATAATTATCCTCTAAAGGAATCTCTTAGTCCATAGACAAGGTCTATATGCTATATCGAGATAAATTATTATTGCTGGGAAAGAATAATCCAATTGCTCCGTCAATTGCTATATTGATATGCGAAGTTGTTTGTAAGACTGATTGATTGATAAGTAAATTCTTTCAAGGGTAAACTTCTACAAAAGGATTCGAGTTTAATGGAGTTTTACTTAAGAAGTATAAGACTTATATAGAGAAATTGCTATTATGGCTAAACCTCCTTACCCAGACAATCCCCTGGGTAATGACTTTCCGCGAAATAATGATATCTCGGATTCCTTCCAACAATTATTTGTCAATTGGAATAATGAGACTTTCCCTCCAAAACATATGAAGTATAATGAAAGGCTATATTTTCGCATCCTCGATAGATACCCCTCTGTGTTGTTTATCTTTGACTTGAAAGGACTGACACATTAATAAATGTCACAAATTTACACGGTAAAGAATTGCGCTAAAAGGTTCAACTGATTTTGTATATTCTTATAAATATTGTATATTTATATAGCCATTTCCAGTTTATTCTTATGTTTTTGGATATCTTCACATGTTTCTTTACTGTAAACGAACTGTTGTGGATAGAGAAAATGGAAAGTTTGTTAAAATTATTTGGGGCAAATGAAACTTGACCCCACCCCCGATTACCCCTTAAAAATAATTATGTTTTCTTTAATTTCATTGGTACATATGGGTTTTAATAAAGATATATTGAATAGAAACCTTCGAGAAGGGGATAGTACTTGACTCCGTACTAAACATTAACCGGTCTAACATTCTAATGTGGGTTTGTAGAACTATTCATCCCGCCTTACATTCATTTCTATTCCATTCCTATTGTTCATTTGGTAGAATATTTTATTTCCAAGAAAAAAACGGTATAATTTCATCTTTCGTATCTGCCACCCTCTTTTATTCGCCATCCTCTTATTATAGCAGACTTACATTTTCGTGACACATGGGACAGGGACACTATTCTATAAATAGTCAGTAGTTTTCAGTTATGCCCAAAACATGTAGTGTAATTAGAAGTCTCAACCTAAGCAATGAAGACTATCTTATTTTGTTTGTTGATTTGGTCCCAAATCACTGCCTCGGAAATAGTTAAAACATTCACCTTAAGAGCCACAGGTGAGGGAATTACTGGCTTTTACTATGTCGGTTCACTAAACGAGAAGTTATTTGGAGATAAGGATGCCCTTCCTGTTGTATTATATTTACATGACACAGGGGAAATTGAAAATGTTTCAGGAGAATTCTTAAAACAAGGTCCATTCGCCATCTTGGAAACTGAAGCCGTTGAGGACAGAGGATGGTGGTTCGAAACTGTTGAAGATCATGAACTTTTAACCCATGATGGAACTTCGAGATTTTATTTTGGTACTGATGAACATTATCAAATGTATCGTAGTTTTACTCTAACAAGGTATGCATTTACATTCCCAGTAAAATTAGAAATTCATAATGCTGATACTCATCCAGGTCAAGATTCTTCTAGCAGCTCAAAATCAAGTACTGATATTATTAGTTCACGTGTAAGCGATGTAGATTCTGGTGTCTCCAGTAGCATTATTATTGATGATGATCCAAGCGCTGTTGATGGTAAATCAAGCGACACTGTTGTCGATGGGAATGCAACACCCATTGATGAACCTGATGAACCAACCGACATTGATGATCCTGATAACCCAAGTGATACTGCTGGAGATGTCCCAGTTGTGGGAGAAACCCCAATAGCAGGTGAAGATGATAATGTTCCACCACAAAATGATCAAGTAAACACCCAACCTGATGGTCAAACCATTGGAACTGCTCCACCTACAAATACTGATGGAGCTACTACTCCTACTACTCTCATAGCAACAGGAGAAACACATCCAGATGAAGGACCAGATGGACAAGTGCAACCCACAGGAACGGGTCAAGGAGGGGCAACAACTGCTGTGATTACAACCTTGGTAAATAATGCTGCTAAGATGGAATTAATTGGTATGACTGGATTAGTTATTCTTATTGGGGGTTTAATTTTATAGTCATATATAGGTTAAGGTAATTTTTTATTTATATTAAGACATAATATCAATAGTTCGATTTGATTTTTATAAAGATTGTAGGTTTAGTTGTGAATATCCAAATTGGCTGCAAAAAAAAGATCGTCTGCGTTTCACTCTCAGAAATTGTCTCTTCCGTTTTGCCTTTTTTGGTAAAAAATTTGCTTTATCAGGCGTTGTCTATAGAAGCTAATCAAAGTTAAATAAGTGCCTGCAAAATATGCCAGTAGATTCAAGCATTAAACGGTAGAATCCTGGACTTTCCAATAAAAATTCCGTCCATTTGAAACTACATATAAAAATTCGAAACAAAAAAAAATTATAATTTATAGTTTAACTTTCTTCCTTCTAAAGCGGCAACAACCTAATCTTACAAAAAGGAAACGAATAAACAAGATTAAATCTTTAACTATTGATAGATATTCAGATAAGAACTCAAAGATGGATTTGGCAAAAAATAACGACAACTGCAGGACTCGAACCTGCGCGGGCAAAGCCCAAAAGATTTCTAATCTTTCTCCTTAACCACTCGGACAAGTTGCCTATTTCCGAGTTTTGGAAAATTCCACTTTATTAAGTAATGGAATTTTGTTCACATTTCTGATTAACTTAATCGTGATAATGCATTCTCCATTGAATAAAACATTTACATAAGAGTATGATGTTGATATTTGAGTGATTGAGATTATTAATTATGGATTTGGTGGAAAAATAATCATTTTTGAGGAATAATTTGAACTTTAAAAATTTTCGCAACAATTCAATCCATAAAACTATGCAGGAAGAATAAGATACAAGTTTTTATGAAGGTAATGATTCGCGATAACATCTTTTCTTCCTTTTTAACTTCGAGGAAGCACAACATGACAATATTACAGCCTTGTCTTCATGGGTAATCATCTTAGCGATTGGCAAGTTTGTCTTCAACCAATTGCGGAGGAATCGCTTTCGAAACACGGAGCATCACCTTCAATTTCCTCCATGAACACATTCAAAATATATTTGAAATTGATTAGAACAAACATTCGATTAGTGTTACACTTTGCAAATATTTGAAAAGCTTAGTATTGAACATTTTGGTTTGGTTATAAAAAAGAATTCCATATGTAAAAAAAGAAGAAAAACCAAATCGAATAAACCAAAGTTTCTATAAAGACTCCCACGACACCCAAGTATAAAGATTTTTGTCGATTAATCTCAGTCAATAAATATAAGCTCGGAAAGGGAAGTTTGATATTTGGATGCTTTATTGTTTGCTGTCCGATCGATTCTTAAATTTTGCAACTGTTTTATTTTTTTGTTGCAACAGAAATTTTTTCGTCTCCCACCCTGCGATGTGCGATGTGCGATGAGTGAAAAAAAAAAATTCAATTTTAATCTCATCTACAGCTACTACTGCCAGACATATCTATCATTAGTATATACTTAGAAATAATGCAACTCGCAGTCCGTCAAGAAGATGCTGACATCTTACTTAAACAAAAGAACGTTTTAGATGAAGCAATAATCGAGAAATATAGAGTAGCTGGTCAAATCACTCAAACTGGTCTTACATACATAACATCATTAATTAATAATTCATATCATTTATCTTCCACCAAATTAACCATTCAACACTTATGTCTTTTAACCGATTCATTTTTAACCAAATTATTATCTCGTCAATATGCTAATCTCGTTAATGAGAAAGGTATTGCTCATCCAACTACCATTAATGTAAATGAATTAATTAATGGATTTGCTCCAGAAGTAGATGATGAAAGATCATTTACTTTTAATGAAGGTGACGTTGTAACTATCAGTTTAGGTGTCCATATTGATGGATACACTTCTCAAGTCAGTCATACCATGGTTATATACCCACCATCCCCAGAATTAAAACCAACTGGTCCATTATTAGGTTCAAATGCCGATGCCATCGTTGCATGTCATATTGCTGTTGAAACTATGGTTGCATTATTGGGTACTTCCCTCTCTCCAGAAAAATTACCTGCTAATTTAAAGAATCAATCAGGTACTATTACTGGTCAACAAATCCGTACCTTAGTTGATGCTATTGCTGAATCATTCAATTGTATTGTTATTCCTGGATCTAAGATAAGAAGAGTTAGAAGATTCCTTGCGGGTCAAGCTGAAGGGATTGTTGCTGAGCGTGACTTTAAGGGTGTTGTTTGGGATGAATCTCATCAAGAAACTCGTTTATTGAAACAAGCTACTACTTCTACTGAATTGGTTTTACAAGATGGTAATAAGAAAGCATCACAAACTAATAATTCTAGTGCTGTTCCAACTGATGAATTCGTGGTATTGCCTGGAGAAGTTTATCAAATTGATATTCGTATGGTTGGATTACAATCTCTTAATGAAGTTGGGATTGTTACTACTGAAGAAATTGATCATTTTACTGGTAAGAACCATAAACAAGAATTTAATTGTAAGAGTTCAATTTTCATTCGTGATTTTGCTATCACTCATCAATTAAAATTAAAAACTGCTAGAAAATTATTATCTGATATTGATCATGAATTTTCAGTTTATCCATTTAAATTAGATTATGTTGGTAAGAATTTCCCAATTAATTTAGAATCTAATGATGAAGAAATTCGTCAACAAATAGATGCCATTACTAAGGATATGAAATCTCATAGATTAGGTGCTGCAGAATTATCAAATCGTCATTTAATTAAAGCTAAACCAGTTCAAATTACTAAATTCATTCCGTTGGAACAAATATTATTAACTGCAAATCCAACAGGTAAACATGGTATTGATGCTGCTAAACCAGTTTTACCAGGTATGGAAATTCCATTACCAAAATTAGGTATTTCATCATTAAAATTGAAATCATTATTAAAACATGGTAAGAATATAAGTAATGTTAGAGAATCAACTACTGTTATAATAAATGAAGGTAATCAAGAAGTTATTAGATTAACTGGTGGTGAAAAGACAGGTAGACCAAGTTGGACTCATTCTCAATATAAATTACAAGGTGAATTGAAAGATACTATTGAATATTTGGTTCAATTAACTAAAGATAAAAGATTTGGTATTAAAGTTAAAGAAATTAGTCCTTATAAAACTAAGCAAAATAATATGGCAGTTGAATCTATGCAATTAGATTAGATCAGCATTTGGATTGTTTAGTAGTTTTTTCATAGTTTGTATAATATTTAGTTTATGTATGTTCTTATAATAGAAGAAGATAAAACAGCAAGTACATACAATCTGAAGGCGGAAGTAGTCCCTTGGCAACCAGATAAGAAAAATCCGGGCAAAGAGACGCAACCGTAACTCAGCCGACGCGTTCAGATAACTACTCATACACCCTTTCTCAATATGAATCTAGCAGTTCATGTTGAGATGTGGTCGCCATATTAGAAGCCATAGATTGAGTTTACTAATTTCGAATTCAAGGGACGAGTTCTATATTTAGAATTGGATGTTGACTGTGTTAAAATACGGTAAATTGTCTAAAATTTAAGAACCGGAGCGCTACCACCGTGCATAATTAGGGCGTCCGAATCAATTAATTAATCGTAACAAAACATAGGAGTCAACTGTATCTATGGGTTTTTACTGTTGTAGAACTTACAAACCAGTCAGATTCGATCTAACCTTGTACACTGAGACAAAACAACATGTAAATTGACGCGTAACGATGTAACTACAAAACATCTGACGTAAATCAGAATCGTAATATCATAAAAGCTAACGTTTTTTTCAACTAAGGCGGATTGTTTATACACAAGTATTTGTGTGAAATGCCCGTTGCCTAACAAATCATGCAAGGTTGAGATCATCATTACGTAATTGTGAATTTTGTTTTTCAACCAGCTTTGTTACAGGTTAGCTGAAAAAAATATTCTTATAACCGAAAATGTAAAACCGCGTCCAATTGAAGCCTACATATATTCCTTCGTAAAACTAACAAATGAATGCTAATCGGGAAGTGATATTTACAGAGAAATTGAACGTTCCTAATTATAAGCCTATATAATTCTCAGGTGATTTCGGGATTGTTCTTGAGACAATATTTTGATTGATTAACTTTCCATGACAGCCATGTAAACTGTAAAATCTCACCGAGGGTGAACCATGAATTTACAGATTAGCGTAAATATTTTTTCTTGTGGTAAATACACTACCTTGAGTTTTGGTAAGAGATACAGAGACAGAAAGAAAAGAGAGACATTTGAGAGAAGCTTCTATAATTAAAAATACTCTATTTCACTCACAGTCGAAAAAAACAAGGGCGAACAAAACTAAAATTTCAGACTCCAAAAAAAAAAAAGGGAAAACTTTTTTAATTCCAATCTGTCTCTCTCTCTCTTTCTCTTTCTTTCTCTCTTTTAGATCCCCCCTCCAACTAAACAAAAAGAAGAATTAAACGTATGTAAACAATTTATTAACAATGATATACTTAATGTTTATCAATTGATTATAATGATGAATTGGATTCTTGTTATATAATTTAATTGTTTGTAATTGAATAAGTAGACATTTTTTTTATGGGTTGATTTATCAGGATGTTGTCAAAAAAACAATTTGTTGAATAGAAGGAATTGTTACTACAGATATCAATTGAATGAAGTGATGGATGAATTGATATCAATTACTACTACTATCTACTACTACTACTATCTACAAGAATTAAAAATGTTGATTAAGTGAAACTCACTATACTTAAAGTGTGGGTAATTTTTGATTGTTGTTTATATTTTGTGTTGTCAAAAGACAAAAGTTTTTTTTTTGGTTCGGATTTTCTTCCCCCTGTGTTTTACTTTGCCCATTCACACACACAAAAAAGTGGGAGACTGTGAGACAGTGAAAGAGAACGAGAAAGAAAAAAATGACTTTTGCTGCTCACTTTGAATTTTTACAGGAGATTTTTTTTTTCTCAAAGGGGATTTTGACGACAACAAAGGAATTTTCCAATTTCATTCCAATTCTTTTCTAACTATTTGAGTTCTTTTTAGAATATACACATCCATTATCCAAATTTCCAAGGAAGCGTCAATTGAAATACATCAGTATGTTTGTTTTCAATAAGAGAAGAAATCATCAACATATGATTTACTGAAAATTTCAGCCACATGTTTATTTTTGCCATTCAAGTCAAACAAAACACGATATATTTCAAAAACAAAAGATAACAAGATCCAGTAAAATCATTCAATGCCATTCAATCGATCCCATATACTAACATTTAATTCTAGCTATTTTTTTTTGATTCATCAAAGTAAACCAATCATTCCAATACTAAGTTTATTTTGTATCCGTTTAAATTAGTTTTTTAAAGTCTCTTTGTTCATCCAAATTAACAAATCCCACAAATATTGAATAATTAACAATGCCTTCTCGTGAAGATTCCGTCTACCTTGCCAAATTGGCTGAACAAGCTGAACGTTATGAAGAAATGGTTGAAAACATGAAAGCTGTTGCTTCATCTGGTCAAGAATTATCTGTTGAAGAACGTAATTTATTATCTGTTGCTTACAAGAATGTCATTGGTGCTCGTCGTGCTTCTTGGAGAATTGTATCATCTATTGAACAAAAAGAAGAATCTAAAGGTAATGATACTCAAGTTGCTTTAATTAGAGAATATCGTTCCAAGATTGAAGCTGAATTATCAAAAATTTGTGAAGATATTTTATCTGTTTTATCTGATCATTTAATTTCATCTGCTCAAACTGGTGAATCCAAGGTCTTTTATTATAAAATGAAGGGTGATTACCATAGATATTTAGCTGAATTTGCTGTTTCAGAAAAACGTAAAGAAGCTGCTGATTTATCATTAGAAGCTTATAAATCAGCTTCCGATGTTGCTGTTACTGAGTTACCACCAACTCATCCAATTAGATTAGGTTTAGCATTAAACTTCTCCGTTTTCTATTATGAAATTTTGAATTCCCCAGATAGAGCTTGTCATTTAGCTAAACAAGCATTTGATGATGCTGTTGCTGACTTAGAAACCTTATCCGAAGATTCATACAAGGATTCCACTTTAATCATGCAATTGTTGAGAGATAACTTAACTTTATGGACTGATTTATCTGAAGCTCCAGCTGCTGCTGAAGAACAGCAACCAGCTCAACAATCAGCAGAAGCTAAAGATGAGGAATAGATGTATGTATTAAAAAATAAAGCTTTAGTTATAATTTCTTTGTTGGGAATTTAATCTTAAGTATTTTGTTATTATAATTCGTTTTTTGTTTTGACAAGTTTGTTAATTACTCCCCTTTTTTTTATTATTTACTATTATTATTATTGTCTTATATTACATATTAGTTGTTTGTTTCATTTCCCAGTCCTTTTTTTTATTATTATAATTATAATTATTGTTGATTATCAATTTAAAGAGAATGTTAATATTATTAGAAAAATAAAAATGTGAGAGCTGCTGTTTATACTGTCTGGTATTATCACATCAATCCATCCATCCATAAAGAAAGAAGCACACTATCAGATTGAAGGTTTAAAGTTTTTCCATTTTTATCGGTCTTTTGTTGGTGGTGGTGTCGGTGAGTCAAATTATAGAAATATAATTACAAGGGAATCATCTAATTGATTCTCAATTTGACTTGTTTTGGTGTTTTGTTTTTTTATTGTTGTTTTCATCTCTTCCCTTTACATATCTCTCTCCCTCTATATTTTTACATAGTTACCTACATACATCAATTCATAAACTTATCTTATTAAACAGCAGTATTGCAAATACGCGTTTAGGTGGTTTGTTAAGTTATACACGACCTTTTTTTTCAATTTACCACACTCGTGTAAAAAAACAACAACCCAAAAAATATTACCTCTAAAAAAAAGGCAATCAAATTGAACAAACCGAAAAAAAACTTAAATTACAACACAACTCAATTTACTTCAACAACAAACAACAACCAACAACAACAACAATTCAATAGAAAATGCCTGAACCAGTTGGTGTATCAAGTTTACCAGATCAAAGGTATGTAACCACTACTTTTTTCAATAAGCTAAATAAGAATAATTAAATTGACTTTGAATCAATCCATACTATAACCTTAGAGATCAAAGGTAAATTTGTTGTCAAATTTTTATGCTTATTTTTTTTGTTATTATTGATTAATTAACCAACAAATTGTAAATACTAACTGCAATATAATACTATAGATATAAGATTGTTTCCAATGAAGGTTCAACTTTCACAATTATGGTAGCTGGTGAAAGTGGATTGGGGAAAACCACATTTATCAATACTCTTTTCCATTCTTCATTAAAACCATACCAAGATCCAAATGAAAGACATAACAAATTTACATCAGCTCATCAAACAGTTGAAATTGGAATTGTAAGAGCTTTATTAGAAGAGAAAAACTTCAAGATCAGATTAAATATAATTGATACTCCAGGCTTTGGTAATAATGTAAATAATGTTGATTCATGGACTCCAATTATTGATTTTATTGATGATCAACATGAATCTTATATGAAACAAGAACGACAACCAATAAGAGAAAACAAAAAGGATTTAAGAGTTCACGCTTGTCTTTATTTCATTAGACCAACTGGTCATTCTTTAAAACCTTTAGATATTGAAATCATGAAAAAACTTTCAACAAGAGTTAATCTTATTCCAGTTATTGCAAAATCAGATACTTTATCTCCAAAAGAATTAGATACTTTTAAATCTAGAATTAGAGAAATCATTGAAGCTCAAGATATTGATATTTATACTCCACCTTTAGAATTAGATGACGCTGCTAGTGCTGATCACGCTAAACAATTGATTGAATCTATGCCATTTGCAATCATTGGTTCAGAGGAAGAAGTTGAAGTTGCTCCTGGTAAGTTAACAAGAGGAAGAAAATATCCTTGGGGTATAGTTGAAGTTGAAAATGAACAACACTGTGATTTTAAAAAATTAAGAAGCTTATTATTAAGAACAAATATGTTGGATTTAATTTTATCAACTAATGAAATTCATTATGAAACTTTTAGAGCTCTTAAATTAGGTTCTAATGAAGATGAAGATACAACTACAGAAAATAAAGAAGAATTAACTAATGAAAAGGGAGAAATTATAAAAAGACCTTCTCTTTCCAAAAAACCTAGAAGATTACATAATCCTAAATTTAAAGAAGAAGAAGATGCTCTTAAGAAATTCTTTACTGAACAAGTTAAATCAGAAGATCAAAGATTTAAACAATGGGAAACTAATATTATTAATGAAAGAAATAGATTGAATCAAGATTTAGAAGAAATGCAAGCAAAATTAAAGGCATTAGAAGAACAAGTTAAGAAATTACAATTAAGTAAGCGTTAAGGTGGTGCCTACCCTATATCCTTTATATTTACATTTTACTTCTTTTTCTCTCTATATATAACTATCAAATATTTTGATATTTACCTTATACGCGAAATTATATAAATTAAGTTCATTCTCACTTTCTTATGTCATACTATCAAATGACAGGAATATTTACAGTATGACGCAAGTTAATGTCCGTACTTTTTCTAGATGGTACCGCTACTACAAGTTGCTGAAAGAGCAACCTGGAGTACGTAGTTTGCTCATGTCTTATTATAGATTCAACCGGAACAAAAGGCCGCAGGAGAGATAACTACCGCGGTGTTTCTACAACTGGCAATTATCTTCCACAATTAGAGAGGTGCCAATTCAAAACTAACAAATAAAACATCCTGTACTACTTTTTAAGACAATATGTCTAACCAGTAATTCGATCTTAAAAATTACAAATTATTTTTAAATTGCTGTTTGAGTTATTTTTTGAATCGTAATCCTCATCCCTTTAGTCAGTCAGTCAAAAATAAAATATTAGCCACGGTTATGGACGGCAGCATCACCAAAAAAAAAAAACCTCCAAACGCCTCTTAAGAAGAACCCCTAACCAACAAGAAGAACTGATTACAAGTCATTGAGTTAATACTAACTGAGATTAGACACCTTAGTATTATCGTCTGCTATACTATAGAATATTCATACCTGATTTCGTATTTCAAAATATTCGTGTTTTGTGAAAATGAGTATAAATCCTCCCGGGTTCGGATATAACAACAACCAACAACAACAACAACATCATCTGAACACATACCCAGAATATGGTTCACCGGAAGAACAGCTGTCGCCAAACAAATCATTGCAACAAGCAAAATTCAAACGTAATTATCGTGCCTGTTTGAATTGTCGTGTTAGAAAAGTGAAATGTGATTTAGGTCCAGTAGATAATCCACGAGAAGGAAAATGTGCAAGATGTCTTAGAGAAAGGAAAGATTGTGTATTTGTAGAAAGTAAACGAGGTGGTGCTGGGAATGTCATAAATGGGAAACGTAAGAAGATGAAAGGTGATATAGAGGACCATCAAGAACTGGAATCTCCGGAAGCATCAATTCCGTTCATAACTTCCACCACGGGGCTGCTGCTGTTTGATACTAAACCTACAATCCCAAATATAAATAATGCCACTCCGATTCTGGGACAACAAAAACAACAACAGAAACTTCCTAGTGTCAATAGTATCCTCATACATGAGTCAAACTTGACTTCACCTATTGCTCCTTTACAATCACATCATCAACAACAACAAAGTGCATTATCACCTCTGGTTAGCTTAACATCATATGCCACCCCACCTCCACCAAAGTTACCAATTCCAACGAATCTACAAGGAGACACTCCTAACAAGCTTCCTAGTAACCATTTCTCTACCATGGAAGGGGCATTAGTATTTTTAGCAAAGGCTGCAGGAACCATCGCCAAGGCTGATGAGCGGGACCATATCGATGCGAGAAAGAAGCATGAACAAATAGAAGCTATTAGAAGTGCATCAAGCAGTGCTATGTCTAGTGCGAACAGTTTAAATCAACAACACCAACAACAAGACGAATCAGTTTCACCGGAAATGAACACTGAGCCAACTACAGCGACACGCCCTCCAAGTATTAGATCCAGGGTAGGTTCAGTAACTAGCCAGGCAACATCAGTTAGCCAGAGCCACGAACAAGACCAAACTGATGAGGGCCAACATCATCAGCACCACAGTCATCATCGTCACCATCATCATCATAATCGACATGGAGAGAGTTCGATCCCACCGTATGTAAGCCCCACAACTACCAAAAGAATGACGATCCCAGCTGCCGAAGGAGCAGCAGTTCGACCAAAAGCATCAAACAAACTCTCCAATATCGAATACATAGGTCCCGCCCCACATGGGATCTTAACCGATCAAGAAGCCGAAAGATTAATAAACCTCTTCTTCACAACCATGCATCCTTTTTTCCCTCATCTTCCTAAATTTCTCCATTCTTCAAAAGTATTAGCAGGATATCCCATATTATTATGTGCAATCTTAACAATTTCATCCCGATATCATCCATTTGAAAATAATGTGAGTACGTCTGGAAATGGGAGTGTTCCTCGAAATATTGAAGTTCATGATAGGTTATGGCTTTATGTTCAGCGATTAATTTCACAAACTGTCTGGGCGGAGGCTAGTACGAGATCAATTGGGACCATATTTGCGTTTTTGTTGTTTACGGAATGGAATCCGCGTGCTATACATTGGAGATGGTCAGATTATGCTAATAAAGCAGAAGAAGGCAATGAAATTGAAGGAGGAGCAGGTGTCGGTGGAGGGTCAAGTTCGGCGGGGTTTGCATTTGGCGCGAATGGAAGTGGAAATAGTTCAGCTGGGAGTGATAGTGAACCGAATCTTGCTGGTTTAGGGGCGATGAGGAGAAGTTATAGAATGGCGTGGATGTTGATTGGATCGGCGGTTAGGTTGGCTCAAGATATGGGTTTTATGGAGATTAGTTCAAAGACTTTTTTGGCTACTCATATTGCCGAGATTAATTCGGTGATGGATATTTCAAGAAGATCGATGTTGGCTCATTCTTTGGCCGAGGTGGATTTGGATGAGGATGAACTTACTGAAGAAGATGTGCAAGAGTTTGAAGAAATGGATGAGGATGCAAAGATTATGAAAATGACCGAGGAGGAATTGAAACGAATCTCTGCTCAACATATTCTAAAGTTTACCAAGAAACAAAAGGCACAAATTGAACTATTACAAATCATGTCATTAGGTCATGAATCATTGTATGGTTATAAGGCACAATTAGGACTGTTATCTCAAAGACAAAACTTATCCGTCTTAAATATTATCAGTCCTTTAATTAACAACTGGGGACATAAGTATAAATACTTTCTCATTCCTTCGAATTCAAGATTAGTTAAACAAGTTTCCAATCTCCAAAGTCATTGGTTAAAACCAGATTCCAAAGTCAGCAAAGAAGTCGCAGAATGTATCGAAAGAGAATCGTTTATCTTCGAATTCAATTATGTTAAGTTATATATTTATTCCCTTGCATTAAGTCCATCCCCAAAGGCACTTAGAGAACAACGTAAACGTAAACATGGAAATATTACCTTGAAATTGGATGAAATGTCCCGATCAGCGAAATATATCGAACAAGCATTTAATTCCGCTAATGAGATGTTGAATGCCGCTCATAGAGTTCATAGACTCAAGATGCTTAGATTCATGCCCGTGAGATGGTTGACTAGAATGGTTAGAGCTGTGGCATTTATTGTGAAGTGTTATTTAACTATTACTGCTCATAAAAATTTATCAAAATCAGGAGGAACTTCAGCACAGATTGATAATTATGATTCTACAATCTTGTCACTTTCATTAATCACAATTGATGATATAACACAATCTATTCAACGTGCTGCTATTACTTTGAGGGATTGTTCACCTGATGAATTACATTTGTGTACAAGATATTCAAATGTGTTGATGTATTTGTGTTCAGAAATGAAGACAAAAAAGAATAATCAATACGATGAAGATGCCGAGGTTGAAGACGATGCAGTGGGTGGTGGTGCCGTTGGTGATGGTGGTGAGAATCAACAGTACAAGCGACAAAAGATTGCTGCTGCTGCTCCTAGCACATCTCTTCTTACACATGCACCAAAACCAGTTTTACAACCAACTGCGAATACTTTGCCATTTCCACAGTCTCCATTAGACCCATTAGGTACTGGCTCTGGACAACGGGCCCCAGTATCAACGAGATCCATGGCTACTAATGAATCTATCTTAACAAACACAGAGTTGACTTATCCTATGGAACAATCACCTCAACAGCCAATGGATGCCTTTGCATATGGTCCTAGTAATTATTTGGGTGGCGGCAGTGGAGCTACTGCTGCTGCTTCGATGTCACAGAGTGAAAGTATGACACCTAATGATTCCAATACTCCATTGCAAAGTTTGATTGGTGATAGTGAGGTGATGGATTGGTTTATAAATAATCGTACTATTGGTCTTGATTTTGTTGGTCCATGGACAGAAATGATTGAACAACAATTAAATTCAAATGATCAATTTAATTTTGAAGATGCTCTTTAGTTTGAAAATAATAATAGTACATGTTGTATTAAGTTGTATAAGTTGTATAAAAAATTAAATATGTATGTATATATTGAAGTTGTATACTAATCATCCCAACCTTGTATTTGATTAATGAGGGATAAGTAAAAATTTCTTGATTCTTGATTTAAATGATTTTTAGTGTCATCAAAGAACGTATCAATCCCTTCAATAGTATTAGTGTAACGTTCAGGAAGATATGGGATTGCATCTCTAGCTTCGAATTGGTGTTGTTTCTTTTCGCTAGAGGCAGGTACAATACCTACAGGGGGGGAATAATAATCAATTTTTTCATCAATAACAATAGCATTTATGGTCACTGATAAATCCAACACAAATTGTAATTGTGATGATTGTAACATAGAATTAATATCATACAATTTCTGAAAACATGTTCTTGCCCCTATATTCCCCATTTCTGCCATATATTTAAGTAATGCAACCCCTCTATTTAATTGCGGATAACGTTTTCCGTTTATTCCAGCAATTAAAACCATTAAAATGGCAGTAAATAAATGTTGACTATCCCAATATCCTAATATAAATATCTTTTGACTAGTATATAACCGACATACAATATCTATTGTAGCGCAAGATGTGAATATTCCTTTTGATATTGTAGCTTCGACATCTTGAAAATTCTCAATAAATTGAGAAGCGGTTGGTTCTAAAATTAATGACAATAATGGTTTTGTGATTAAAGTTATCAAATAATGATATCTAAGAAATAAATTGGCAATACTTCTTGATCCACTTCGAAGATAATCTATATTTTTAAATTGAGTCAAAAGTGGATATTCAAAGTTTTTAGTTAAATCCTCTGAAGATGATGAAATATTTTTCAATAATAACTTTTGATTGAATTGATCAGTATTGATATAATTAATCAGAAATGTTCTAATATTAGGTCCATAAATCAATCGAACAAATTTTGCAACATATTTGGTTAAATGTACATTGATTTCTAAAATATTAGAATCAAAGGCATCACCTAAATCATAAACATTTTCTGTGGGTAAATCAACATCTGTATCAGTAAATTGAAAATGAACAGTTTTTGTAGCCCATATTGTATCAATTACGAATACAGTCCACCATAAGCGTTTTGCGCGTTCACCATGTACTCCAAGCATATGTTTTTCTTCAGGAGTCTTATTTAATGGAATATCTTTTTGACGATGGTAACCTTGGGCAACAGCAGCACGTGCAGCAACACCTAGATAGATATAGACCGTATTATATCTGGATAAGTTTGCCGAATATAGACCCAATAGCAAAGCGCATTGGATAAATGTGAGATCAACCTCGGAACTAGTTAACCGAAACAAATGTTCTGCTAATAAGTAATATTCCATTCCAGGATACTTATTCTCATCGGTTTTCACATTAAGCAACTGTTCACCAAAGGCAAGTAGAACAAAGAAGTAGCAAATCTGGGTTTGAGTAATAGATCGAGGTGATTGTTGAACATCGAATTGTGATTGGAGGGATTGTGGACGACCTTGTTGTTGACTTTGCAATCCATCAAATAAATCATATATATCATTTGCTAATTGTAAGAATTCTTTCACATCTAGCAAATAGAATTCTTGATTATAAGTAGAAAATACCTTATTAAGGAGGTTCAATGCATATGTCTTTTCTGGAAGTTTGCTTTGACATGCAAGTAATAAATTGTATTGTAAGCTATAATTATCAAATTCTGGAGAATAGAAATCAACTAGTTTAACACCATTCATAACATTATTGGAAATATTAATTTCAATTGGCGCAGCCATTGTGGTTGTTGAGCTTGTAGAAGTAGTTGCTACCGATCCCGTAATTGGATTTGCCATTGTAAGTGGTAGACCCTGTATCGATGACGACGTTCCTGTTCCCGAGGCGTTTAATAACGATTCCAAATATTCCACTCTTTCATGTAATTTGTTTAAATCAGATTCCATAATGACGATTTTTCGATCTTTTGTTGGATAGACGCATTGGTCTTGTTTATTAACACCTTTGCAATTTGCGCAAGCTGGTTTTTCACCAGAACACTTTATTTTTGATATTTTACATCTTGTACAAGCATAATGAGATCTTCCATAGACCTTCAATGGCTTTGGTTTCTGAACATTCCTTCCTCCCATGGTTTAATATACAATGCAAAATTGGTATGAATCCACAAGGAAAAAACCCTGAAAAAAATATATTGTTAATAATACACCGTTGAATTATAAATCAATATAATTGTGATTATATTTAGACGTTAAGGAGATTCTTAACGTTGATTTGGTAATTGATAATCTATGAAACTCAATCTATAAATTGAGGTTAGAAAGTTTTTCAATGGTTGCTTTTGAAAAAGAAAATTTGATTGATGATGCTAACTCTATTTTCAGTATATTTTGTCGGTAAATGTTTGCAATTCTCAAGTAAATAATTATATAATTAAACTAGGAAGAAAAAAAAACAATCAATCCCCAAAAAAAAAAGTAAAAATAATTTGTTAACGTAAATCCAAGAGATTTTGGATACTAAAATGGTTCCTATTTCTTATATATGTATTCCCGCTTACGTATACCCCAATTGGAAGATATATATCAAATCTTTTATCTGATGGTGGTGTTGGTGTGTAGGTTTGTAAAAAGTAAAAAAAAATTCCTTTGAGGCCCATGCAAATGGAAGAGGCTTATTGAATTTTCGCAGTTGGTAGGAAATTTTTTATGCATCCTACCGCGATAACTGAAATAAGCAAAATTAGCAACAATACCAAATAATTCTAAATTAGTTTTGATACATACTTGACTCGTCAATGGCAATTGTCTTTAGTTGACTTTCGCTAGTTTTCGTTCTTTTTAGATTCTTTTAAACTAAAAAAAAGGGGATTGAAAAGTCCTTTACAAAAAAGTGTTGATGATAAATTTTTGAAAAGAGAAACAAAAAACGACAAAAATTTTTTATGCATAATACAATACAACACAAAACCCACATTTGGAGTGTAAAACCGACTGAAAAATATTATTTTTTAAGCAAGTACTTTATATGTGGGTTTTTCCTTTTGGATCTGCCTAAAATATTTCAGACATATCTTTACTAAAACATCTTGTCAAACTACACACTCTGTCTCCCTTGACAAGTAGCTCAGGAAGGGATTCTTTCGGATCTGTTTCGATAACCTTGGCCAAAATNTTGACAAGTAGCTCAGGAAGGGATTCTTTCGGATCTGTTTCGATAACCTTGGCCAAAATGCAAAACAGACTAAACTCATCGAAGTAATACGACATCCGTTTTCTTTCGGAAAATAGGGGACTTGATTATTAATAAACACATGCTCTTTAAGAAAGTTTACTTGATGGTCAAGAAAAAAAAATTTGAGAGAAAGTTTCAAATGAATCATCAGTTACATTTTTTACCTTTACAACTTGAATAAAATATTAACCGAACACTAATAACACGATTGACAGCTAATCTCCTCAATAAACAAACATCAGTTCACTGTTTTAGAGACAAATTCCGGGAATGTACAACCTAAGTGACAGATCATAGATTTAATACGTGTGGATTTAGTTGCATGTAACACCCACGCGTAACCCTCGCAAACAATGAAAAAATTTTCATCCGTAAATTATATTTTTTTGATAAGTTGTATAGTGTGATTGATTGATTTTAATTTAGTTTTAAAATATTTATGTACATGTAACTACTAAAACTGAAATTACGATCAGTCACTAAAATAATTTATTACTAATGATCTTTAACTGAAACACCATATAAGCCAATTCTAACAGAGGAATAGAATATGATTGCTTTGAGATAATGATATGTATAGGGCTTCGTCTAATGCAAGGGCGGCATCTCATTATTATCCTTTTCAATCCTGATAGTAAAAATATTTTGTAATAAAACAATGAATTGATTGTGAGATGGGATTGGGAAACAAAGGATGAGGGACAAAAAATTTTCTAAAGTTACAATTGCCCACGAAAAGTTCTCTTCTAGATTCAAGAAAATTATCTTGAGGGGATACAATAGATATTATTCTGCGGGAATTAACAAGCGATTTCCGAATACACCGCGGTAGGTAGATACAGCCATTCACTTAGCGTTATTGGTCTAACTAGGGAACTGCGGCTCATGCCAACGGAGTTCGTTTAAAAAATTAATTTTGTGTTAGGTTGTGGGGGTTCGCAAAGATTTTGTACCCCGCCGTTATCTCGCGGAATTTTTAACCTATTTTGGCGTATAGTCAAGCATTTACAAACTCAATCTTGCTTTTGAATTTTAAGCTTATTTATCTCAATCAAAGTAAGGTTTTATTAAAAAATGTCACGAAATAACAAGATGCTTAACACTACAGAGAAGGTTGTTGTTTTGACTCATCCTATTAGACATGGTATTCCTCCTATCAACAGGGGCGAATTACCCCTCGAATTCCAGCCCCACATGTTAGTCTTATCTGGAACTCTTTATTACAAGATGTTTCGGGATCTACTTCCGCGTTATTAACATATTTGCTAGACGCTTATCACGTACACTTGCTGAACAGGTTTACTAGCACACAAAGCCATCAAAAGTACGATTTCTATAACTGCATAGAACTGCCAACTAAAGGGGGTCTTCAATTGCTTATCTAATTATGCAATGTTTCAGATGGAATATGATGTGTACATTTGCCCATGTCTAATTTCTTGACTTTCTCAAAAAATATTATCCTTTTCATCGTTTAGAGATGTCCTAAACGACTTAGGCAAATACATGTGCACCCATAACCCAGAACATCCGCAAAGATCAAAGCCATTAGAGTTCAGAGAACATAATCCACCTTTAGCATAAATAGAATTCATGTGCAATCGGTGTATTCATCATAAGCGCAATTGTAAACATGCAAAACATGATATTTTTCAAGAGAGGCTGCAAACTACATAACGCAACCAAGTTTTGTGAATGAGTCATTTTTCTTTATACAATTGTAACACTGCTAAGACACAGGAAGACTATTGGCTTCTTGAAAATAGTCTATTACATACGTTGAATGAGTGGCAAGATTTCATGATAATTTTTTCTATTTTGCAGCTTTTCGCACATTTCCGTCCGGAAATACAGATAATTCAAATCACACAAAACGAAAACACTCGATTGTTACACACGCATTCCATTATCGTTATCGCCTACCACCGTATGATTTTCATTATGAACTAACCCGGGACATCCCTCATCCGCCTTTACCACATCTTGTTTGCTTTTCCGTCGGAACTTTAAAGGTAGTTTCTATTAAACTTTCCAGAAATCATGGAGATCGCGGAATCGTTTCCCGCAGAATAATAAAAGCCCCTTTCTACCGTCAAATAGAACAATTCAGATCAGAAAGAGTCATTGAACATAGTTATTTGTTCCACATCACCACGACGATGCCATCTATCAACGAACCCTTAAACCCGGGGATCTTGATGGTACACATTTTATTTCGTTTAAGAAAAGATTTGTCCCCCGCCCCTCATACTTGGTAGTATAACTTGACACTCTTGACCGTGGGATGTAATTGCAACCCCTAATGCAGAAATTGAAATATTTTCCTAAGAAAATGTTGGAACTTTAATATCAAAGTTTTCTTGCCAGTAAAATTGCAAAAAAGAAAAGCTAGAACGAATCAAAAGAGAAAACTGACAATAAGCTATTAGATCATAAACTATTTCAATTTCTTCGTAGTATCATTCTGCAGGATAGTGAATGAAGAACAAGGGAATAACGTATGGTTAGTTTCAACATCAAGAGTCGAAAAAGCTATGCTATCTACATGTTGCGAACAAGCTTATTCAGAGGCACAAGCTATTGTACTCCAAATTGTTTTACTGGCATTTAGATGCAGCATGTTTGTATCGCTATGTGACGTAAACTACAATCCATTGACTCTCGGAGTGTCCATTCGTTGCCTAAGAAGTGCCTGCTGGGAGAGAACCATATTTGAAGCTGATTCAAAGGTTAGCTACCAATATAGGTTGACTCCAGACAACTCCCAGAAGTACTCGCGAATGCAAGCATCAATGTTCTGGGAAGCTAGAAATTTCCAATGAATCCATTGAGGATACCGCTACCATATCACCGAAATGCAACGCCATGTTAAACCATTCCACATTTAAAATATCGATTTCTTTGCGTCAATTCTGACATCCAACCGTTAGATGTCCCACAGGTTTACCAGAATTTCCCAGCAAATAGCTTTTGGAGTAAGCGCACGTTCTTGCTCACTTAATATTATGAACGGAAATCCTTGCATCCGCCTCTACAATTCTTTTAGCTAGCCACAAAACGGTTTCGATCAACAATACAGTTCTCAATATCGACGGCTTATTAGAAACCTTGTAGCAAAGCAGATATTTAAAAAGGACAAATATGCTGGTTTGTTCATGAGAAATACAATGTGGATAGTAAACTACTTGTTTTCAATTTGGGGTTACATCGCTGACGCATGATTTACAACCATCATAAATTTTAAAGATTCGGGCGCTTTCAGCTCTATGGTTAGGGGCAGCCTCTGATATAATATCACATCCTAAATTATGCCATACAGTGGAATTGATTAGTGCTTTAGAAAGTGGATTACACGACAACTACGAGCAAACCTTTGGTTTTCTTGAACTCCAAATTCGTCCAAAGCATGGTTTCATGTTTGGATTTCTGTTTCCACGTAATTTTGACTTCAAGAACATGAAACAGGGATGTAAAGAGAAAATGAGGAGTTGGACCATGAAAGAGTATAGGAAACCCAAACATAGGAGTTGAGCGATTTGTTCAGAGACTCTCCAGTATGAGAAAAGTATGTTCACTTCACGATGTATGGTAGATCAAGTGTAGCACTGATTCAATAATGGGCCAAATACTCTTTGAAGGGAAGTCAGGTATATTGTGGTGAACCGCCCAAACAATTAGCAATCTTACAATTCTGTGAGTGCTTCAAAAAGTGTCGAGGAGTGCAGAAAACTCGATTGTTCACTTCCGTAATCGTTTCCAATGTGCAACACTAAGCGATGTTTGGCATCACCATCCAAATGCCAATTGTTGACGTGTTTTGTAATTCAAAAATGACCCCGACACTGTAGTTACATCGGAATTGATCATGGACACGTTCCTTCTTACAGTGATGGGAATTTCTGTCGATATCTCTGCCAATTCTCAATCTCCACTAATCACGACCAGAAACATATAATCTCAATAATAATAGTTAGTAATATTTCAAATCCTGTCTTGAACTTAGGTGAGGTATATCCAAAGACTCCAAAGACCACCTTTCCCACAAGAAATTAAAAGCGAACAAATTCCAGCAATAAGACTAAGGATGGCCACAAAACCAACCTGTACATTTGATTTTGAAACCTCTGTTCCGAATGTACGACTGGCTTGCAAGGTGACGATCCGCTCGAAAGATCGTCTTCAAAGTAATCTTAATAATAACACCTCGTTCCTATACTTGTTCGTCTATTCCACAGTCATAGACTATTGCTGGCGATTGAAATACAGCTCAATTTAATTGGTAGCATATTCAATGAAAATTTAGAATCGCACGTTAATTTCTGTTTTTTTCGTCGCCAAACAATTTAGTTGACAGAATTTATTTTGATTTTGATAGATAACAATAAGTTTGTGTATTGAACCGAAGTGCAATTCATTCCAAGATAAAGACATGGCCATTGTTCAGGACCTTCTAAATTTTCCGCCCATGCTTCAGCCCTTGATAGAAAGCTAACGAGCTTCATGTTTTGTCAACAACGCGTTGTCTCGGCAAACTGACAATAGCTCCACGCGAATGTGATTTTGCGCGTATTTTATTCCTCTACTCTCTCCCGATCTGGTAAAGCGCACTTACTAGGATTTATTTGGTATATATCAAGGTCATTGCTATACATGTAGGTGTAAAGTTTTTGACACTAGCAATTTTTATCTCCGTTATAACCAAAGATTAATGTAACCGTAAGTTTATCCGGTGTGTGAAACTCGGTTGTCATGTAGGGAGGAAATTAATAGCGCAGATCAATTAAAAATAAAATATTTTTTATCAGATGTGGCGATTTAAAAATAGAATAGCATCGTTTATAAAAAGAGTAGCAATTTATACATTTTTTAAGTTTCCATGCACGGGTGTACATTGAGGTATGTGACAGAAAGAAGCTAGACCAATACAAGGAAATGCGGAAAGACCCCCAGCTATTGGAATATCTGTAGCTAGACGACTGGAAATCAGGCTTGGTAGGTCTGGGTTGCTCTCTAGGAAATTTCTACCTATAAAAGTAACTACAACAACAAACAAAAGTTGGCTTGTATCTGGGAGCAAGCGCTCCTGCTCAACTATAATGGAAATTGCCGAGAACATTTTCTTTCGCCTTGGAATTTGCCATGGTTTCTAATTAGTCGCTTCCAACATTTCACTTCACATTTTGCTTGCACAGGCTCACAAGAATCGAATAGTCTAACTAGTATAGCACTTCTTTATCATAAATCTGAGGGGAAACGTATTCTTTATATAAATACTCGATACACTTTTCAGGGGCACCCCCTTTAGAATTCTTTCTCATACAAAGATAAATTTTGATGCAACAAAATAGAATATTTTTTTGTTTTCAATTTTAGATTTTCCCATTGTCTATAAATCACAAATTCTAGTGAAATTTTACTATTCCGGTTGAAAAAAATTTCTCTCAACTGGCACAGTTTTAGATTCAAGCCTCTCTAGAATTCTCCCTTTCTAAACTCTTGTGTTAATTTACTGAAATTTTTTTTTAAAAATCTCCTTCTTTTCCTTTAAAAAGTTTTTCTACTTTTCTTCGTTCATTCCTTTCTTTCTTATTCGATCGTTAACAGAAATGCAATTCAAGAAGGTCTTCGCCATTTCAGCTGTCGCTGCTGTAGCTTTAGCTGCTAATTCCAATAACAGTATGTATTTTTGAATAGATTTGATGGTTTTGCTGAAATGAGAATTTCTCCCTCAGGCGGGTCAAAACAATTTGGTCGATCACTCCAAGATCAGATTATCATTTGTCAAATACTGCAAATGCAATAGAGGGTCCTGTCCCACTTTTCATCACTCGGATAACTCTTGCTTGGTCATAGCCAGGGTTCCCGGTCTTGAGAAGAAAGCTCAAATATATACACCTGAAACTTTACAACCAAAATCCTCGAGAATATTTACTCGAGGTATTTTGCTGATTGAAATAATCACGAAAGTGGTTGTGAAAAAAGGAGAATTTAAGCTTTCTAGGACTCGAGTCACCGGCACCTCGGGTTTTCGTCTATTTTTAGAAAGAAAAAAAATCGTGTCAACATCACTATTTTTCAAACTCGAGAATTATTGACAGCGGATTACCCACAACTTCTAACGTTTCAGTGACCTTGAAAAGTGTATGAGAGGCTTGAATTCGAAAAAGATCTCAAATGTGGCAAGTGTGTGCTTCGATTAAATTTTTAAGAATTTTCTCGATTTTATTTTTTGACGAAAAACCGTTGTCTGAGTCAAGAAAAAAATTTTATTCCGTAAATCCCTGAAAATACGATGTGTCCTAATCCAAGGAGAATTATTTCAACAAACTTTATTGGAAAACTATAACTAACAATACTAACACTTTTAATTTAGACTCCACTTTAACTACTGCTACCCCACACGTTACCAAGGCTTGTTCTTTCTCCGACTTCACTGCCACTGCTTCAAGCGATGTTGCTCAAGTTGCTGCCTGTGCCACCGCTGTTGGTGACATTACCATTTACGGTAATGCCTTCGGTGCTATTGACTTAACCGGTTTAGAACAAGTTTTCGGTGATTTATCTGTCATTAACGCTACCCAAGCTGGAACTGTTAACGCCCCAACCTTACAATTAGTTTCTGGTAAGTTAGAACTTAACGCCAACACCATCTTATCCAACTTGAACTTAGCACAATTAACCACTGTTGGTACTTTAAACTTCAACGCTTTACCAGCTTTACAAACTGCTGGTTTAACCGCTGGTATCACTTCGGCTGATTCCGTTATTATCTCCGATACTGGTTTAAACTCATTAACTGGTATCAATGTTTTCAAATTACAAACTTTCAACGTTAACAACAATGATCAAATTGAAACTATTGATTCTGGCTTAATTGAAGTTACTGACACTCTTGATATTTCCTATAATGCTGAGAAGGTCGATGTTATCTTGAACCAATTAAAGGGAGCCAACAACTTCATCTTACAATCCGTTAACTCTGTTCAAGCTCCAAACTTGACTGCTACTAACGGTACCCTTGCTATTTCATCTTCTTCCGTTGACAAGATTCAATTCAAGAACTTACAAACCATTGGTAAGTCTTTAGTCATCAATGACAACGCTGACTTAGAAGAAATTGACTTCCCTCAATTAACTTCTATTGGTGGTGCTTTACAAATCACCGACAATGACGACTTAAGCTCCTTCGATGGTTTCCCTGAATTAGAAACCATTGGTGGTTCCGTTAACATGTCTGGTACTTTCAACAACGGTACTTTCGAGTCTTTAAAGAGAGTTGCTGGTGGTTTCGTCTTAAAGACTGATGGTGACTTATCTTGTCAAGCTTTCAACAAATTGAACAGTAACGGTGAAGTCAAGGGTGACAAATTCCAATGTGAAGACAAAGTCACCACCACTTCTTCATCCTCCAACAAGGGTAACTCCCAAGCCACTGGCTCTTCCGGTGACTCTTCCGAATCTGGTTCATCTACTACTTCCAAGAAGAACGATGCTTCATCCAACGCTGGTAAATTAGCTTCCGTAGTTGCTGCTTTCGCCGCTTTCGGTGTTGCTTTATTCTAAGTTTGAAATAATTAGATGACATTTCTTTGTTCGTTTTTTATTCGTGTTTATGTTTTAGCTAATCGACAATATATGATGATTATTCACATTCAAAAGAGTAAATAAACGAAATGGAGATGTTAATCATTCTGGGGGGTTTATTAGGATTTTTCTTTTTTAAATTTTAACCAGTCAAGGGAGAGAAATAGATTTGACTGGTAACTTTATAGTATCTTTATACACTTTCTTATTCGTAACCTTTTTTGTTATCTTCTCTATATTAATTTAATAAATATTTTATAATTTTTCTACAAATCCTAAGTCTATAACTTGTCACCAGAGACATATTCAATTCTATCCATGCTTAAGACTTCTGCTACTTCTCTTACAAACATATGCGCAACGTCTTTAACAGCAACTTCAGATTCTGGTTTTTGTTCTCTGATAGAGGTAGCCCTCTTTTGCTTCAACCCACACATCTCAAATGTGTTCAAAAACTTCAAGTTCGGATCTACATTCAAGGAGATTCCATACTCAGTGACACCTCTCTTCACTCTAATCCCCACACTGGCTATCTTATCATTTGGAGTTACCCAAACTCCAGGATTCTCAGTAACACTGCTTTGTATACCAAAGTTCTTGTCAAGTAATTTAGTAATACTATCGAGTAAAACTCTACTAACGAAACATTTCGCACTTAATTTCTCAAACGCCTTCAAATCCACAAGAGAATAGGCTACAAGCTGTCCTTGTCCATGCCAAGTAACTTGTCCACCACGATCTAATTGATGGTATTCACATCCAAGTGTTTCAAATCTCTTAACTAACTCTGGTCCAATTTCTTGTTTCAGTTTTAATCCACCAGCATATACATTATTGAATTCGAAAGTTAAGATTGTGGGTAATGGTTGTAAGTCTCGTATTTTCGAAATGACTGCCTTAGTTTCTTCATTTAATTCAGTATTGTTCTTTTTGGATCTAAGTTCCATCTGACGAAGTTTAAACTCAGCAGTTTTGAAATCTAAGTTTGCATCCATTATAGCATTTTGGATCTCGAGACCATGCTTGAATGAAGTGATACCGGGGAAGTGGATATGTCTGAGGGTGCGATAACTCTCCCTAACAGTATGGTATCGTGAAGAATGACTTAGGTTTACTGCGTGAAAGGTAACTAGCTTTCTTATAACGACTTTCGGTATCATTTCCTTAGTGGGTGGTCTAGGCAAAGTGATGAAAAATGTCAAATGAATCGAAAGATCTTGAAATATTTTTTTTGTTCGCTTGCTTGCACCCTTTCCAGACCAGTTTATGAGATCATTTTGGTAACAGAGTCAAATATTTGTTGTGTTAAAGGCATCCAAAATATAATGGATCTTACACAGACAAACAAGACATCCAAGAGAAGGAAATTCGGGACAGAAGCCACCAATGACTCATCACTATCGTTAACAGGTAAGACTCCGATTGGGCAACCGCTGTCAGTTAGACCTGTTTCGGCGATTACTGCCACCACAACGGCTAATGTGACACATCGACATGGCTTGAGTCAAATAATCCCCAGCCTGTCAGCTAGCGTATTAATGAATTCATCATCATCAGCATCAGCGTCGCCGTCACCAAGTCCATTTAACAACGTGACCAAGAAAGATATCAAAGCTAACGAGTTTCGTATAAGGAAATCAAACAAGATTGTTGGTACTGTTGCCATTGGGGATAAGAATCAAGTTCAACATGAAATAAACTCAGATGAATTGAACTTCTTGTATAAACTATATGTTCCGAATAAGTATCTTATCAAGAATAATAAGAAATCTTTGCAACATCTATTAAACCATCTTCCTGCAGTAGTCCCCATTCCACCTAAGAAGGATATTGGTGCAAGGAAAGACCCAGGGAATGATCTTAACCTTCAAATTCATTTATTTTTAAGTACGATCATGATCAAGTATGTGAATTCATGGTATTTGGGGAAACTAAATACTGATAATTTTGAGTTTGTACTGTTGGTGTATCAATTAATGTGCGATTTTGTAAAAGATTTGGCTGAGAGAGTTAATAAGATTGTGGCAGAAGACTTCAACAGTCTAATATTATTAGATGATTTAGCTTCAATATTGAATGAACATGTGATTGAATTAAAATGTGACGAGAGATGTGAATATCCTTATAAATTCCTCCAAGACTATTATTCTCAAAGCAATATAACCAATTGTTTAGCATTTGATCCATCCAAACCGCACGAAGATGTAATCAAAGAGTACATACAATCCAAGCATATAATCTTCGGAGATATGAATTGCGATAGTGACGATACTTCAACATCAGACGACAAGGGCATGGAACCTTCACGACAGTATTTCAGGGTTCTTTTCGGTAAAATCCTCCAAGAAACCTTTTCGTCCGAAAGATATTCCCAAGATCCTGTTTCGTCTTCTAAAATTGCAACAGAACTTGTTACCCTCATTATGAGTGATATTGTTCTTATAAAAGTTTTCGAGAAGCTTTCCTCACCCGAATTCATTCTTCAAAAGTTCATAAATGAATTGCTATTTTCAAACTTAGACAGATCAATCAAGGAAAGAAAGTCAGGGGTAAAAGAAAAGGTGTCGTTAATAAATAGAGCTAAATCAATTTTGTATGGGACTTATCAAAGAGTAAGTGATCTCATTATAAATATTTCAAATGGTGGAAGGACGTTAATGCAAGATACTTCAAGTGAGGAGAAGTTGACTCTGTTTGATGTATTTGATAACTCGATCATAGATGTGTTTAACACAATTACCAAATTCGCATCCAGAAAGCCATTATTCTCTAGCATGCTTACGGGAATTCGAACTTTAGTACTGCTGCATGAGAAGTTTCACACTCAAATTAACAATTTATCTTCGAGATACTTATCAAGTAAGATAATTAGTATATTATCAGAAGAAAGGATTTGCAAAGTGATTGGAGATTTGAGAATGGATGTATTTTATTCCAATGACAACAAAAATGAAACCGAAGCCGAGAAGGAACATCCCTCCATTGACGAAATAGCTGATAACATCTCCATACCTATTGGTTTGGCCCTTTCTACAAGGCTACCGGGATATTTAGCGCTGCTTTCGTTGAAATACCAAGACGAAACCGAAAACCAACAACGAGAATCGATTAAGCGATTTTTAAGCATATTTGCCTCGGAGAATGTCAAGGAACCAATGCAAGCTCCAAGCAGATTAAACAAATTATTAATAATCAAATTACTTGACTGCATCATTGCCCATGTATACCCCGAATTATCAAATTCGGACAATTTTTTGCAGTAATTTAGGTCACGTGAACGAGTTTCCTGATTTGGAAGTGGGATTCGTTCCCAGTATGAGTTGATTTTTTTTTCATTTATTTTTGATCGTATAGAAACCCCCCTTTTATTTCCTCTTTAATGAACAACCAGTAATGCTCCCTATTAGATCCTCATTAGTAAAAGCATCCTGTCAAGCATCGCAGCAATTGATTCCAAAGCGTCAATTCTTGGGAACTGCTGCTAGTGCAATTCTCGGATCCTTCCTATTTTCAAAAAATAATGAGTTGGCATCCAAGATGGAAAATGGTGAATTACATTATGAAGATCCAAATGCTAAGTTCAACAAAGGAGTAGAACCCAAACCGTTATTCACAAGACGTGAGCCTGAATATCCTGGACATGTTCCCTTGTACAATTATGAAAAATTATTGATGTTTTTAGGATCCTCGATTGGATCCTATTATCATCCGGAAAGAAATGAATTCATAGTTGCTTTAGGTGAATCCACTGCTATAACACCCGTGTTGAGAAGTATACAAACTCAAATGTTGAGTGATCCTGTGGGAAGGCAAATTTTACGCGAGAAACCAAGAATGACATCCACATCATTGGATTTAGATCATTTACGTTCATTGCCTGAAAACAGTATTGGTAGAACATATGTCGAATGGTTGGATCGTGAAGGAGTGAGTCCAGATACCAGGGTCCCTGTAAGATATATTGATAATGAAGAATTGGCTTATATTTATCAAAGATATCGGGAATGTCATGATTTCTATCATGCGGTGACTGGTTTGCCTATTATTATTGAAGGTGAAATCGCAGTGAAAGTGTTTGAGTTTATGAACATTGGTATGCCAATGAGTGGGATGGGAGCGTTGTTTGCTCCTTTGAGATTGAAACCTAATCAAAAGCAAAGATTGTATAGTGTTTACTATCCATGGGCCTTCAAATCTGGTCTTAATTCAAAGCCATTAATGAATGTTTACTGGGAGAATATTTTGGATCGTGATGTCGATGAATTTAGAAAAGAGATGGGAATTGAACAACCTCCGGATTTAAGACAAATGAGAAAGGAATATCGTGAAAAATTGAAAGCTAAAAAGGCTGGAAAATAAGAGGATCATGTAAATGCATGGAAGATGTATATAGCTAGAATTTACTCTAAGTAGATAGGTATTAGATTGATGAATGTAATGGTTTGAATAAGAAACGAATCTATTGTTAAAAAGTTGGTAAATATGGTAGCATTGTAATTTGGTCCAGCCACATTTTTCAGCCCCATACTGTATGCAGTTTTTCCTTATCGCATTCTGCCCCTGGCACCCCTGGCATCGCCTATTTTCTTGTTTGCTTGAAATTATATTTCAACTCTTTCCTTATTTACAGAGTAATCGAAAAGTCAATTCAATTGAGTAATAATGTCACAATTACTCTACAGTTACTTCTTAAAGAAGGTTTGTATATACTGAAATCAATCCAATTAAGGTCTAAACAGAAATTACTAACAATAAAATTACATAGCTGTCTTTAGACCATATAGCAGATGTTGGTGAGAGTGAAAATGATCCATATTTCGAAACCATTCCTGATAATGAATTACATTTCTATCAAAGAAAGGGAGCCAAGAGAAAGAAGAAATTGCCTGGATTTATTCCAAAACACGACTTAAAAATTCTCAATTCTATTAAAACTTCTGCCTATAGATTGGATTTACAATTGAGTATGTGTGGTATTCGCTTAGGTTGGGCAGGTATCATTGGGTTAATTCCATGGATTGGGGATGCTATTGCATTCTACTTTGCCTATAGCTTAGTTCAAAAAGCAAAAACTGTAGACGGGGGAATATCTAAAGTTTTAGAAGCTGAAATGATGTCTAACGTGTTGCTAGATTTTGGAATTGGTTTGATTCCAATTGTTGGCGATTTGATTAATATTATGTATAAGTGTAACTCGAGAAACTTTATCTTGCTTGAAAAGCACTTGATAAAGAAGTACGAGGGAACCAATCATGCTGCGGAACCGACAAAGGTTACTACTGAAGGCAGCAGTAGTGCCACCAACAAACATAAAGCTAAGACTGAGCCACTACCAGAAAAATCTAAGAAAGAGGAAGCAGCAGCTGTTGCTGTCCCTCCTCCTACCCATAAACCACCATTGCCAACAAGGGAAAGTGAAACACATCATATTCTGGCACCACCACCAGACGTGTATGCCAAACCACCGGATGTTGCGCAGAAGGTTTAGGCATGATATTTGTATGCCAAGTATCTCGATGTTGCCCTACCAGGTACATGCAGCATCAAAAGTATAACGTTTTTATGTATTATTCAATATTATGATCCAATTCACTAAATTCACTTTCTAAAACATTTAATCTTTGTTTGAAGTCCGCAATGAACATCCCTAATTGATCTAATTTTAAAAACTCCAACTCTAATTTATTGCATGGCTCTAGCATTCGATCAATTTGTTCAAATTGCTTTGATAATTGTAGTTGTTTATCAAAGTATTCACTATTAATTAAATCCTGTTTGTTGAGAATAGATGCGTAAGTAGTTTCCATTAATGTTTGCATATGGTCTCCTATTTTGTAAATAAGGTAATCATAACTCACTGCAAGCTGTCTTAGTTCGAGTGGATCAGGATCGGTCTCCGAGGGGGTTGGTGATTTGGTGCCAGCTTGATCCACTTCATTTTCAATTGGATCTTCGGTAGGACGATATGCCACAACCGGTTCTTCTTCTTCATTGGTGGTTTCATTTCCATTCGGAAGCAAATTGCTCAGTTCCTCTTCCATATTGACTCTCAATGGGGATGGTACTCGTTTTGGATGGATAATTGATTCAATTGTGAATGGGGGGTCGGTTGTAAAAAAAATTGTGCAAGATTCCACGCCCTCCCCTTGTCCACGAGATTTCGACATCCCAAATGTTTTTCAGTCAATTTTCCCACAAAATTGAAATCTTCAAATCATCAAAAAGGGAATTCTATCAATCCTTTCATTTCAATCAAACGATCCTTCCCGCTTGTGAGATTAGACTGGAATCCAATTGGTGTTTTTTTTATCGATCGATTGCTATTCAAATTCAATTGCAATTAATACAAGTATATACGGTTTGCCACATCCTAGAAAAGCCGACAACCCCCTCCGAATCATCAATACAATCCAGCAAAATGTCATCCTCGTTCTCACTTGATAAGATCAATCCGAAATTATTAAGAAGGATCTACCGTGCATGTAGACCAACCAATGACGAACCTAACCTTGCCTTAAATCTTGAAATCTGTGACTATGTCAATGCCAAAAAAGGATCAGCACCCCGTGAAGCAGCAATTACAGTAGTGAAATTGATTGCTCAACGTGATCCACAAACTTCAGAATTGGCAATTTCATTATTAGATAATTTAGTTAAGAATTGTGGATATCCTTTCCATTTACAAATTTCTCGTAAAGAATTTCTTAATGAGTTAGTTAAAAGATTCCCGGAAAGACCTCCAATGAGATATACTCGTGTTCAAAGATTGATTTTGGCTCAAATTGAAGAATGGTATCAAACTATTTGTCGTACTTCCAAATATAAGGAAGATTTCCAATATATTAAGGATATGCATAGATTATTAACTCGTAAAGGATATGTTTTCCCAGAAGTTAAGGTGGAAGATGTAGCTGTTTTGAATCCTTCTGATAATTTGAAATCATTAGAAGAGATTCAAGAAGAAGAAGCTATTGTTCAATCGGCAAAATTACAAGAATTAATCCGTCGAGGCAGACCACAAGATTTACAAGAAGCTAATAAATTGATGAAAATTATGGCTGGTTTCAAGGACGACAATTTGAAAGAAAATAAGAAACAGCTTCATGACGATATTGTAAGATTGACCAGAAAGGCTGAAATTTTGGCCGAAATGTTAGCTTCAATTGAAGCCCAAGGTGGTAAGATTGATAGTGATTCTAGTGAGGCCGTAGTTGAGTTATACTCTTCCATCAAGAGTGCCCAACCTATTATTAACAAAATCATTGAAGAAGAAGGTGATAATGAAGAACAAGTACATAACTTGTTACAATTAAATGATGATGTGAATAACTTGGTTAATAAATATCAATTGTTAAAGGGTGGTAAAGTTAGTGAAGCAAGCCAAATCAAGGTTGGAGCTCTTCCAGAACAAGAGATGAATTTAATAGACTTTGATGATGAACCTGAAGATGTTGTAAACGCTACCAACAATGAACAAGGTTTCACCGACTTATTGAGCGATTTATCGAACTTGGCATTCACTGATAATACCAACAGTTCATCAAACATCAATCCACTTAATTTGTATGGTGCTGGAGGATCTATTTCTTTAGGGAACACTTCTAGTGCAATCCCTTCAAGTTCACATACTCCATTGTCGCAACCAGTCCCAAGTTCGAATTTACCAAAAGTTACACCATCTACTTCTCAAGGAAATACAATTGATCTTTTGGGAGATTTTGGTACTCCTTCACCAAAGTTACAGTCTAACACAGTCCAACAATCAAACGCTTTAGATCCATTTGGATTAAATTTCCCACAAACTACTCCGAACCCAGTTCAAACTCCATTAGGTTACACCAAGATTATTCCAATTACTCAATCTGAAAATTTGAAAATTGAAGTTGGCGCAAATCAATCTGATGCTAATTCATTCAGAGGAAGAATTTTATTCAGTAATTTATCAGCACCTACAATTTCTCAATTGAAATTTTTAATTGCAGTACCAAAGACTTGTAAATTAGATTTAAAACCACAATCTAGTGATATGATATTAGGTTTCAATAATCATGGAGCTACTCAGGATTTTGTGATTGATAATCCAAATCTGAAACAATTGAAGATTAAATGGAAAGCTGAATATAAAGTGGATGGAAATTCAAAGGAAGATACCGGGGTTAGTGTTTTAGAATAGAAGATTATATTAACCACATGTGGTCTGATATACACAGATGTTTAGTTTTTTTCTTTAGTTTCTACCAGTCTATAATTGAATAATATTTTCCAGGAATCAGTTGGAAATTAGTAGTAAATAATTACGCTCGATTCACTGCTAGTCTCTTTAGTAGCACACAAATGTGATCAATTTTGTGGAATTATTTGCGGCTATTTTATTGTCTACATTGTGCATCGTTTGCAAAGATTACGGCTGGAGCTGAGAGTCTATCTTAGCCTTGAGTCTCCCCGAGAGTGACGTAACAAAGAACCTTAAAATTTATTACTAATCGAGGATATAAAATTTATATATTATATAAAAAAGTCAGACACTTGTACAACAGTTCCAAGATAAGGAATGTATAACTATTGAACTGCGCAAAGATGTAATTACCAAAACAAAAATACCTGAAACAAAAGCAAAACCAATCACCCTAATAATAAAAACAATAAAAAACCAACCTAAAAACCTGAAACAAACTCATGGTTTAACCAATGAATCATTAATGACAAAAACAAACCCATTCTCAACTTGCTTGACCACATCAACTTTAATCCACTCATCTCTACCTTCTACTCTGATCTTAAATTCATCAGTTATTTGATCTTGTCTAATTCTAACCAATTTACCATTATTTAAAGGGACAATTATAATTTTATGAGGATTTTTTTCTTCATCTCTACCAACAATCAATTTAGATTCAAAATTAGTAATTATATGACCATTTAAATATTCATTTAAATTTTGTTGAAGAATTTTATCTTGTTCAAGTTCATCTTTTATATTATCAACAGAATGAGGGAATTCCCAAGGTTTTAATCCACCTAATTTATTTTCAATAGCATAGTTTGTAGGTGCAATAATAACCATTGTTTCATTTGCTAATTCAGTTTTGGAATTAATTAATTCATTATCTCTAATATAACCAGCAAAGATTGAAATCAGTCTCATTTGTGGAAGAATAGATTGTAGAAGATTATTATAACAATCAATTGAATTTATTGAAAATAAAACATGTTTATCTTGAAGAATTTGTTGTTGTTGATCTCTTTTAGTAATTGGTTGAGAATCAACTTTAAGTTTAGTGATATCAAATACATTCTTTGCATCTCTCTTTTTGTTTGATACAGCTTCATCTTCAAGATTAACTTTAAAGTCATTCAAGTTAACAATATTCTTTCTCTTTTTTAAAGTTGGTGGTTGTTCCTTATTGAAATCATTTAAATTAACGACATTCTTTCTCTTTTGTAAATCTGGTGATGATTCATCTTCAAGAGCAATTTTAAAACTATTTAAATCAACACGATACTTTGGTTCTCTTTTTTCATGATTATTAAGTTTATCTTTTAATCCTTGTAAATCAACAATATTTTTCCTCTTGTTAAGTTCAACTGGTTCACCATTAATATCTTGACGTTTATTAACACCCTCAGCCTCTTTATCCAAATTATCTTTAAATCCTTGTAAATTAACTACGTTCTTAGCCGAGACTAATGATGTTAAAATTGCTATTGCTACAATATAATTTAATTTCATATTGATTTTTCTTTATAATCAGTTTTTGTTTAAGTAATAAGTATATGTGTAAAAGAGAGAGAAATTGTAATTGTATCAAAGTTTTTTTTTGGATGACTGCTGTGTTTCACTGTCTGTTCTATAATTACTCTGTAAGGGGAGTAATGTTTGAGTGTGGTGTGGTTTCATGCAACGGAAAAAAAATAAGTAACTTATGCTCACGTGACTTTTAGGTAAATTTTTGTTACATGGGAACGATCTAGCCAATAAGAATAGTACATCTCTACAACTTGGGCTACTATACCTTCATATTCTAACTTAGTTGACAACTACGGAAGAGAATAAATAACTGTTATATCTTTATTCAATGAGACGAGCTTTCAACGTGAAATTGTTCTTTGGTTTGCTTCGTAAAGTATATTATTCATAAATTTGCAACCATTTTGTAACAAATATTAGTTTACTTAATTCCTTTGCTTCAAAAAACTGAATTGTTAGCCAATGCTGATGAAGATGAGTTCTCCTATTATAAGAAATAATACCAATGTAAGTATAAAAGAGAATACAGATCTATATGCTTTTTGTTTGTAAGAAATTCTCTGTCTAATATCTAGATCTCCAATTATTCTATAAATTATATTGTAAAAACTACTACTACTACAGACTTTCAGCCGGCGAGCCTCCCTCATGATCTCTGTTCTAACAATCGAAATGCAAATCTAGAGAAACACATTGCATTGCCAGCACCGTAAACTAAACCACTCAAGTTTTATTATATGACTCGCAAAGGCTAGATTGGGTCATGCCACCCTTAAGATTTTCTTGATCTTTCCCTTTCTCTTTCTTTTTCTTTATTAGCCATACTATACTGTAACCTTCGTTTCTTCTGCTTCAAAAGATCTAAGGTCTTTCGTTTAGATAATCGACTTCCTTGTAAAGGCATTGAATTTAATTTATTTACCAATCTATCTCTCCTTCTTTGTTGTGTTGCTTTTTTATCTTTGGATTCAGCCAACATTCGATCTAATTTACCAAGTGCTTGTTCTATTTCCTGACTCATTTCTTGTTTGTATACATTTGTAGCATCCGTTATATCAATATCTGGAACCAATCCAAATACTCTTTTTGTTGCCAATACTTGATTGAGTCTATTTGTATCCTTATTACCTTCATTCATTAGCTGTACGGTATTATTCAATGAAGATACAATTTCCTTTAATGAGTTTGTACATATGGAAAGATTATCGTACACCTCTGACATTTTCTATGTGTTGTCGTATAATTATGTATTGTCTGGTTTCGAAGCAACAGCAGTAGTAGTTGGTTGTATCCCTTTGTTTATGTTTGAATGTAAAAATCATTCAAAAAGGGTTGGTTAGGAAGTTATATACAGGAAATGCTAAATGCTCACCCGATTTAAATAAAAAGTTAAAAAACGCATTTAATCATTTAATCATAAGTTTATGACAGACGACTTCTAAGTATAACAATTTAGTTACTACTAACTAATTCCTTAATACAACAGAAGACTCTTATCATCACAATAAGCTCATCATTCAAAGGAAAAAGGAAACGAAAATAGACGAAAAAGAAGACACGACAAAGAAATCCAATCATTTTCTTACACCAAAAAATCAAATGTACAACTCATAAATCTTAACCAATTATTCACCCATAAGAAAACCACACGAATAACTTATCAATTAAGACTTCTCCCATTTGCAGTTTAAGTACTGACCTTTTATCTAATAATAATAATAATCAACACAGTTAATAAAACCTTAATATTTTAATACATCAACTCCCCATTACTAATGACAGATATTTCTATATCATTAGAAATGACTCCACCAACTCAAGAACCATTCCCGAATATCGACATTAAAAAGAATGCTGCATCCACAACAAACTATACGAAGAACTCACAGTCTAGAAATAGTACCAGCAAAAGCAGCAATCATACAAGACACAGTAGCGGAGACAATGGAGTATCCAAGGGGAGAAAACGATCCAATTCACAATCTCAAGTAGTGCCGGCACCCCCTAAACCACCATTATCATCAGCTTCAAGCGCTGCTTCAAAACATCATTATGGTCGTTCTAATCATCAATCACAACATACGCGAACACCTCAAATTTTAACAAGAAAAAGAAATCAAGCTCAATATTATGTATCATTATTACCATTGAATGATACATTTATTAAGAAACATCTTCCAGTAGCAACATATCCCGAAACTACTAAATTGGGTAGACCTACAGGAACTAAACATAAGCCAGATGTAACTAATGGATATTTTGATTCTCGTGTGTTGAGTCGTAATCATGCACAAATATATATAGAACCTTCAAGTGGGAAATTAATGTTACAAGATTTAGGTTCATCCAATGGTACTTATTTAAATGATGTTCGATTGGGTACTGATCCAGTAGAGATTCAGATTGGAGATATTGTATGTCTTGGTTTTAATGTTCAAGCAGAATCTACTCATAAACAAATTAGTCTAAAGATTGAAAATATCAATGTCATTTCAAACACAGGTGTAGAATCCGCATTGTTTGGTTCAATAGAGGAATTGGATGCTTCGAAGTATAAACATCTTTCCTTTGTGGAAGATATATATCGTCAAATTATCGAGAGTGAATCGTCGGCAACCACCAATAATAATAAACCTGAGATTGTTGATCAGGCAATAATACCCAATTGCAGTCTTGATTCTGCTTTATTTGGAGACATAAATCCTAATTTGGAAGATAATTTATTGGGTCTTTATTCACAAACGAATTCCGGGATTTATAATAATTCTCAAATAACAAATTCCACAGCATTAGAAAATGTAATCAGTGTACTTGTGCTTAATTTATCTCGTGTCAAACAACAAAATTCATCATTAAACACCCTTGATAAATTCTTTACTAATTATCGGACGCAATTGAATGAAATGAATCGGAAATTCTTAGATGACGAATTTAAAACCCATTTAACTTCCGTGCTGGACGAATTAAAACGTCAAACATCAGCCTATGAATCCATGGCTGAAAAGGCCCGGATCCAAGAAATAGAATCAGAAGAAAAGCTAACTATGGTAAGAAAAGAACGGCAGAGTTGTGAAGCTGAACTAGATGTAATGACTCGAATTGTTAGTGAATATAAACAACAGGAAATTGAATATAGGGCTAATTATCAAGATTCATTACTTAAAATCAAAGTGTTGGAAAACGAAAGAGATTCTTTACAGGCTACAATTACAGAATTAAAGAAGAATCAAGAGCGGAGGGAACAAGATCAAGAACAAGAACGATTGAATGGATCTAAGGGGTATGAAAGTAAGGAAGATACAATTGAGTTAGAAGGTGAAGAAGAAGAAGAAGAGGATAATTCAAAGGAGAATTTAGCCGAAGTTGAAGAGATAAAGGTAGAAAATCAAGCCCATGAAGAAGAACATATGAATGAAATAACTGAAGAAATTGGGGGATCGGTAGGAAATCTTGCCGAAATTGAAGATGTGTCCAATGCGATTAATGGTTTCATAATGGATCTTTCAAGAACCCCATCTGTTCGAGAATATGATTCTACTCATGGCGGATCACGTAAAAGTTCAATAGAATTAACGCCTCCGGTGTCTGACTCAGAGGAAGAAGAGGAAGAATATGAAGCTAGAGAAAAAGAAATTACCAGGAATAACGATAAACCGGAAATTCCTGATCCACTTACACCCGAAGAAGAAGGAGAAGAAGACGAAGAAGCTGGCTTTTCCCAAGAACAACTGGAATCAATCCTTCGTAAACGACTACAATCTGCTTCACTTAAAGATCATATGGATATTGAAAAGTTTCAACCTCCAATAGATATTGAACCATTCCCAACAGTGAGTGAAAGTAGTAAGGATAATTCAAATTTAAATAAACATAGGAATTCAATCAAAGCTAAATTTCTTCAAGGACGTGATTTTCAGAATGTTCATGCTATTGCTTTTGCTATGTCTGGTTTCTTGGTTGGATATTTTCTACAACGAGCAACCGGGTAATACATAATAATAATTAATAACTAATTTTATATATTTATATACATCATATATACCTAATACGTTGCTGAGGAGGCTCTATTACTTTTATTTAGAAGATCTTAATTCAGTTGTTTATTTATTTATTGCTTTATCTTCCAATTTGTATGTATTATAATTCTCTACTATTTTGCAACTCACTCTCTATATGGGAAAAAAGGCAGAAGTTTAAATATGAGAGGGAGATATTTAAGTTCAATATTCATTCCAATACGGACAATAAATAGAACTACAAAAGAACAATTGAATAACCAATGGATGTAGACAAAATAGCAAACGTATTATACGACAGGAATAATTATTCGCATTTCGTTGATTTACTTTCAATCAATGTCTCCACAGAAGAATCAGAACAACAGCAACAAGATTTGAACACCTGTGAATTGTTCACTTTTGGCACATTTAAACAATATTTCAAATATGAACAGAAGTACAAATTAAATCTTGAGTCAGCTGAGAAGTTAGCTAAGATAAGTATAATTAGATTATCTAATGATTATGAGAATGAAACACTACCCATTGAAGAGATCTTACAGGATGAGAAATATGGCTTAACCACTGGATTACGACTTTTAAATGAACTTAATGGATCTAACGATGATATCGAGTCAGCCCTTTATAAGTTGGTTATAGAATTAGTATTCCAAGGATTGGTTAATATGACTATTGATGAGTATTCACAATCAATAATAATCGGAGAGGTTAAATTATTACTTGATTCCTATGATTCAAAATATTATCAATTACTAGTATTGGAAGAACTGGCTGATATTCCCAATAGGTCATTGAGTGTTGCTCATAAGAACTTGAATCAATGGTTTAATGATAGATTAGTTCCATTACAGAAAGAAACAGAAAATCAGGCAAATGTTCTTGAAAAAGAACAACAAGCGAAAGAAAAGGCTATTCAAGTTGCACAGAATACCAAAAAGAGGAAATCTCCCGATAACTACACGATAGAAGTATGATTACTACTAATATATAATAATAAACAAGATTCATTAAAAATAAATAACTATAAATAAATAAAATTTTACTCTCAAAATAACTAAAAAAACTGATTAACCAAAGAATTTGTACAATAGTTCAAAGGGCTGTCTTCTTGTGTCTCTTAAACCATTCGAAACTGAATGGAAAAATGCAAATTGGGAAGGTGTATATGGGGGATCAAAGACAAGTTATTTCTCTAAACCTTTTCCTTCCACAATTTACTAATAATTTGAGAAACACCACCTTCCTTAGTTTCAATTTGATAAACACCATAACCAGCAAGACCAGTACCAAGAGTCAAGAGGTACATAGCATAGGTATGATAAACACCGTAAACTCTCTTTGGAATATAATCTATAATACATGATTGGAAACCAGCAAAACAATGATATAATAATAAAGCAGACATAGAAGAATCAATCATAGTAGAACCACCAGTGATCAATGGAGATAAGACTAATGGAAGCATACCAATAGTAACAATTCTTTCAGAGGTCCAATGTAAAGAACCTTCTAATTTATGTGGAGGTGGTGGAACATAAGCATCATTGACAGTACCAACGATAAATCCCGGAGGTTGTGGGATGGTTTTAAAACCACGAATTAAAGCTGGTCTGAATAATAATGGTTTGGATGCGTTTAATCCAATACGGGAATATACTGACAACATGATATTATAAATGAGATTGATTCGTAATGTACACAGTTACTTGGAATAAACTGGAAAGAAAAAATTGTTTATTGTTAAAAATAAGTTTTGGTGTAAAGGTTGAATGAAAAAACTCTCTCCCTTATTATGCCCCGGAAATTGGGAGTGAGTTTTGTTCTGATGAATGAGAGATGAAATTTATTAAGGGATTATTTTCAGTTTTGTTTTGATTGGCTGAATTTAACGGAAAAAGGTAGTGTATTTACAAAATTCTGTTTTCAACAACCGCCGAGAATCAGGTGGTTGCAAAAGTTTCTAATTCTAGAAATAGATTTAAAATGATTTCGAATAAACATACTTGAAGTAATGTATTGTTTAGATATATTAAGAGCCGGTTTGACCACGCATTCTCAAATGCATACCTGACCAACTTAAGGGTTTACAAAGATTCCATTTGAGGGTCAGTATCAGCTTATGATATCATGCCCTTTAAAGGCAAAAAAATAGTTGCAACACTCTTTGTCTGTGATCTTGAAATACAGTAGACAACTCTAACTCAACCAAAATTCAATAAATGAGATTAAATTCGTGGAATAATCTTCACTTGATAATCGCAATAAAAAAAGAATCAAATAGCTTCTAAGCCGGAAGCAAGAAAAGTTACAGATGACTGTAAACAAAATTACAGTATTCATTGTTAATATCTACATAGAATGGCAAACTCTTAACTTCCCATCCTTACTTTATACAGTTTTATTCTACATCCTCATCTTCAATTTCTTCTAATTCAGGGATTCTTTCTGGAGCCCCAAATCTTTCTCTAAGTGGTTTTTCTATAAGACCCACAGGTCCTTGGTGATAAAGAATATTACTCCATTGTTTGATCAACTTGTCATAATAACCAACTATTTCATATTCATACAAATTAATAGATTCCCTTAATTTTTCACATCTACTTCTATTGGTTGGGTCTTTAAGACTATCATACATTGCAATCAAGTTATCCAATGTATCTGCTACGACATATGCAGCTCTCGAGGAGGTCTTATGGTCATAATATATATCCAGGATAATTTCTTCACTCCAACTAATAGCATTCTTCTTATATCCTTTAACCCACATGATTTGACCTATACTAGCTCTTAATTCACAAATTGATACAACTAAATTTTCACGATCACAATCAAATAATGGAAATTGGGTTGGGGATCCTGAATCAGTTTCTAATGTTTCACGAATATGACTTAAAGCACGAAGATTTGCCAAATAAATTTGTAATGATTGGGATAATAATTCTTCTCGTTGTTTACGTTTAAGGTCTTCTGATTTATACGTGGAAACAAAAAGGAATGCAAGATCATTTAATGATTTAATTAATTCATCAGAAAACTTACTATCTTCAGCTAAGACATATTGTTCATTCATATTCACTGAAGGATAGAAATCAACCAACATATCAACAGTTCTCTTTAAATAGTGCATCTTTTCAGCTGGATCTTGAACAATTTTTGCAAGTAATCTACTCGATGCTGCTAATCTTTCTGCATCACCTAGCTTTTGAAAAATCAAATCGTCATTAATAATCTTAGCCAAGACATCGTGAGATGCTTCCAATTGTCCTTTCGCTAATAAAGCCTTTGCATACCTCAAAACAATATCAATGTAAAAATTCGAAAATGTTGGTGATTTATCATAGACCAATACTTCTGAATCAATAATAGGAACTTCATAAGGTGCAAGTTCTGACTCATCAAAATCAGGGTTTTCCTTTTTGGCTAATTCAATTAATAATCTCCTATAATGTTTAACTGCATATCGAGGACTCTTTAAGACGTCATCTTTATTAATTGCTTTAACTGCAGTAATCTGATCTTTGAAACTTAATTGAAATGGAATATTCTGCCTTGAATTAGCATCGAAATATAAGAACGCCATCAGCCCTGTGAAAACAATCATGCAACCAAAGTAGAAACCAGCAAAGATTTGTAAACCAAACTGGACTCTCTTAGCCCCATTGAAAGCACTTTCTGTTAATCGAAGACCTCGAGTTTGTTGTAAATTTGGAACCTGATATGGTAATCTTTTAGGTATTCCAACAAACTGGTGGGACATAGGAGACAGGATCCTCAATCCAGTAGTAACCCGAGTTCTGAACATGTTCTGTAGTTGTTTGGTAGGATAAGAGAGATAGAAATCAAAGTTGGTGATGATTGAAATATTTTCTGAATATTTTTTTTCTCTGTTTGCCTTTGGGAGAGATCAATTAATCATAACTTCAGATTCATCTCCTCCTGAATAAAAACAATATGATATGTCAAAGAGAAGAGGTAATTCTATGAATGACCATATGGATCTAGACTCCTTGCTGGATATATCCAGACTACATTCAATTGATCAACAACAACAAAATGACCGTACAAAGCTATCCCAACCGATATCCGATGAACCGGAACAAGAACAAGATACAAGACCACCAAATCTAACCATACTTCAACGATTTATAACAAACTGGTTAATAATGGATCCAGTGTTGTTAGAGAAGTATCAGCATACCAAAACACCTCGAAGAAATTATCAAGTACAGAAGCTGGAAGATCTTATCTACATTTACTTATTTGGCGGGAGATTTAGAACTATCAAAGCTAAACCAATTAGTTTACTAACTGGATTAGTCATATTTGCAGGTGGTATATTATTTTGGGTATTTGAGGCGAGTTGGTTATGGCACCATATCCTGCCAAGTCTTGTAATAACATTCACGTATCTATGGCTCCTAACGGCAATGTTTTATATAAAGTCATGTACATCTGATCCTGGTATCGTACCCAGAAATTTACATTTACCAAAAACAATTCAAGATGGTAAAATAAAGAATCCGCCAGATGAATATTTTAATACCGTATCACTTCCTTATAAAGTAAAAGGAGAGAAAGTACAAGTTAAGTATTGTTCCACTTGTCATATTTGGAGACCACCTAAAACCAGTCATTGTGGTGTATGTGAAGTTTGTATCTTAAATCACGATCATCATTGTATCTATTTAAACAACTGTATTGGAGAAAGGAATTACAAATACTTTCTTTGGTTTTTGTTGTTCTCAACATCCTCATGTGTTTATATGATGATCCTTACAATGATTCATTTATGTCATTATAGATTGGTTGCAAATTCCGAAATTCATGATTTTGCTACTTCCGTTGTCAGATATCCAGCCAGCTTGTTTCTTTTCATTTATTCCTTCATTGCTTGGATATATCCTATGGGATTATTAGGGTTTCATACATTTCTTACTGGGAAGAATATTACAACAAGAGAATATTTGAATTACGTTTATAAAAAGAACAAAAAGACAAATCCATTTGTGAATGTGTTCACTAGCCATTCAATATTGAAGAATTTATATATAAATTGGTTGGGGAAATCAAGTGGAGTAGCTCTTGTAAGACCAAGAGATAAGTATACACCTGGTGATATTAGGTTTGAAGCAATTGCTCCATTGGATATTTATCTGCTGGAAATATCACTTGAAGATTTATAGGTAATTAATAGAAACTATTTTATACTTTTGGATATTGAAGGGTCAACTTAGCGCTTCTAGTTAGAATAGAATCGATCGTTCCTCTATAGTCATTCTAATTCGAATCACATCATTCCTTCGTAACAGGTTTATCTCGTAAATCTATAATTATCAATTGGTAGCGGGTAACATTTTTTATGGTCGGCAGTTTCTGTTTTTCAGCCTCAAATTCAAGTTGGTTGCTTTTGTGAGTTTTCAGTTACGATCATCTCACTACAAGAGGCACAGCAACCAGATAGAATTTTATAGAGACTGTTGTATGATCCTTTGACATTTATAGAAATACATTATTAGCATATTATGGAAACGCACAGTACTCAAGACATACGACGAAATCGACCTCCACACATTCGTTATACACCTGAAACATTTGAATTAGATCATTTACGTATACCGACAGATGAAAGTCTGATAAACACAGAACTCTATCCAATACTGCCACTTGAAGCCACTTCACTCGTATCTGAACCCAATCTTGAATCTCCTCCGTCATTGTTAGGGCGAGCACAGACTACATACACCATAGTCACTTCACATCCCGATAATATCCTAAAATGGCCACAAAGAATATTTCGATGGCTTTATTCCATTTCCTTGGTATTATTTGTAATTCTATTATTGGCATTTGTTAGTGTTACTCCATTAGATGTTATTGCCCAAACCTTGGATGCAACTTCTTATAGTGCTATGAAAACATTTATTGTAATCATTGTTTGCGTGGTATTTCTTGTCTTGTCATTCTTATTTTATTTCCTGAGAATATATCAATTCAAAGTCCTGCTAAATGACATACCTGCCAAGTCATTGTATGTACCGTTTGAAGCCGATTTGCCTCAGTCTGTATTTGCGTACATAGACGAGACATTAAGAAAGTGTGTCTCTGAAATCAGCGTTAAGGCGGGTCCTTTAGAAGACAAGAACTTAATTATCAATCATCCTGGAGTGGCACCTCCAGAATATATACAAAAAAGAAACAAGGGTCCGAATGGTGAAGGAACTTTGCTACCTCCTAATTGTCATTATGAGGATGTGATTAGAAGTTTAGGTGATCGATTCTATGTGGGGAAGATTTTGACCGAGGATGAGATTCCTAATCATTTATCATTACGTGAGATTATGTTATACTTATATGAACTGTATGTGGAAGATTCAACCCCTTCAGCAAGGGCGCCCGACTTAATTAAGTTAACAAAGTTGTACGAGAAATGTAGATTTGGTCCTGATTTAATCCAAGAAAAGGATTTGTTTGATTTCATGGTTGAGTTTGATAAATTTGGTTTAATGTGTCAGAATGATTATCAAAATAACTTACCTAAGCAAATGTCTAGACGTCTTTCAAGAGCCAGTCGCCTGATGAGTATGTTTGATTCCGCAAGTAATGTGGATTATTATACAAATGATGATACTAGATACTATAGTAATACTAATATAGAAACCGAGGACGAAGAAAAAGAAGATCCAGGATTTCAACACAAAGCGGTGCTAAACGAATACTTTTTGGATTTATATGGTGATCAAACATCGTCAAGCGATCAATCAGTTTTGAATCCTTATCAGGAAAATAGAACAAGTCAAGATCAAGATTCAATCAAGAGAACTGCAAGTTTCAATAGTTCTCAATCTATAGTGAGAAGTAAATTGGCTTTGAATGCGGGAAATAATTCTATCCCAAAGCTCAGATATAACGATGAAGCATTATCTCTCAAGCGGGATGCGAGTGGTTATGTCAGTGACACCGAGAGTGAAATTAACTTTGAGGAAGAGAATGAAGAGGGGACAACGGCGGAAGACTTTTACCGGTTTAGACGAAGAAGACAGTCGTCGGGTGCATTTGACCCTATTGATGTGGAATCATCTCCACTTCAACAGCCGAAAATGAGAAAGCGACGTCCAGATTAAAATACAGGCTAAAAAACATAGCCAATGCATTGTATAGAAGATTACAATATATTCAATAAACGTAATACATTAAGACCTACATAACCTTGGAGAGACATCTCCTTCAATTCTGCCGCGGCTTAACAATACCATCATGTACAAAGTAATAAACCACCGTTCCATCATCGTGTAAGATCCCCGCGGTGACTCTCTTGGGCGGCATCTCTGTAATTTCTTGAATTCCTGCAAACCAACTTCTTATGGTCACTGCAGATAATTTTGGATGCGATAATAACCGGGGAATCACCCATTCCCGTAGTTTTTCGGGATCCAGAGAATCTAGTTTTTGTGGGGGGATTCCAGATAATATCTTGATTGGGATCTGATCATCCTGTATTATTTCATGTGATACAACGTCAGTCCATAGATTATAATGTATAAGATTCAATCGAACTTGGGAGACGAGAGTATCTGGTGACATGTCGAATTGTATAATTATGAAATCATAAATGTTTGAGTTGATTTTTTTTGGTAAGAGATTATAGCTACTTTAGGAGATGGGGTCGTGCGACTCGCACAAAACAATTTCAAATGATCAAGTTCTCTAATTACTTCCCCCTATATGATCTAATAGTTTACCAAATGGGCAACAAATTCGCAAGTTCATGCATCTCGTACTATTAGTTCAAGAATCAAGAAACTTCTGCCTAGTCTGTCGGCTTGGGTCGCCTGTTTTTTTCGCAATTACCTCGCAAAATTCACGCCCGGAAAAATTAATTGCCTTCCCCTTTCCAATACTCGGAAACTGCATCAATACATTGGCATCGCCCTGTTCGTGTATGTTTCTCCGCATTTATAAACCCTTGGCTATGGGTTGGCACTTCTGTTTCCCCAAATGCCCAACCCTTTCGATGCTTTGACACATTTCTTCACTCACCAGGTTTTTTTTTTCACCAGTGGAGTGGAGATAGTATCGTGTCAAGACTATTGTGCCACTTTAATTCATTAACAATCAAATGATCTGAACCTTGATAAAAGATTCGTAATTTTACAATGAAATGGTTTGAGCCTTGAAAAAAGGGACCAGCTGGCTTAGATTTTCTTGTGTGTCGCATACTACTCCAAGGGTTTGTAATTTCTCCAACCCAAGAGGCCATAATTCTAACTGTTTAATTAAGCCGAGGCATTATTTTTTATGACTCTCAAATTATTTTTTGATAAATTAATATTTTCTAAATGGGTACCTTTCCGGATTTAGTAAAATATTGCCTGTCGCAAATTCGTTTAGAAAATAATTCTAATGTGTTGAATTGGCAATAAGGGCCCAATCTCCAATATCCAGTTTCAGGTTTTTGTTCAAAGCTGTTCTTCCTTGTCCAAACCACAATACGATTGTTTGTGAAACAAGCTGTATAATTAAACAAAGCATTATTTTCAAGCGAGTTAATCTATTAAATTTAAAAGGCATCATTCGAAACTTTATTCAAAACTTTATTCAAAACTTTATTCAAAACATTCTGGATCAAAACTGAAGTTCTAATCGCTTGAAAGAACATCAGCCGTTGCCAAGTCAGTAGCTTAAAAATCAAGTTTCTAATTTTGCACCATTGTGTATTGTTAGAAGAAAAATTTCCGAAAACTTTGAGAATTCCATCGGGAAATTTCTTCCACCCTAGTTGGTTTTGTGGAAAACTTCATCATTGAAGTTTGGCAAGGCTCTACATACCTCAATTACCTGCAGGTGATGTCCTTTATCCTTTGAAACAGATTATCCTAATAAATGTACCACTGATCATCAAGATAAGGGACTTTGGGTTACTACAAAAGGGGGTTAATGAATGAAAAAGAATGTGGTTCATACACACACACTAAACCCAACAAGAAAATTACACAAAGCCCTGATTCGTACTTCAATTTCGAATTCGTTTCTTTTTGCCCCTAAATCTAAAAACCTAAGACCTGAGTTCTAGAAAATTTTCGAATCTGAAAGGGTGATGATCCAAATCGACCTTCTCTCCCCGTGTCAGCCAAAACTCATACGAGAACTTCCCCGGAAATTTACGTAGGAATGGTAACAAAGTCTAACTTCAATAGCAACTTCCTGGTGACCGAAGGTTCTTCTTAGATCTTTTGGAATTCTTGGAGTGAAAGTTTTTCTTCAAGAATAATATTTTATTTTCTATAGTGCAATTTTAAATTACACGAAACCCAAAAATGCATAAAATTAATATTTTTTAATGCGAGTTACCCTAAAAAATAATTTTCAATTTACACTAATGTCTTGTTACTAATTTTTGTTAAACTAATTAGATTCTCTTATTGTTTAAAACCTAGGAATTCATCTTTTCTCATTGTTCCTGCGATCAACTAATTTAGGAAGCACAACGCCCTGTTTAATTACACCGAACCTACATGTCCATTCGTCATTTAAATATCGCCGTAAATACCCGTTTTACTGAAAACCCAAGAAAAAAAAAACATACGATCACACAACTATTTTTTTTAATTGCAACCTAAATAAAGTTTTCTCGAGAAAATAATAGCTCTGCTTCCGAATCGAAAAAGAAAAACTATAATCGAACGATTTCGCAACCAACCCGACCCTACCCTACACACATATCCTAGCATTAAACCTTAATATATAAATAGTCTTCAAAGAAATGATGGTTTCAAATTTCTCTGCTCACAGTGCTTATGTCAATACTATAAGTTCTCCACGATACAAGCCGTCCAATAAACATACACAAGAGACAAAAAGTCGTATCCTAAGTAGAAAACTTACCCAGGCAACAACCTCCTCTGAAAAATCAAAACAAGTAGTACCAGACGACCCACCTCCAGTAGATCAATTTAATCGAGAAAATATTCATAGTCATTATAAATTAGTCAAAATGGATACAAGAACATCAATAGATTCATATCATGCAATCAATGCACAACAATATAAAATTGTGTTACAATTTCCTAAAGAAGATATAGAATTAATCAGATATACCTGGTATCAAATGTTATTAGATGAAGAAACCTTACCCAATAGTAATAAGAAACCACCTGCAATTCCAGGTACATTCCCAGGAGAAGAATCCAGACAGCCACGTCTTGATGATGATAGGAGTTCTAATTCTGGGATTTCCAAAATGGTTAGATATAGTAGTTCAGCAATTGCTAGTTCATTATTTTGTCGTCAATTTTATGCTAATTTATTAGCTATGGCACCAGAATTAGAAAAATTATTCCCATCAATTAGACATCAAGCAGTTAATTTTGCTGGAGTTATGTCATTAGCAGTATCACAATTGGAAAATTTGAATGTGATTGAAAATTATTTGATTAATTTAGGAAAAAGACATTCAAGAATTTTGGATATTGATCCAGCAAATTATGAATTAATGGGAGAAGCATTAATTTTAACTTTCCATCAAAGATTTGGTATTAGATTTACTCAAGAATTAGAAACTTTATGGATTAAATTATATCTTTATTTATCAAATAGTTTGATTCAATTTGGTATTGATCCAATATTGAAAGTACACCCACAAGCTGAATCCAGAGCAATGTCAACCTCAACATCTACAAGAAATAGTATGATGATGGATGATGCCGATGATAGAAGATCGATCAGTACTCAACTGTCGTCAGTTATGAGTTTGAATAATAATCATAATTCAAAATCTACAGGTGGTCAAACCATAACTTCAATGTCAACCCTGCAATCAAATTCTACTTTGAAACCACCTCCACCAATTAATGCACCTGCTGCAGCTATTGCTGTCGATGACGCTCGTAATAAGAAGAAGTTTGGTAGGATTAGAAGAAAGGGAAAGGATTGTGTTATTATGTAGAGGCTGGTGCACGAAGGTGAAGGACCACACAAACTACTGAAGCTACGAGAGACTTTATTTCTGTATTATTATTAGTATATAAATTGACAATTGGTTTTAATAATTGTTATGACGATTTTTAGAAATGGACATTATTTAATAAACTATGACGACCCAAATTTTTGTATAGACCCTAATGCATATTATGTTTTTTGACAAAAAAGTCTGTAACATTCTGTAGTAGTAGTTGTAGCTCGTTGCAAACATTTCAGATAAAGTTCCCGCGTCCGTATCTAACTAAAATGACAAACGTCACGAGACTTTATACCGCATACATTCATGTTCCACCCTAGAATGGCCTTCGCTGTAGCCAAGGAGCGCATCTCAGGAATATAAGCTTTGTGGTTGACCCCACGGAGTTTGGATCAATCAAATGATCGTGCTGGTCGTCAATACAAACATAAAACAAGAAAGTTTTACGATGCATGGAATAGATACTATGTTTACAGGAAACAACAAAAAAGTCCGGGGATGATGCACGTCAATGCGGCATTGGTGTGCATTTATGTTGTTGGTTAATAATAGCTGCCAAGTAGTAGGTTGTATTTTTTTTGGTTACCCCGGATCTATTTACAGTCTATTTATGGGTAATACTATTCATATCTCTGTCTTTTGAAAGTGCTGGCAAAAAAAAAGATTCAAGATTGGAATCCAAAAGCTAAAATCACATCAAACTGCAGTTTGTGATATATTTCTTGCTTGAATGTTATGATTGTCGTCTTCTGTAAACGAGGGATTATAAACGTGTTTGGGACAACCGTGTGTAGTGGTGGTGAGTTAGAATTCTTGTAGAACTTGATTGCAACACGCAAACTTAAAAGTCGGACCACTTTATCGTATCCAACAACTTAATTTGTTCAGATCTACATTCTACAAACTTTCAAAATGATAAAATCTAATGTCAATTTTCAGATGATACATGTGAAGAATGTCAAAATTTTCAAATGTTATTCCATAATACATTGATTTGCAGTAATATATGAAAATAACCGACTTCAATTCAAATTTCATCTTTTCTTGTTTTCGTGAAAACTTGAAAAGAAATAGTTGAATTTGAAGATGCTGACATTTTAGGAAATGGAGACATTGCCAAATCTAGTCGTTGTGGTCTATTGATGTGATTGGTTTCTGAGCAAAATGTAGAACAAGGTAGTAGCTTTCCCAATCGAGAAATTTAATATGAGAAAAAACAATTCGTTTATTGTTACAATTTTTAAGGCTTATAAATGGACCCCTAAAACACAATGAATGAATCAAGTGGGAAATTAATGTAGTTCATATGGGAAACACGAAGCTGGTCACTGGTTTATGTCTGGGAAAATATAAAGCATTATTGATAAGTTAGTCTGTAAGATAGAATGAACATTTTGACAAGTGATTGATTGTGGGTAGGGGAACTAAAATTTGCCTAGTCGAGCCTTGCCATTATGGTTGCTAGGGAATCTCAAGTATTAGTAGTGTCTGTATACATTTCCATGACTTACATACATTGTCTCAATCATATCTATGGAATCTTATTAGATGGTTCTGGATGATCAAGAAGAAAGAAAATTTGATCAAAGAACATACATTTTTTTTGTTTGCAACTTGTGAAAGGGGGAGGGACACTTATTGTTGCAATATTATTTTATTAAATACGAGTTTGCAACTTCAATTGATAAAAAAAATTAAAAAAAAAAGAAAAGGCCAAAATGCATTGATCTCATATTGTTTGGTCTCGAACACTTCAACGTAAACATTATTATTTTAAAAGTCCCCACTTAAAGCCCATACTAAATCTCTTATGAGTGTATATATTGAATCAAATTGGATATAACAGGAGATATTTATAACTTATGACATGACTTGATAAGACATTTTTCTAAGAAATCTTTTTACTTACTCGAATTGCTTAATTTTTTTCTTAGTTGATTTTATTAATTATTAACTATTTAAAGTTAAAATTAAAATTAAAAAAAAAAACGCGTCAGTATTAATTTGAAGAGTTTTTTTTCTTTACTTCCTTTTCATTCACTTTTAGTTTAGTTAGTTGTTAGTTAGTTAGTTATCTGGTGGTACAATTCTTTCTTTCCTTCCTTTGAGACTTAGAATTTTAATTTACTTTATTTGGATTTATATTACAAAGAAAAGAGAGACAGACTCTTTCATAACCATTCTACTGCTATCATTATCACTATTATGTCAAATTCAGTATCAAAGGATTCAATAGATGAATTCTTTTCTGATAATAGTTTTTATTCAGCTCATTCAACTTATTCAAATCCAACTAATCATATCAAAAATGTTAGAAATTCAATACAAATTAAATCTTCAATATCTTCAAGATCTTTAAAAGATAGTTTAATAGACAACAACAAATATCCATCTACTAAAACTAATACAACTAATACTACTAATACCAAGAGTAATAACAATGGAAGTATTCGAACATCATTTATGAAGGCTTCTCCATCGATTAAAGCACTTGAAAGTTTATTAAATAAAAAGCAAGAACATTGGCAACCAAATATAATATCAGAAGAGGATGATGAAGAAATTAATAATAATGATAATAAACAACTACCACATTTAGAACCTTCATTCTCTTATAGTCCAGCGAATGCTGATTCTTTTCAAACATTTGCAACAGCTGAAGAAGATCAACAACAACAACAACAACATAATGATGACGATGATAAACAACTGACAACTACAAAATCTTATAGAATGTCAGAATCTTCAATAGCAGAATTAGGATATGATACAACTCCAGTATTAGAAAAACCACCAACAGTAGAGAATTTTACGCCGCATAGTAATAATTCACCACAATTAAAAATGATTGATACAACAACAAATATTAATCCACAAAGATCAGGTTTATTTATACAAACTAATGTACAAGATCTTGAAAATGCATTTGATCAAATGGTTAACAATAAACAGCAAGAACAACTGCAACTGCCGCTGAAAACAAGTCCACCAAGATTTATTAAATTACCAAATTATACGACAGACCACCAACAAAAGCAACCGCAGCAACCACAACCGAAAAAAATATTGTCGAATCAATCCACTCATAGTCCTAAACAATCTTCACCATTAAATCAACAACAAAAGCTACCACTCGCTCATAGTCCTATTTATACTAATTATTGTGGTTCTGATACTATCAGTATTCATAGTGGTCCTACTTCATTTAACGTAACATCACCATTATCAAAACCAACATTTTCTAAACATCAATCAACATTATCCACGGGGTCACAATCAGTATTTTCCACTTCTTCACCCAACATTAAAAAAATTGAATCCCTTCTGGATTCTCCACAACTGCCTAAATATATTACAAAACCAAAGAGTATGTTATCAAGTCCTCTGGATAGAAAGCCAAGTTCACCTGTTCCGGAACCTCCCGCTTCCAGTCCAAGAAATTCCACTCAAACTACAAGAACATTAAGAAAGGTAAATACTAATTCAACAAGTTCATTTTCTTCAAAGACATTCGGTTCACAATTTCATGGTACTCCTAGAAGTAGAACAATAAGTGATATTAGTAGTATACCAGGTCGTCAAGCTCCGCCTCCACCCCCAAAACCGGCAGTTCTTCCATCACAATTTAAGAGCCAAGTTCCTCCTTCATTACCTGCATCTGCACCACCTGTGGTTACACAAGAGAAGAAGAAATTTAGTATTAAATCATTATTTAAATCAAAATCAAGAGGGCATTCACTTAATAAACCTTCCAAGGATGAAGTGGATTATTCACTCCCTAAAAAACTTCGATCAAAATCATTTTCCACTTCAATGTTGAATGAATTAGAGTCAAAACCACAACCAAGTAGTAATAATAGACGCAGTACATTATTCACCGCATTTAGAAAGAATAAATCTCCAGACAATGTAACTAAACATGGATTTGAGGATGTTAAAAAGAAAGAACATATAGTTGGATCAGGTTTGAGTCCAACTCCACCCCTGAGTGCTAGTTTACCTTCAACTTCAGTATTGGAAAATTCAAGAGCGACAGGGACAGGAACAACAACTCATAGGACACCTACAAAGTATGCATCTATGGGAAATTTGATTAGAGAAGTTAATGATGATGATGATAATGATGCTGACAAGTTATTACCCCCTCCAACTTTGCTTCCCACATATAGACAACCAGTTTCTCCAGAAGAAAATCTTCGTAGTCCTCCAAGCATGTTACGTCCTGCTTCATATAATAGAAGAGGGTCAAAAGATAGCCAACCTGGACAACTAGATGAAGATGAAGATGACACCCTAAATGAAAAACAAGAAGAAATATATGATGAAGAAAACCTTATGTTTCACCCACCCAAGAAAATCACCACTCATGGAATAATCCAAACTCAAGAAATGGAAATCATTCCCCCATTATTAGATTCCGGTGAATTCGGTTCTCCATTCCAAGTCACCTATTCATCCCCAGCATCATCATCTACCAAAACAACCAGTCCTCGTCCAGTTGTAAGTGCAGAAGTTAGTCGTACCCAACTGATCCAACGCGCAATCTCGCCACAATTATTAGGAGAAGCATTATTTCCAAAATCCTTGAATGCTCATGAAGTAGAAAGTATCGTTTCTTTAGAACGATCAAGATCGATGAAATCAGTCAGGTCGATCTCGATTAAACGAAGTTCATTTGTGAATTATGATGGGACCGATGATAATATTATTCAATATAATGGACCGGGGGCAGAACCGAATCCTAATGGAATGACGAGATCGAATTCGATATTGAAGAATTCGACAAGTCGGAGATCAAATTTGAATCAGGAATTGAAGAATAATAGTAATAATAGTATTGATGGAAATATCTTGCCTGCAGAACTTATGAATGGTGGTGGTACTGGTGCTGGTACAGGTGGTGTTGCTGGTAGTTCTCTGGGTGATGATCGGATAGATGATTTGATGGAATTTAGTGCATTTATAGATGTTGACAATTTGAGTTTTTCAAATTCACCAAAGGGGGTAATAGCAAGAAGTAGTACTCCAACTTCACCAACTCCAATTCAATCTCCATTAGCTGCTGAATTTTTCCAATTTGAACTGGAACATGCTTCTTCTCCTGTTGTTGAAGAACCACCGAAGATTGAAATATCGGCGCCACCTACTAGTAAGGAATCTGAATCGACGATTTTGATGGGTGGCCCTACTACTGCTACTGCATTAGTGCCTGAAGCGAGACAAGAAACGGAATCTCCTATTGGAAAATCGAGAACTCCATCGCCGTTGATGGGTGATGATCAAGAAGAAGCGGTGCCGAAATCAAGTATGGAAGAAGAAGTTCATGATTATTCAGATAATGATGATAAGAAACAACAAGTGGAACATGTGGAAATTGAAAAACAAAATGAACATGAAGAGCAACATGATATTTCAGAACCTGATTGTTCACCAATAATTAACGGAAGCGTGCTTGAAAATTCTCCGATTTTGGATTCGGCATATAGAAGCAATGGTGGTATACATAGAAATCGACCAATATCTATGTCGTTCAAAGGAATGCATGCTCCATCATTTTCAGGAAAATTGAATACTCAACCTGGATTAAGAATCAGTGGATCACATCAATCATTCACCATCTCCATGAATGATGACTCTTCTGTCGGTGGAGGATTTGGATCCAGTAGTGAAGAAGATTATGATGACGATGAGGATTATTTATCAGATGATCAAGATATGAATTATGGAAATGAGAACAATTTCTCCGTGAGAAAGATTGGTGTTGCTCCTCCACCACCAATACTACCTCGATCAGCCTCGGCTCCAATCCCACCCCATATCGTGAGACAAACCAGACCAAACAGTCTAGTCATCCCACCGCCACCACCTCCTCCACAACAGCCTCCATTAGCACGACCACCTCCACATTTCAAATTCAGTCATAATAAGATCCCCTCCATCTCGGACCAATCATCAGTGACATCATCACCCAGATCATTATCATCAATGGTCAGGTGGAGAGTCTCGTCATCTACCGCATCACCCACCAAACAACAACCAATTGAGAAATCAAGTGGGGTTAGGTTTAGTTCAAGGATTATATTGTATGATACTTATAATGGAGATGAATATGATCGACATCCAGATACGGCCACTTGTAATCAATTAACGCCGGCTTTGGCTCAGCAGATTAAAGAGGAATTGAATAGTTTTAAGAGTGAGATGGAGATACATATTGAAAGTAGGCATTATACCCATTTCTTCTGATGGTTTATTTATATATATTTTATATAAGATTTAGTATTGTTATCTAAATAGAATAGAAGTGTAGATTTTGTTGTTTTTATATAAGAATTGTAGGATTGTTTAGGATTGTGTTTGTTGACGGGCATGGGTTTCATGAGCACTTTTGAAGATTTTATCTAGGACGGGATAATCTTTTTCATGGATTGTTGCGACGATCTTTTCAGGGGTTTCCATGATTACGACTACGTATTGGCCATTTCTGTGGTCGAGACAGGTTGTGGATGCCCAGGGGGCTATATCGTATTCTTGGAGGGTTATAATTGGGGGATTTCCATTAATGAATTGTGGATAGTCTGACATATTGATGGGATGATGGGGGGACGATGGAGGGTTGGTAAGTTTGAAAAATTAATTTTTTTGCGCATCTTAAAAACTGAGATTTTGAAAATTTACAACCCAGCAGCAATATTAGTATAAAAGCAGTATCAATACAACGGAAAGGTAGAAGATGTCGCAAAAGGTCATACCGGGACAATATATATCACTTGTCTACAAGCTAGATGAATCCACTAATAAACCAATTAAATATATCCCAGGAAAAGGTACGACCATATCCAATATCGAAACACAAGGGAAATCTATTCCAGTCATAGTTGCCACAATCATCGGGACTGTCCACATCAGTGATCTCAAGAAACTCCCCCATCCAGAACCCCAAGATGGCGAAGCCACACCCGAGAAACCCCCAATCAAAGAAGAAGAAGAAATCCAAACAAAATGCATCTCAGTAATCAGTCCCAATGCCACCATCACCGAAGACCTCTCCAACCCCCAATCAATCTCTATCAATCTCCCCAAGGAAAACGACATCGTATTGGTGAAAGTCCTCCGTATATCCTCCAAACAAGTCTATTGCGAAATCATCGCCGTTGAATCCAAGGGCCCCATTCTCGCCGACTCAGGAATTGGATCCACGGGAACCCTTGCGCATCAGTCAATCCCACCCGGAGGGAATTCACAACATTTATTCAACCTTTCCACGATCGCTTCTGCCAATAGTGGTCCCAATGCCCAAATCGGCGACTTGGGGGAGAATTTTAGGGGGGTTATTAGGAGTCAGGATATAAGAGCGACAGAAAGGGATAAAGTTAAGGTAGTTGAATGTTTTAAGCCGGGGGATATTGTCCGTGCGATGATTATTTCTCTTGGTGATGGGAATAATTATTATTTGAGTACTGCAAGGAATGATTTAGGGGTTGTTTTTGCGAAGAGTTGTGGAGGGGCTGGGGGGTTGATGTATCCTGTTGATTGGATGCATATGATTGATGTGAAGACGGGGTTGGTTGAGATGAGAAAGAATGCTAATCCGTTTGTATAGGCTGCCCGCTAGAGCCGCGTGTATTATAGGTGTATAATAGAGAGTAGAGAATTTGCTGCAATGAGATGGGTAGTGTAGTATATGCATGTGTGTATAAGGTATACATTTATAAATAGTTATTATTCTAATCTACAGGATATTTCAACTCATCATGTTCACCTCTTAAATCAACTTCAGAAAGACCAATCTTTTTACCAAACAATTCAAATCTTTCATAATATTTATGTTTCTTTTCATCAGCAATTTGGACCATTTTATTCCAATATTTATCATGATCATATTCAAAATTAACATCCCCCTTAAAATCCATATCTAATTGTTCTCTAGGGACATAATCTACAAATGGTTGATCAAATACCAATTTTTCTCTTGTTAAAGGATCAATAAATGGATGGATTAATTTTAAAAAAGTCCAACCTAACCAAGGAATATTAGTTAATAAAGCTTTACCTAATCTTTCTGGATAATGAGTTTGTAAAATATGTAAAACTTGTCTACCAATACCAATTGGTGGTATTTTACCACCTTGAGTTCCAATTGGATGTGCTTTAAAATCAATCAATAAAGCTAATGAATCTTGACCAGATGGCATATAATCGATCACCCTTTCTAACATATAAACTAAATGTTGTACTTGTCTTTGCGATGTCTTTGTATTTTGTCTACCTGGTTTTAAATAAAGACAAGGTCTTGAATCATTATCATAACCTAATATAACTTCTTTACCAGTTTCATTTTCAGGAGAACATAAATTAGAATTGACAATATTATCAATTTCAAATGCCTTATCAATACCAAATTCTCTTCTCCAAGCTAAAGTTAATTCAATTCTTTCGATAGCTTCTTGTTCATGCCATTTAGTAGCGCGTAAATATCTTAAAAAACATTCTCTTGTAAGCCATGATTTTTCCGCTTCTGTTAACGGTTTAAAATCTTGTAAATTATGTTTATGTTTTTGAGATTCTTCTGTAATTGCAATTGCTAAAGATTGTTGTTGAAAATGAGTTAATACTGTTTTATATTTTATTTGTTGTTCCTCAGTTAATTCTTGTTCCTTAGGAATATGAGAATGAGTTGAAGATGGTTGTGAAAATGGTATATATATTTTCTCAGCAGTAGTAGTAAGTAATACCTTTTCTTCTACTAATGTTGTTGCTAAAGATTCTTGGGTTGAATCTATAGATGATGAAGGTGATTGTACTGTCGCTTCATTTGAAGTAGAAGAATGTTTAAATTTAAGTTTAGAAAGCATAATCCAGTTGTTCTTGTCTATGGGCGTCTATGTATATGTATTTTGCAGTGTATTAGCAGGTAATAAAATGTATATGGTAGCGGCTGATCTTTATATTTAATATAAAATGTAAAATTTTTATAAATAACAAACTTGTAAATAAAGATGAAAAGATCTAAGAAAGTAATAAGATGAAAGTAATTAAAGGGATTATTTAGATTCTTATATAATTAAATTAGTAAGGGATTATTCGGGATGTATTACAAATTAAAATAATGGTGGATGACTTCCTAATTAAGAACGTATGTATGGCAAAAAACAAATTAAAATTTTTTTTTTATTTCCGATCGGATATTATTTAACAATTTAAGCACCGTTCGGGTATAATTAATTTTTAATTTTTTTAATACCGGAAATTCTCTCAGTAAATAAGTAAATAATTTTCAGCCGTTCCGAGATCCAATAACTAAATTGAACAATTAAAAAAAGAAATTAATCAACGAATGGTGGCTTTTTATTTGATACATATTCAGAATATGAAAAGAGTTTATCTAAAGGATATTTTGCTATCTCTCTTCATGTATATTTACATTCTAAAATTATAGCTTAACTCTAAATTTCATCTAAACATCCCTAATATCTCCTGTCCCCTCCTTCTCCTTCTTTCACGCGAGATAAAATACATGTAGAAGAAGAAAAAAAAAAGGTTGAGACTCAAGAGTCAAATTAAATATTTTCTTTCTATTAACCTTGGCATCAAATGTTGTATAGTATGGGGTAGTGAATAAAAGAACTTCTTCGATATATTTCCACCAATCTATCTTTACTATATATATCATCTTCTATTAAGAACTGTATGACTCTATTGAAATTAGTAATTTTTAAATCCGTTTTAAACACGCGCGTCTATAAATCGTAACCAGCAATATTATTTTTATTAATTGCTTAGAAATAAAATAATATGAAATAATTTTTTACCTTAAGAAAAGTTTTATACGACTATTGTTCTACAGCTAAACCAAGAAAAGGATACTTAACAAATGTGTACACACCACACAACAAAGACTAATCAAAAGAATAAAATCTCAACTCCACCCCACAAAGCCGCCCCAGGATTCAAATCTTCCTAAAGAAAAAGAAGTAAGTTTAACCTAAAAAAAAATATTTTAGATATATCCCTATCTGAGATGGTGTTACACGCGTCTGATATATCTCCGACTACTAAGATTTTGATTTGATCTTCCTACTTCCCCATGTGTATGGATATTCAAAAGACAGCAAAATGCAACTCTCGCGTCTGTGTATCTACATTTCAATAATAACGATCTATTGTTGTCTATTGTCTGAGTTTTTGTAATTCACAGTCGGATTCGGAAACCATTTTTTCTTACCCGGATTTCATTGTTGCAAAATATGTCATTGTTTTCTACGCTGTTGACTTAGTTATTCAATTGATTGAATAATTTTTTGTCTGGTCTTGTAACATTGTCAGTAACCTACTGGCGTATGTACTAGTTTAATCCGCCTGCTTGGAGGTTTATTATATTTGAAATGGTTATAATGATAAGGTAATAGTATTAGGCATAGAGCTATCCTATTTATGGAACAAGTCAGATCAACTAGAGACTTTTTGATTCCAAATCTTCACTACAGACGAAAACAAAACTACATTAAATCATACATCGGTTCAATTATCAGTAAGTATCAAGGCATGAAGTCCGGTGAATTCTGCCAAATGCCAGGTGTGTATTTCACGAACGATAAAAAGTTAACGCCTCCTTCCTTAACACGATTCCGAACCTCTTCGTCCAACCTTAACTCGACTATTTCAGGACTTGCCGATTTGACCGTGTCTATAATTACTTGAACATCGGTCATGTCTGAATTTCCAGATAACCATAACTCCTGTAATTGAGTACAACCCAGAAGTAGTAACCGTGGTGCAACACCAAGTTGTAACTTATTGTTCGATAGATTCAAGATAACCAACGATGACGGGAAATTTAATACCCTTGATTGGTCTGATTCAAAATATTCATTGATTTTAGTGTCTGCCATTCTAAGCTCGCGTAAGTTTGTTAGATCCGAGAAGATTGTCGGAGTCAAACACTTACAAATCGGGCTTCCGTCAAGTCGTAGTGATTTTAGTGATGATGGAAGCTTATCTAATCGAGAAATGTTATTTCCCAATAACTCCAATTTCTCTAGATTCGAATAGCTTTGTAAGCCCACTCCTTCCAAGAAATTTGATGCTAAGTACAATTCCCTCAACAGGGATGGAAAAATATTTCTTTCGATCTTACCATGCCTTGATTTAAGGTATTCTTCCATTTCAGACAAGCAATTCTCCATGGAGGTGTCGAACGAAAGCAGTTCCACGCAATCAGGTAGCTCAAAGTTGGAAGTTCCAATGCATTTAAATGGTGCTTCCTTGAATGCCACCTGTTTTAGATTTGATGCTTCAATGACAACTTCTTCAAGAGGGGAATATTCGAATAATACTTGCAAAGTTTCTAAACTAGAAGGAAAACTGCAAATAAAGTTTTCGCCAACCCATTCACCATCAAGCTTTAAGTTTACTAAATGCTTCAAATCAAGGAAATTCACAGATTCAATTGGAAAGGTTGTTGTGAGGTACAAGCGTTGCAACGATTTGGGTAATTCAATTCCTTCCAAACAATCTACCTGAAGTGTCAACTCGGTGAGAGTTTCTGGAAATGTAACTGAAGACCAGCCATTCCCTGACATGCGGGTATTGCTGATTGATAAAACCCTTAGCGAAGGTGGGAGTTTTAAGTTATCAGGAAGCAATTGCCCCTCTAGAAGATCGATTGTAAGTATCCTCAAAGTATCTGGGATTTTCAAAAGTTCTCCAACTGTTACTGAAACCTCATTGGGCTCATCTATTCCCAAAGGTACGTAGGAATAGAAAATGCGAAAATCTCTTAAATTGGGGTATATTTCTAAATTAGCAGGTGCTTCTGTGACTGGTCCATAATAAGCACAAAACAAGATCACCCGCTCAATTCCAAGAGGAAACCTCATCTTATCCAATTTGTTTGAGTCGTAGCCAATCTCTGCTACAAATTCTGTCAAGTTGTCCAAGTACGAGACATCCAATCTTTCGATGTGTCCTACCCGTATATTTAAGCATTGTAGTTTTGAAGGGAAACGGAGGGTCCCGACCCCAAGTGACTCGAGGTTATCGATTCTTAACTTTTTCAAGTTAGGAAACAAATGTGGTAGTTCATGCAATCCTTTTTCCCGCCCCAATTCAAGCTCTTGAAGATCTTTACCCCAACTTTTATCCGCGATCTGTGGAAGATAATCGGCGCAAAGCCCAGAGATGTTGGATAACAAGTTCACTTCGGTGAATACTTTTGGAATATCTGAAATCAGGTAAATATTATAAGGCAATTCAAGCAAGGATGATGCTCTATTTGAATCATCTCTCAATGAAACATCTACTCTTGGCAATTTTCTTAATATCTCAGGATACCTGTGATGCATCCAGAAAAGTCTGTTAAGCAGATGGAAATGAATGATATGGGGTTTGAATCTGGGGTACTTTTTGCTCAATTGAACAAACTGATTCACTGATAATTCCGTGTAAGAATCCTTAGCACTAACGAAATTCTCGTCATTAAAAAAGCTCTGGGACACTATTCCTTGTAGGCCCCTTTGACTGTCAACAAATTTAAATTGTAGTTGCCCACCCAATTTTGAAAATAAAGACCCAACATGGATATATCGATATAATTTCATTGCGATAAACTCTCCAATGAGTGGAGTGAAAAGGTTTGCTTCTAAATAGTGGTCAGGGATATAAGAAACAATGAGTTCCCCTATTTCGTCTGGGAGATAGATGATTTGTTTACCCGTCTTTTGTTTCTTCTGTGGTGGTTGGCTCATACTGTCAATAGACTTTTGATCTGTATAATAGTGTAATGGACAGAAAGATGGAAGTATTCAGATGTTAGAAGAAGAAGTTGAAGCATGCTTTCAGGTAGATTTGCTGAATATATATTGTGCTTATATTTTAAGGAGTAACTATTCATTTGTGAACCTTTGTGGGGAAGAGAGTTTGAAAACTCAAACCTTATTTCCAAAGGTGTGTGCTCCTTCCTGGAACATTTTGGTAAAGAATATTTTTCTTCGCGAAGTAATGGCGCTGATTAACTTTGCATCCTAGTGCTTCGTCTACAGCAAACCCCTTTCAATCTATAATATATTTACAAATTTGAAAAAGTAGGCGCCAATCTTGATTAGTATGGTAAAAAAAATATCCAAATTAATAAAAAAACGACAAAAAATTAACCCGTTCTATCTTGACGTATTTGCGAACCAGGTCGTCCAAACTTAGCTCAACAATCTCAAGGCTCGAAGATTTGACTGTGTCTATAATTACTTGCATATCAGCCATGTCTGGATTGCCAAGTAACCACAATTCCTGTAATTGACTACATCCCAGAAGTATTAACCGAGGCGCGACACCGGGTTGTAGCTTATTGTTCGATAGATTCAAGATAACCAACGATGACGGGAAATTTAATACCATTGATTGGTCTGATTCAAAATATTCATTGATTTTAGTGTCTGTCATTCTAAGATCGTGTAAGCTTGTTAGATCCGAGAAGATTGTCGGAGTCAAAAACTTACAAATCGGGTTGCCTTCGAGACGTAGTGATTTTAGTGATGACGGAAGCATATCTAATCGAGAAATCTTGCTTTTTCTCTAAATCCAATTTTGCTAGATTCCTATCGTTTTGCAATCCCCTTCCTTCCAAAATGCCTGATGTTATAAAACATTCTTTTAAGTGTGATTCGTTCAACCGGTTTGCGAGGATATCTCTCTCAGGAGTACTTCTAATGAATTTCTGTCCGACGAATAGTTCATAGCATTTCACGGGAACAAACGAAAGCAAGTCTCCGCAATCAGGTAGCTGGAAGCTGGAGGTTCCTATGCATTTATTGGTTCAATTGTCAGCAAGTAGAAAGAAACCATTCGTTCTCGTAACTCCAGTATGGGCAACGTGGGCATTCCAAAAACCATAAAAAGTTAGTGCCTTCTTCCTTTACATATTTTCGAACCTCTTCGTCCAACCTTAACTCGACTATTTCAGGACTAGACGATTTGATGGTGTCTATAATTACCTGAACATCTCTCATATTAGGATTTGCAGATAACCATAACTCTTGCAATTGAGTACAACCCAGAAGGATTAACCGTGGTGCAACACCGGGTCGTAACATATTGTTGAATAAATTCAAGATAACCAACGATGAAGGGAAATTTAATACCATTGATTGGTCTGATTCAAAATATTCGTTGATTTTAGTGCTTGCCATCCTAAGCTCGCGTAACTGTGTTAAATCCGAGAAGAATGTCGGAGTCGAAAAGTTGCAAATCGGGTTTCCGTTGAGACATAGCCATGTTAGTGATGATGGAAGCTTATCTAATTGATCAATACTGTTTCCCAGTAAATCCAATTTCTCTAGATTCGAATAGCGTTGCAAGCCCATTCCGTTCAATATATCTGATGTTATGAAGCATCTTTTTAAGTACAATTCCCTCAACAGCGATGGAAAAATATTTCTTTCGATCTTACCATGCCTAGATCCAAAGTATTGCGCCATTTCAGACACTTTAGGCTCCAAGCAGCCGAGGAACGAGAGCAGTTCCACGCAATCAGGTAGCTGAAAGTTGGAAGTTCTAATGCATCCAAACGGTAGATCCGTGAATTCTACCTGTTTTAAATTTGATGCTTCAATGACTAGTTTTTTGAGAAGCAGACAATCGAATAATACTTCCAAAGTTTCTAAGCTAGAAGGAAATTTGCAAATAAACTTTTTTCCAACCCAGTCACCACTAAGTTTTAAGTTAACTAAATGCTTCAAATATAGGAAATTCACTGATTCGATTGGAAAAGTTGTTCTGAGGTACAAGCTTTGCAATGATATGGGTAATTCAATTCCTTCCAAATAATTTATCTCAAGTGTTAGCTCCGTGAGAGTTTCTGGAAATATAGCTGAAGACCAGTCCATACCTGGCTCGCGACTAAAAATCACAGGGATACTACTGGTTGATAAAACCCTTAGCGAAGGTGGTAGTATTAAGTTATCAGGAAGCAAAACCCCGTTAAAAAGATTGATTGTAAGTGTCTTCAAAGTATCTGGAATTTTCAAAAGTTCTTCTAATGTTACTGAAACTACCCAAGGCTCATCTCTTCGCGAAGGCTCATAGGTATAGTCAAGACGAATATCTTTTAAATTGGGGTATATTTCTAAATTGGCAGGCTCTTCTTTTGCCGGTCCAAAGTAATTACGAAACACGGTCACTCGCTCAATTCCAAGAGGAAGTTTGATAATATCCAATATGTTCAAGTCGTCGTCAATATCTACTATAAATTCTGTCAAGTTATCTAAGTAAGTGACATCCAATTCTTCGGCGTAACCTTCTATACTTAAACATTGTAGTTTTGAGGGCAATCGCGGGGTTCTGATCCCCACTAAGTCGAGCTTACCCAATCTTAACTTTTTCAAGTTAGGAAACAAATGTGGTAGTTCATCCAATCCATTTTCCCCCCTCAATTCAAGCTCTTGAAGATCTTTACCCCAACTCTTATCAGCAATCTGTGGAAGTTGACCAGTGCAAAGCCCAGAGATACTGGATAACAATTTCACTACGGCGGATTCTTTTGGAATATCAGAAATCAGGTGAATATTATAAGGCAATTCAAGCAAGGATGACGCTCTATTTGGATCATCTCTCAATGAAACATTTATTCTTGGCAATTTTCTTAATATCTCAGGATACCTGTGATGCATCCAAAAAAGCCTGTTAAGCAGATGGAAACGAACGATGTGCGGTTTGAATCTGGGATACGTTTTGCTCGCTTGAACAAATTGATTTACTGACAATTTCTTGTAACAAGTCCTAGAACTTCCCTTATCAAATACGCCTTGTGATACTTTTACTCGATTGACAATAAATTGAAATTGCAGTTGCTCGGTAAAATTTGAAGATGGAGAGTCAATTTCGATATATCGATATAATTTCATTGCGATAAACTCTCCAATGACTGGAAGGAAAATGGTTGTCTCTAAATAATGGTCAGGGACATACAGAACAATGAGTTCCCCTATGTCATCAGGGAGATAGATGAGTTGCTTACTCGTTTTTTGTTTCTTCTGTGGTGGTTGCTGATTCATTGGTCTTATGTAGTACGATGTGCTCATCATGGATTTAAAATCAAGAAGACTGAAGTAGTTATGTCAAAAACAGCAACAGAGAAAATCAAATTGTTTAATAATATGTGGAGAAAAATGAATGTCAACATACGAAGTCGATTTTAGACTCGGAACAAACCGGTTGGTACATCAATTACAGTAGATAATATTGTGAAGAAATCATACCTTAATATTCTACTTTAGAGGATTTGAATACCAAATTCCCATATTTGATAGTTCTTTGATAGAGTCTTTTAAATCAATTATTTAAGTAGAATAAGTCTAAAACGATAAAAAATTATCCCCTTCTACCTTGACATATTTGCGAACCTCTTCGTCTAACCTTAACTCGACTATTTCAGGGCTCGCCGATTTGACCGTGTCTATAATTACCTGAACATCGGTCATGGCACGATTTCCAGATAACCATAACTCCTGTAATTGAGCACAACCCAGAAGTAGTAACCGTGGTGCAACACCGGGTTGCAACTTATTGTTCGATAGATTCAAGATGACCAACGATGACGGGAAATTTAATACCGTTGATTGGTCGGATTCAAAATATTCATTGATTTTAGTGTCTGCCATTCTAAGCTCGCGTAATTTTGTTAGATCCGAGAAGATTGTTGGAGTCAAAAACTTAGAAATCGGGTTGCCGTCGAGACGTAGTGATTTTAGTGATGATGGAAGCTTCTCTAATCGAGAAATGCTATTATACAGTAAATCCAATTTCTCTAGATTCGAATTGCTTTGTAAGCCTATTCCTTCCAATATATCTGATGTTATAAAGCATCCTTTTAAGTACAATTCCCTCAACCGGGATGGAAAAACGTTTCTTTTGATCTCGCCATGCCTAGATCTAAGGTTTTCTTCCATTTCAGAAACTTCATGTTTCTTGATGGTGAGGAACGAAAGCAGTTCCACGCAATCAGGCAACTGAAAGTTGGAAGTTCCAATGCATTTAAACGGTAGATCCTTGAATTCTATCTGTTTTAAATTTGATGCTTCAATGACTACTTTTTCGAGAGGGATGTCCTCGAATAATACTTCCAAAGATTCTAAACTGGAAGGAAATTTGCAAATAAGCTTGGCGCCAACACAGTTACCATCAAGTTTTAGGTTGGTTAAATTCTTCAAATCAAGGAATTTCACAGATTCGATTGGAAGGGTTGTTGTGAGGTACAAACGTTGCAACGATTTGGGTAATGTAATACCTTCCAAATATGCTATCTGAAGTATTAGCTCAACGAGAGTTTCTGGAAATATAACTGAAGACCAGGCATTACCTCGTCTGTCAACAAAATCCAAAGGGATATTGCTGAGTGATAAAACTGTTAGCGAATGTGGTAGGATTAAGTTGGCAGGAAGCAACAGCCCTGGTTCAAGATCGACTGAAAGTATCTTCAAAGTATCTGGAATTTTCAAAAGTTCTCCTATTGTTACGGAAACCTCCCAAGGTGAATGTATATAAGAATAGTAAATGCGAAAATCTCTTAAATTGGGGTATATTTCTAAATTAGCAGGTGCTTCTGTGACCGGTCCATAATAATCACAAAACAAGATCACCCGCTCAATTCCAAGAGGAAACTTGATCTTATCCAATATGTTTGAGCCGTAGCCAATCTCTGCTACAAATTCTGTCAAGCCGTCCAAGTACGAGACATCCAATCTTTCGATGTGTTCTACCCGTATATTTAAGCATTGTAGTTTTGAAGGGAAACGGAGGGTCCCGATCCCAAGTGAGTCGAGGCTATCGATTCTTAACTTTTTCAAGTTAGGAAATAAATGCGGTAGTTCACCCAATCCTTTTTCCCACCTCAATTCAAGCTCTTGAAGATCTTTACCCCAACTTTTATCCGCAATCTGTGGAAGATAATCGGCGCAAAGCCCAGAGATGTTGGATAACAAGTTCACTTCGGTGAATACTTTTGGAATATCTGAAATCAGGTAAATATTATAAGGCAATGCAACCAAGGATGATGCTCGATTTGAATCATCTCTCAATGAAACATCTACTCTTGGCAATTTTCTTAATATCTCAGGATACCTGTGATGCATCCAGAAAAGTCTGTTAAGCAGATGGAAATGAATGATATGGGGTTTGAATCTGGGGTACTTTTTGCTCAATTGAACAAACTGATTCACTGATAATTCCGTGTAAGAATCCTTAGCACTAACGAAATTCTCGTCATTAAAAAAGCTCTGGGACACTATTCCTTGTAGGCCCCTTTGACTGTCAACAAATTTAAATTGTAGTTGCCCACCCAATTTTGAAAATAAAGACCCAACATGGATATATCGATATAATTTCATTGCGATAAACTCTCCAATGAGTGGAGTGAAAAGGTTTGCTTCTAAATAGTGGTCAGGGATATAAGAAACAATGAGTTCCCCTATTTCATCTGGGAGATAGATGATTTGTTTACCCGTTTTTTGTTTCTTCGGTGGTGGTTGTTGATTCATTGGTGTTATCTATGTGTTCATTAGTGCTATATAATACTCTATTTAAAACCAAGAAGACTGAAGTAACTCTGTTGTGAAAAACAACAACTGAGAAATTAAGCTTTTTAATTACGCACAATTTTTCTGAGTTTGCGATCTTGTTCTCACTTGGGATAAACAACTCATCTCGACAAACCACCAACCTTCAGCAATGAAAGAGGATATACATCTCGACGATGATATACTTCTATCCCCTAAACGAAAATTCCCAACATTGGTATATCTAGCAACATGTGCTATTCAAAAACATGTCAATAAAGTCGAAGATATCGGAGACACACCGTATCATCTAGTCCAACCAATCCTATCACAAATGTCTGCTAAACAATTAAATCAAATCGAAACAGTCTCACCACAAATCGTGCCGCACTCTGATAGATTATGGCTATTGTTAATTGAGCATGATTTCCCTGATCGGAGTAGAAAATTAAATCCATTGAAGGATGGAGGGTTGGTTAAGATGCCATATAAAGAATTATATTATAAATATTTGAAGGATCGAGAAATGTTTAGACAAGATTCAACAAATCGATTACGATACATAAATGAGAGATTAAGATTAAAAAAGTCAGAGAATAAAGTCGTGGCTGTGAATGAAGTATTAAAAGATCCAACTATACGAAGAAGATCCCATGGGATGGGATTTGGTATAAATAGACTGCTGCTGCTGCTGAATGGAAGTAAAGGGGGTTCTATTTTGAATAAAGTGAGGAAAGATATGCAGAATAGGTCGATTATATTCTCAAAACCAGTTATGAAGGCATATGATCCATTTGCTGCATTTAAGGAACAGAAACCGAAGCAGCAGCTACCAATTCGTCAACCTGTTGCCTCTGTAAGAAGGACAACCTTCTTCGACTCTGCCCATGAGAGGGGACCGAATGTGTTGGCACGAAAAGAGAAGGACCCGCCTACAGTACGCAAGCCCTCGTCTCCGCCACGTATTTCTTCTCCACCTCCAGAGGTTGACATAAAAAAGAGAAAGAATGTGCCATCCATTTTCTTGCAAAGTAAACGACCGGTGCTAAAACAGCATATTCCGAGGAAGAAAGCAGACAATACTCAAAAGAATGAATCTCACGAAGATCAAACCACAACGATAAAACCTACAAAGTCATCCATATTCAGTTGACTTGGATAAACCGATCTGTAGTATACAGTGTATTTATTAACGACTTAATGACATAACGACAACCCCATTTACTTTTCATTAGTATCTATTTTTCTCTTCTTCAATAGTCTTCCACTGGAGCTATCACTCAACTTCTTCTTATAACCACTTCCATCTTGTTTTTTGTTTGGATTCTCGTGTACATTATCCAACAAACTACTTTCTTCATTACCAACACTTATAGTCTGTTTATAAGACTTTACCCTCAATCTACCATTAACCAACACTCTCTCTGGATTCACACTTATACAACTCTTTGCTCTACTTCTATCCAAACCCAATGTTTTCAACAACACCAAAATATCATTCGAATTCCGGATTTGTAAAGGTTGGGTCGCACCACTAGAGACCACAATCCCTCTAGATCTAGTCGCCCTTACCAATTGTAATACATTACTGAAAAAATTCTTCTTGATAAGATTTACATTTGTCTCATTACCAACATTTGCATATCCAATTGAACCTGACACTAATGAACTATAACAAATTTCAAATTTTATACCCTTTTCAATCCCACTGCCAATGATTTTATGTTTTAAAAAGAATGGTAATCGACTAGCTAAATTCAAACTAATTAAATCAATATCCAAATTCGTGATTGTTAATTGTAGGGCTTTTTCATTCAATGGTTGAATAGCGATCAAATCGAAATGATTTTGTAATTTGGTTAAACCGGTTAATTTTGAAGAATCATTGATTATTAAAGTTAATCGAGTGAATAATTTGAGGTTTTTGAATTGTGGACTGAGTTCTGCTGTAAGGTAGGTTATATCTATTGGGTTTATATCTTGAGGCTGGTTGAGAGGGATTTTCACTGTTTCGAGAATTGAAAAATTTATGACTTGATGAGTTATACCGAGTGAATAACTGGTGATAATTGTATTTTTTAGGTTGGTTAGTTGTTGTGGTGTGGGTTTCTGGTTGTAGTTATCTACAGGCCATGGTATGTTCAAGTCGTACAGCATGATATTTGGGGAGTTGGGGGCAAAACTTGCTTATTAATCAACTCTTGTAGGTCATCGCATTGCCGAACTGTGTAATATTTTTTTGGACTGTACAGTACGGGACCCAGTGGAGATGGATGCTACTGGAAGGAATTTAGGTCGACAGTAAGGGGGAAAAAAAGATTAAACTTGCAACTATCGCCACCGCCACTGACACTCCAGATTTACACCCAACCAACTACCATAAATATAAATACCCATTGGAAATACACTTTCTTGTTTCATTTCAATCCATACTGATTCCTTTTCCAGTTCCAAACACTACTTCATAGATATAAATAAATAATTAGCCAACCTACAAACCATGTCGTCAGTAACTAATCTCTTTATTGATAAATCAAAAGCACCAACAAAAGATCAAGGTATAATAGACATAGGGAAAAACTGTTCCTATTGTAACCAACTAGATTTCCTTCCCTTTGTATGTGAATTCTGTAAAGAAACTTTCTGTTCTCAACATAGAAAAATAGATCAACATGACTGCATAAACAAACATAAATTCGATCAACCACCCTCAAGTTCAAGATCTGCCAGTCCATATCCTCCAGTTTCATCCAAAACCTTATTTCCTGATCGTGAGGCGGATAAGAAGAAGATTGATGAGAAGTTGGCCAAAAGTCAGATAAGGCCCACTAATATTGTGGAAAAGCTGTTTAGAGTAGGTGATGTAGCTGGTAATAATGCATTTAAGAAGTTTCAAAAGTTTTTATCATTGCATAAATCAAAAGATAAATCAGGTAGAACGATATCTAAGTTATTCGGTAAAAGCAGTTCTAGTAGCTCTAGCAATACAGCTACGGCGATTGCAAAGAGTAAATATGCTGATTTGGCATTACTTAAGAAACTGGCAAGGGGTGATAGTAAGATTGGAGTTGCTGATAAGTTATATATTTGGTGTCTATATATTAAGAATCCCGAAGATAAGTCTATAAATATTGAAAAGGATCGTAAACCATTGTACATATCCAAGAATTGGGTAGTTGGAAGATCTTTAGATTCAATTGCTGATAATTTACATATTCAAAATATAAATAATTCAACATCTGAAGCTAACGAGAAATTGAATATTTTTAAATTGGATGATAAAGATGAACCTAAACTTATACCAACTTCAATTAAATCTTCCGCTGCATTTGCTAATGGAGATACATTATATTTAGTTAGAGGTACCATTTAGAAACACTTTTTTAGTTCAATAAACATTGGGTGTCATTTCGTAATCAACCCAATTCATTAAACAGTTTTCTTTATTCAAATGCTCCCAAAGACTAAACTTCCCAATTTCACAATTTTGACTAGTTGGAGTATTTGGACAATTAAAATATGGATCATGAAAGTATCCAATATCTCTAAACCAATGAATTTTCTTTTTGTCTGCAAATAAACTTACACCTATTGAATGGACTGGGGCATCTCCCCATCTTTCGTAATAAAATTTCCCTGTAGAATCTAAATATTTGAACCAATTATTATATGCATCACCTCTAAAGAAATCCATATCTGCAATTTCGAAATTTGACCAAAAGTGACAAGTTGAGTAACCTCCAGCTACTTTATTCTTTTGGGGATTTTGTAGGTCTTCAACCAACCATTGAAATGATCCATTTGTATCTATGTATTTATAGTTATTGTCTTTGTTTAGATAATTTAATGTTTCGGGCCATAATGTCTTGATTGATTCTTCGATGTCATATAGACTTATTGTAAATCCGTAGATCTTTCCAGTGTCTTCTAAATACCTAAACACATCATAATTTATATCAGTGAAATAATTGATACCTGGTTCAATTCTCCAATAATATTTATATTTTTGAAGTTCTGGAACATTATAAATATTCCCCAGATAAAACCTACACATATTGTGATATGACTGTTTTTTAGCATAAGCAATATCATGTTTTTCCATTAGATCCATTTCATGAGTTTCACGTTTTAAATCGATATTGTCTGGTTTATCCCAAAGTTGCTTTGGAATGGTCACATATTCCACCTCTATCTCTTCCGGGATATATCTACTCATTTTTCTAATAAAATTGTCAGTGAATGGTTTATCATTTAATAAGGTGATTGGATATTTAAACTTTGAATTGAATCGATTATGAATTTGTCTAAGACTTGCTCCAATTGCGGCTGCTTCTTGATTCTTGACTAACGCCAAGAGGGTGGCATTAGCCCGTTTGTAGGTTGCAAAATTACTTGGCGGTCGCATTAATGTTGCATCTTTTGGTTCATTTATTGGTTGAGATAATAATTCTTTATAGCGCTTTGCATTTTCTAATATTATATGTTTAGGTTCGGTAGATCGTTGTTTGGGATTGGTGAATTTAAATTGTACATTATTGGGTTTGATAATATACCCTCCCAGTTCAGATAATTCATGCGACAGAAAGGGGTTAATTGAAGAAATCTGTTGTTTAAATGATCTTATTATTTGAGAATGATATTGAACACTATCAGCTGGATTTAGTAAATGTAGTATTATAACTGTCGCTATAACAATTGCTAATATGTATATTGTTCTTGTTCTTCTAATCATCATATCATAAAATTTTAATTGAGTTGCAACTATTAGCCCTTCGATCCCCTTCAAATGATGAATGTCTTCAAAGAAAGATGTAAATGAAGCATAAAAAACTAAGATATAAATTCCACCTAGCTTTTTAATTTTTTGAAAGACTTTTAGCTTTATTGGTTACGTAGGAAATCAATTATTCTAAATATTGAAAAACGTACATGGAAGTGTTATGATCAATGCTAGAGGGGCAGAGTGAAATGTTTCATGTATTATTTTTATAAATTTCATTCTATTTTAAACAATGCGACATCTGACGACATTGATTTTTTTTTTTTATTGTAACTACGGAAAATTTACAAAGTTGATTTAGCATTTTATTTTTTGAGCTTTTTTTTCCTTTTAATTGCTGTGTGAATCAAAGCCATGCTATGTTTGTGTACAGTCCACTGCCACGTTGATATAGGAGAATTAGTTTAAAACACAAAGTTGAACACTTCTATTATAATACCTATGTGTAATGGAGTCTTATCCAATCATGGATATCAATAGCTACTTTCAAAATAGAGGACATTGCAAGAAACAAAGCATGTCCATTCTTATTTTGGTTGTGGTGCTACCAATTGAGGCCTTGCTATGGAGTCAAATAAATACCTCTCTGGAGGTTTGAAATATAGCTTCAATAGGTGGGCTTTTATTCATATGGGTATTGATTAAGTGTTGAGCATCTTCATAGATTGAAGCTAACTTGTTTGAAAATTAAGTTCATCATTTTGTGTCATTTGGTTGCAAACAAAGTTATTAATTGTCAACTTGTGCACACAACGTAAAGATGTATTCTTACATCTCGACTTTCTTGTTGGGTTCTAATGCAAGAGTCCTTTATATGTTGCAGATTCTAGTGTTTTAAAATCACAATTGAAGCTCAATTTTTTTTTGGATAAGGGAAGTAATGTGGGGGAGTAGAGTAGCAGTCTTTTATTTCAGTGATTCCGAAGTTTTCATAGTGACAATTACACATATCTTAGTACTATATATATAATTTAGAAAGCTTACAATAGGAGGAGTTCAAAAACCGGAATAGTTCTTTACTTTGATAATCTAAAATAAACCTATAAAAGAACAATCAGAAATCAAATTTATCTAGTTAGCTGCATAGATTTGTTGAACAGTGTCAAAAACTGATTGCTCAATTCCCAAGAAATCAAATCCAAGAATTTCTCTAGTCTTGGTAGTATCAATATTAAATTCATTCTTGATTTGTTCAACATGTCTTACCAAATCTCCCTTTGGAACACCAGAATTTGGGAACTTCACATTGATCAAATTAGCAATGCTTTCATTTGAGAATTTCTCATTAGCTAATAAAAATCTCTGATTAATTGCCTTATCACTTTCAAATGCAAAAATATGTGCTCTTGCTACATCCCTCACATCAATAAATGTACCAACCAATTCTGGGATCTTATCTTGTGGACGCAATTTAACAACAGAATTCACAACTTCAGCAGATAAATTTAATTGAGATTTATCTTTAATATCAAAAGCTTGAGGACCAAACAGGTAAGAAGGGTTAACAAAAGAAATGTCAAAATTGGTTTTATTTTCTTTCATGAATTCCCAAGCTGCTAATTCGGCAAACTTCTTAGATCCAACATATCCAAATAATGAGTTTTCCAAGCTTTCTTCATAAGTAATTGGGTTCCAGTCAGTTTCAGTATGAACCTTCTCAAAATCAGTAGTCTTACCCCAATGGAAAACAGCCACTACTGAAGATGTAACAACCACACGTTTGATTTGAGGAGCATATTCGTGAATTGCCTTGAGAGCATTCTTAGTTCCCCTGATTGCCGGTTGTAATAATTCATTCTCAACATCATTAACGGAAAAGGAAACAGGAGAGGCAGTGTGAATGAAAACAGTAGCTTCTGGATGTCTCTTTAATGCATGATAGAATGCTCCATCTGCGCTGATATCTGGAACAACTTCATAAGAAAACTTATTGGAGTTGGTTAATTGCTTTAATGAATCACCTTTAGCAGCTGATCTGACAGTACCAACAACAGAATAACCTTTGTTGAGTAGTTGTTTGACAACATGTTGAGCAATGAAACCGTTAGCACCGGAAACGAAAACAGTAGTAGAAGACATTTTTTTATTGATGTTTGATGAGATTGAATTAATTTGAGTTGTAATTGTGATATCAAACAACGGCTCTTGAATTGAACTTCGAATTGAAGGATATTTATACTTGGAACTTGTCGTATCTGCAGCCATATTTGTAATCTTAGGAATTGCAACCGCTTTATTAATATTTTTCGGAAATCCTAAATAGGAAATTTCGGCTGTCCGAAAAATTATAAATCCAACAAAAGAAAAGGAATTATGCCATCCGGAGATTGTCAGCTGGCATTAATTCCGGGTTGCAAAAGATCATAGGAGTAATCTCTCTTCCTAGTCAAGATGGAATTTCCTGGACTTTAGTAGCCCCTGGAACTGACTTAATAGGAGTTGCACTGTTATCTTACTGAGCAAATATTTGAAAGAGAAAAGGAAGCATAAACAGACTTGGGAAGATATTTCCCTACGACAGAGCCAAATCAAATTCATCAGGAAGGTCTCCAAGAGTTACCTATATGAACCTCAGACTATCTGTTGGTGTTTTAACCTTTTCTAGAAACTTCTCATATTGTTAGGTAGGGAATTTTGCTGGTCAAGTTGCCTGGCATTGTTCCTGAAAATCTTCCATATACCTTGGATTCACATTGGGTAGCAATACAAATTGGGCAAAAGGTTTCTTGTCTCGAATAGGTTTCTGCAATTGTATTATAGTACTCTCATTGATCCATATCTGTTCTGTGTGTGTTATGAACATGATTTGTAAAACAATAGTAAATTCACATAGCTTATTTTGGTCACCTGGGGAGGGGGGGGAGAGATTTATGTCACTTTATTGATAGGAACCCATCAGTTGGAGATTTGGAGTCATTTTCTTTTAATTGTACTTAAGGTTCTTTATCATTTGAATTGATTGCTGAAAGTATCTACAAACAATAATTCCAAATTCGCAACCACCAAAAAGCCGATCGAACCAGGAAAAAAAAATCAGAATTCTCAAATTTTTCAATAGATTAAAATCACCTCATTGAGACTCTAAAACTTATTACTGATCTTCCGCTCCTTTGATTATAACCTCCCAAATGTTCTTGAAACGGTTTGTGGCTACCAATGGGAGAAACCAATTGAGGTATTATTCGCAACTACCTGACAAAGTGTCAACATTAGCTAAATTTGATTTCCCATTGGCCACAAATACCATTCGTTCAATCAGTGCCAATCTTGAACAATACTTAAACAAGACCCAAAAGAAAGTCACTTTAAATGGACACATACATAGAAAACCAAGAATGCGGCCAACTTTAGGCTTTGGATTCATTCGTGATTCCAATGGAGATGTAATCCAAATATTAGCCAATCCAGAAACAACCAGTGAACATATCTTTGAATTAATGAACAAACTTATTGTTGAAGATTCAGTCAGTGTTACAGGATTCGTACAATTAAAGCATGCAAAGCCAGGGGATACTACCCAACAATGGGAATTGGTAATTGAAGATTTCCAAATCTTGAATAGATCCAATTTGGATGCCGCAAGGTTGGAAAAATTGAAACAATATGACCCTGCTGGATTGCCTCCTCAATTTAGATATTTACAACTTAGAACACCATATTATCAAAACGCCTTGAGAACAAGAAGTAAGGTTGCTCAATTGATACGTAATATCTTTATAGACAATCACGATTTTGTGGAAATTGAAACGCCACTCCTATTCAAATCTACTCCGGAAGGTGCTCGTGAATTCTTGGTGCCTACAAGATCTCCTAAGATGTTTTTTGCATTGCCTCAATCACCTCAACAATACAAGCAAATCTTAATGAGTTCTGGTTTTACTAGATATTTCCAAATTGCTAAATGTTTTAGAGATGAAAATTTAAAAGCAGATAGACAACTTGAATTCACACAGATAGATTTGGAGATGAGCTATATTAATAATTCTGACCAGGTCGGAATTGTGGTTGAAGATCTTATTCATAATATCTGGAATAAAATTGGGAAAAAACCGACTTATAGAATGAATTCGGATAATTATTTGGAAAAGGTTGAATTTAGTGGAAGTGCTCCAACTGAATTACAGTTTGCTAAATTGGATTATATCACAGCGTTAACTAAATACGGTATTGATAAACCAGATTTAAGATCCAACCTATCACTTGTTGACCTTAGTGAACATTTCATGTCCCGTGAAAACTCGGACTTTCCTGTAGTTGAAGCCTGTGTGTTGAAACAAGCATTTGACCCAAAAACTCTGAAGAAATATGCCCTTCCACAAGCATTCAAAGATGAAAACAGTTATTCTAGAAGGAAGCCTTATATATGGACCATTAAGAATAATTTTGAGACTACCACATGGTTTAAAAAATTAATGGAAACTGGAACATTAACTCCCACTGAAAATTTCAATGAACAAAACTTAAACGAGTTATTGAATTTACAACCAGGTGATATCTTGGCTATTTCAACTAGGTCCGTATTTCCCTACGAGAATCCTACTCCATTAGGAAAATTCAGACAATTAGCAATTCAAGAATTCCCTAATAAATGGCACCGTCCAATCATCTCACAAGACGGGAGCTTAATCGAAAATTACAATTTTGATGATGTTGTGGTCGGATCATGGGTAGTCAATTTCCCATTATTTAATCCAGTTGACATAACAGAACTGCAAGAGGACAAATATCCAAAATATGACTATACGAAATATGAATCCACACATCACCCATTCACAATGGCAAAAATTGAAGACTATGATTTGTTAGCTACTGATCCATTAAAGGTCAGAGGTGAACATTATGACCTAGTCATTAATGGAGTTGAAGTTGGAGGCGGGTCTAGAAGAATTCATGATTCTGCGTTACAACAATACATATTTGAAGAAATTTTGAAGATTAAAAACTTCCAACATTTGTTTGGTCATTTGTTGAAAGCTTTGAGTATGGGATGTCCACCACATGCTGGTTTGGCATTGGGATTCGATAGATTATGTGCTATGTTGATTGGTTCTTCGAGTATCAGAGATGTGATAGCATTCCCAAAGAACATGTCTGGAGGTGATCCTGTCGTGGAAAGTCCTACAGATGTCGACCCCAAGACACTACTGGAGTACTACATAGCAACAAAAGAATAAACTTGTAAATACTACTTTAATACCTTTTATCTTGTATATTTATAAATATAGATAATCTAATGTACACTAAAAATTAACGCTTTAACGTCTACGTCCTCTAAGTTTTTGTTTCTTTTCATGGGCTGGTCCATCTTCACTTTCTTCCAATTTACGTTTGAGATATCCACTTTCAGCCTTTAATGCTTGTTCTTCCTTTCTTCTCTTTTCTTCTGCCAATCTTTCCATCTTTAATTCAATAGGTTTCTTGGCTCTCTTAGTATCACCACCTTCTTCACCAGTCTCACCAAAGTATTCTTGTTCTTGTTGTTTCACTAATGCTTTCCAATCATATTTCTTTCTCATAAATAATTCCATTCCCCAATTCTTCCAAACTAATCTACCATATGTACTTTCTTTAACCTTATGAGAATCGCTAGCCAACTCGGAAGCAATTCTATCCTTGTACATTGGAAGCAAAACTGTAAAATTCCATAAATGATCAACAATATGTGATCCATAAGAATTACATGACAATCCAACAATTTGTCCTTGGAAAATATTTAATAATCTCTTTCTGAGAATCATTACTGGTTTTGGTTCACCTTCAGAAGCAGGAATTACAATTAATGCCTTTTCAACTACATGAGAAAATACACCATGGAAACACATTTGTATAAATCGTTCAACTGGTAACGCCATAAAATTTAACCAAGAACATATAACAAACTTATAATCATATTCCATTAATTTCTCCAAGAATAACGATCTCTTTCTTTCTTCTGCGGTAGGCCAGTCACCTCTAGTATTACCTAATGTAGACCCTGTCAATTGTAAGACATTCTCAATAAATTCAGCAGAAGTGTTGAGTTGAGGTTCTTCGATGTTGTAATTTGGTGCAAATTTGATAAATAATTGACTAATGATTTCATCACGTCTATAATTCCCACGAATGATTGAAGCATCAATTAATTTCTGAGCCAAATCTAAATTTTGGTTCTCTGAAATAGAGATCAAACTAGATAATTCAGGAATGATATTATCAAGAATAAATTCAACTTCAACTGGTTTTAATTTAAATAACAATGCTTGAATGATGTATACACCAGTAGTTGATCTTTTAGCCAATTTGAAAATACGATCCTTCATGTATAATTTATATAATCTTTCGATATATTTCGGACGAGCACCATCATTCTTAATTATGGATTCTAAGAAATGAGATCCAACTGGATCGGATAATAAGTATTCAACGAATGCTTCTTCCTTTGGATTCCTATCTTCTGAATCCTTGCAGAATACAAGATGCCAGAAAGTACGTTCACGATCGACCAATCCTTCAACTTGAATTATCAATTGTAAGACTGGAGACGCAACTTTATGAATTGCCAATTCTCTTGCTCTTTGAGTTTCCAATGATTTTGAAATAGATTGACAACAATTTCTCAATTCATTTTTGAATGAAGATGGAGTTTGGAAAGCACGGTTGAAATCTTCATTATCTTTAATTTCAATCATTTTTCTTGCAATCTTTGATTTCTTGGATCTTAATGTGGAATTGGATACCGTACTGGAAGGTAATTCTTTTCCGGCAAGAATCAAAATTAAAAGTCTTAAAACATGGGAAGCATATTGGTGATCTACCATTGTCTGTAACTGAGGTTCAAATTCTTTAAGCATACTCACAAATAATTCCTCCATACTAATATTATCTTCTCCTTGTTCCTCCAGTTCATGAGCGATTTCTGCTTTTTCTTCATCAGTTAAACCTAATTCTTTCTCAATCAAAGCAGCTGCTCTAACTAATAAGGTCTCCAAAACGTGCGACGAGTATTTGTGATACGCCAAGGAAGTAAAATGGTTTGAGAATTGTTTAAATATATTCTTTAATTGTTGATCAGTTGCAAACAAGACTAATCTTTCCATCAATTTTGAACAAATCTGATTAGTGACCAATTTCAATTCTTTCCCACGAGCTTCTTCTAAAACTGAAGTTATGAATCCCTGACGTTCTTCATCGCTGTCAAAGGCATTTATGTTCAATGTAGATTCTGCTTGTTTGAAATAATCTAATTCATTAGAATCAACTAATCCAAAAAATGTATTGGGGATATTTGATGATGTAGGTGTTTCTTCTTCTATATGATTCAAAAGTATTTTGTCTTGTTCAGGATTGAATTCATCTTCTTTGGCTTTCTTCTCTGCCCTTCTTCCTCTTGGTTTAGTCTTTGCCATTTCTATAGTTTGAATCTTTACTTAAAGAAGAAAGTTTGGAAATTAGGGATGAGATGATCTTCACTAAGAAAAAAATTATTTGTATTGGGTTTATTTTTACGATGAGTGTCGCGACAATTGTTTTGTCTGGAAGTTTGGCTTTTCCAAGTGCATACAGAAGACTCCTACCGAGAGTATGACCACAAGGGAACTGGTGACTACTACAAAGTGTACTGTAATGAGTTGATTTTAAAAACTTTTATATTGATTAATAAAACTCATAGAAATAATTACAAAAAATATAACGAAGAAAGCAAAAATCTAATAACGAAAATATGGTTTTAGTTGGTGAACTATGCTAACGGTTCGAACCATCCATACCTAGTCCAACGGAAACCAAACTTTCTAGCGTCAGCTACAGCATCTCTCTTAGCTAAAACGGCATCTTCAGAACCTTGAGCTCTCTTTGCTAAAGGTTCAAACCAACCATATCTAGTCCAACGGAAACCAAACTTTCTAGCATCAGCTTCTCTCTTTGCGAGTCCTTGTGGTTCTTCTTCAACACCTTCATCTCTTTTAGCTAATGGTTCAAACCATCCGTATCTAGTCCAACGGAAACCAAAAGCTCTAGCATCAGCTTCGGCATCTCTCTTAGCTAAACCAGAATCTTCAGAACCTTGATCTTTCTTAGCTAAAGGTTCAAACCAACCATATCTGGTCCAACGGAATCCGAATTTTCTAGCATCAGCATCAGCATCTCTCTTGGCAATTTCATTGGCAGTTTCAGAGGCTACGTCCAAAGTGGTTCCATTTACGATAATAATAGCCAGTTCATCTCCATGTTTGGCAATGATTGGGTATTCATCAGCACCGAGTGGGATAATTTTGTCAATGGCTTCTTCTGGGATTTGGATATCTGTTTCTTCTTGGGTTGGAACTGGGGCACAAATAGCACTGGCAGCAAGTGTGGCTGTTACTAAGGCTAATGATAACTTCATTGTTGAACGCTTGTTTAATAGTAATGAGTGTGTTTAATGTTTCTAGCGAATGTAGGAATTAGTGTAGAGAAAAAGAAAAGAAAAGAAAAGAAATGTAATTTTAAGACATGGGAGATTTGCCTGTCTTTTATAGTTGTTTTGAATCCATTTCAGAGTAGTTGTCATGGGTATGAAGTACGTGTTGTTTCATACATCACAAGTTGTGGACTTTCGTTTTTTTGCAGTAATTAAAAGTTTTGTGTTTTGGTTGCGCACAGAATTGATTCCTTTTGCAGCCAAATGAGGAAATGTTTTTGAGTTAATTTTTAACCCATTTCAAGGGGACATTTCCGGAAGTAAGAGTAATAGGTAATGTCTTGATGTTGCATTGCATAAACTAGTTCAGTCCTGTGAGGTATTTTAAAGTAATTTGTAATAAATCTGTGCCTTTGTTTGACTATTTAGGAAATTATATCTGTTGAGGGTGCGTATAAACTCATAGGTGATTGTGTACCTCAGAACACTGTTTACAGCTTCTGAAACAATACCACATGAAATTGATTCTGGTATTCAATATAGGTGTCTGTCTAATTAGGGTTAAGAATTAACTTGTTTAGTAGTGTACATACTTGCACCATACAAAACGTCTGTATCTATTGTTCATGGAAATGTCTGTAACTATTGTCGCAAAAAAAGTAAATACGTTATATGGCAATAGAGAGAGAGGGAAAATGTGTCAGAGTTTGAATATCAGGGTTGCAGTACCAAGGAAGGATCATTCCCGAAAGTCTCGTTTCTCTTCTTGGAATAACCACCAGAAACTAAAACATACATCCCTGCGGCTTTGGAAAATTTGATACGTTCGATCAGAACTTGGCAAAAACAATCATGTTAAAAAATAAGTCAAAGGTATAGGATCCGGGACAAGTGCGAAAAAAATCAGGATCCGGGACAAAAAAAATTTTGTATGAGAAATCGATATTACATCACTAGATAATAAATGTCAAATACACCACTTTTATACCATTTTCAGGCCTCTAAACGTCATATTCTTTATAAGTAACAATCCTAATATGCGTAGACTCGTTTTTCTGTCAATAGCAAATTTAAGGGTTGAGTACCAAACAAAATAATTTTTCAGATTGGGATCCGGGACAAAAAAATTTGCCCTGTTATTTGTAAAAAAGCTCGATTTTACGTAGATAAATAACGTATGTCGAATACACCACTTTTATACAGATTTCAGGTCTTTAAACGCCATATTCTTTATATGTTGCGTCCGTAATATACGTAGACGGATTCTCTTGTCAATGGGAAGTTTAAGGGTTGAGTACTAATCAAAATTATTTTTTGATCTCTATTATTGCAAAATTTTTGCAAAAATCACTATTAACGTAAAAAAAAAAACCCCTCTTGGATAGGAAAATGAGTCTACATTTATGAATGATGCCATATATTAAGAGCATAATGTTCAAAGACCTGAAAAAACTATAAAAGTGGTGTATTTGACATTTGTTATTTTACTATGTAATATTGATTTCTCATACAAAATTTTGTTTGTCCCGGATCCTGATTTTTTTCGCACTTGTCCCGGATCCTATACCTTTGACTTAACTCAAAACTTATGAAACGTCTGAAACCTAACTATTATGATGTTAAAACTTGAGCTGAGGTACCTTTCGTCTCAAGCAGAGTTTGAAACATGTGATAGAGTTTTCGTTTTGCAACGTGGAGACACTTAGTTTCAATGTTTGCAAAAATAGCTTACAACGCCCAGAATGGTAATTTATTTGCCTATTTTAAATACAGAGTGTCCTATTGTGTAACATTTGTCTACACAAAAGATCATACGATACGTGGTAAAGGCAGCATGTATTAGAGAATGGCAGCTTTTCCCAGAAGTTGGTCTAAATATCTTCCCTTTCTTAATGGGTCTATCTCTGTCAATGTTTTCAATGACTCTTTGATATAGTCAGTTAAAATCGGTTCATTTTTTTCTCTTTGTATTAATGCCTTGATGAATATGATACTCTTCAAGCACCATATATTATCTATTCCATTATGATCCTCTTTTTCCAATTCATTAAGTTCGCTGATCTCTTCGACTTGCTGTTCTAATACCTTTAAATATGATCCAACTTCTTTATATCCTTTCATGAAGAATTCATCGGTTAATAACCAATATAAATAAGACCAAACTGAAGTATCTTCTGGACTCATATATATTCCCGTCTTAATCATATCCAAATCATGTTGCAAAATCGAAAATGAATCTTGAAAGAGTTGACATTGTTCTTGGTATTCTTCAGGAATTCCATCTGTCAAACTATGAACTAGGTCATATACTTTAGGTATTAATTTTGCTCTATTATGCCATGCTGAAAAATTGGAAAAATCTTTCTGAACTTTGGAAGTAGTATAAGCAAATTCATCTAGGTTGATCTTAAGTAATGCGATGTTTCCTTTCCCTGGTTCTGTTTTCTTAATGGCTTCTCTTTCGATATTCTCAACTACAAATCGTCTATACTGCCAACCATGAAAATTTCGTTGATCCATTTCAAGTAATTTCGAAACCACGCCAAATTCATAAGCCCAGCTCACTCGATCTATCTCTACTAATTCAAAGAGACACCAGCTTCTATGATTCCATATCCAATAGCATTTAGGATATTTCTTTAATTGACTTAGAACAAATTGTAAATCATCTGTCAATACTTGGGCATAGGTGTCAATATCGTTAACTTTCCCCTGGTCTGATTTATATAAATGAAGTAAAATTTCTCGACGATAGTTCCAGATGGTATAGAATTCAGGATTGAGGATTAACAAATTGGTAGTATCATTGAATGCATCTTGAGTATAAGTATCGTTATCACGTAGTTGTAATATATAGTTTGTTAATTGTTGATAATTGATGATTTTCTTTTCATCTTTTTGAAGTTTTAATTGTTTTGCATTTTCAGTTAAATGTTGTCTTTTAATACCGTGTTGCTATTAATTGGTTAGTCTGTCTATTCTTCTACTATTGTGGCTCTTAAGCTCATTACTTACCATTGTTGGCTTTACCTATAGAAAGAGATAATGATGGCAATTGTCAGATCAAGCGAATGTTTTTTCGGCCTCGTAGTAATTTGGTACGAATCAGATCAAAGATTGTTTACCTTTTTTACTTGCACTTCTTTCTCTTCAGTTTATTAAGAAATAGCGATAGAGATAGAAGTAAACATGACTAATGAAAGTTCTTCCAAATTGGCATTAAAAGGTTCATCCAAAATTGTAAGTGATTATTTTGAATTTGCTATAAATAGTATTTTATTTCAAAGAGGGATATATCCTGCTGAAGATTTTATTACCGTACGAAAATATGATATACCAATGTTAATGAGTAATGATGATGATGTTAAACAATATATAAACAATATTATGCTCCAAATAAAGAAATGGATTTATGGTAAAAAGATATTAAAATTGGTATTGGTTATTGTTTCGAAATCAACTCTTGAATTGGTTGAACGTTGGGAATTTAATATTGATATCTTATCAAATGATGAAGAAGAACAAGAAGGTGGTAGTGAAGGTAAAGGTAAACCTCGTGATGAAATTCAAAAGGAGATTAGAGTAATCATTAGACAAATCACATCTCTGGTTTCATATTTACCTGTTTTAAAAGATGATGACTATACGTTTAATGTATTGGTATATACAGATCCAACAACAAGTATACCAATAGAATGGTGTGATGCTGAAGGTGATGGTAAAATATTACAAGGAGAGAATGTTGATAATGTAAACTTTTCATCATTTAGTACAAATATACATCAAGTGGGAACTGCGGTAAGTTATAAAGTTGATATTTAGAAGTCTATACAGTTGACAAATAGATTATACAATCTAACTAAGCATCTTGATGGATTTCTAATTCTTTGTTGAATCTTCTTCTTTTATTACTCAACATGAATCTTGCTGCCCCCTTTGAAGAAATACTAAAATCCCATCTCAACAAGTAATCATCTGTACGGTTTAATGTTCCTGTACAACTTGTTTCATTTAAAATCTTTAAATCATTAAATTTCTCCTTTAATTCCATAAATTTGAATATTTGCTCCTTTCCAATCTGTTTATCAATCGGTGGTAAATAATTATTTAAAATAGAATGACTGTATTGATGAATATAATAATCAAGAATATAAATAATTCCTTCATTAACTAATACTTCAGGACATTTAAAATCTTTCTCACTATCTATTGAATCTAAAATCTCTGATAATCTTGTATCATCATCTTCTTCACCTAATTCATGATGGGATAATTTGATTTCTTGTGGTTTTAAATTCAATGTAATTATAATAATCGCAAGTGAAATACAATGTGGTGGAATCACCAAGCATAATGGGGTTGACATAATGTCAAAACTAATAAACCAAGCTAATATTGACATTCTATAATTTATATCCAACTGTTTACAAAATTGAGTTAATAAATTATCAACACTTGTCTTTATTGATAAATGATTAGATCCATTACTAAAATCAAATTTAATCAATTGTAATAATTTAAATTCAGTGGATAGTATAAACTTCCTCTGTACTTCAAATAAGGGTACTGGTTCATTATTCCCACTACTACCTCCTCCCCCTCCACCACCACCACTACTACTGGTACTATTACTACTACCACTTCCATTCATTATAAGTTTACCCTCATCAATATCTCGTATCTTATTAACAACATTCTGAATATCTTTTAATTTCTTAATACAATCTTCATTCTTACTAGCCAAAAATAAACTAGTAATAGCAACAATATAAGGATCTCTTTCAAAATCTTCTCCATTATTAGGCATTTCAAATTTATTAAAAAGATAATATCGTTGATAATAACTCATAGCAGTAGCCAATACTCTTAAGGGGAATTTCAATTGTTTAATAACTTGAAATAATAATTGGAAAATCTGATGCTTTGTTTGATTATATTGAAGTTTTTTGGATTCATCAATAGTTAGACTATGCATATATGATATTTCGGAATTGGTAAAGAATGGACGGGCGATTTGAGTGATGGTTGGCATTGGTTTGCCTCCATTTTCTATAACACTGGGAGTTTGTTCTTTGGAATCCATCTCGGTGAATTATTTTTGATGTGAATAAAACTTAGACTTGTAATACAAATGAAGAAGACTAATAAGGACAAAAAGGATACTTGCCTGGTTCCTCTATTCTCTCAAATACAATCTCTATTAAACAAACAAGTGCTTGTTGTGTCTGCTCACAGTTGATGGATGGATTGGTTGGAAGTGTGAAGAGAAATATATTTGATCTTCTTTACACGACCATCTGGATTTGGTAGCGAAAAAATCGATGGTGTTATATGCCGGATGGGGGATGCGAGTCATCTCAATACAATCCCAGACGATCGTATAAACGAACCACCACAGTTTTTGCCACTCAATTGTGGCTGCAATTGAATTCCAATTGATCTGAAAATTTGTTGAATTGTTCAAGAGGATATGGTAGAAGCATAGCGTAGTCAATTGGAAAGAAAACACTAGGGCATAATATCTCTACAAATAGTAAAACTAATATGAAAATGAAACAAAATTTAAATTATACTTATAATAGTTTTTATTTAACAACACTTCTTAATAATTTATTGGTAATACATGATATTCGTAAACTTAAGCAGCGAAAGATAAGGAGAAACCTAACTTGTGGACTGGTTCAGCTAATTTAAGAGCATCGAAAGAAGCACCTAAACCTAACTTAACACCTGGTCTTAAATCTTGAGTGTAAGATAAAGCAGTTAAACCAGAATCAGCAATCTTAGCCTTGATGTAAGAAGACTTGTCTAAAGCGTACTTGGTGGCAAATTCAACATTAACGTTAGAAGACTTAACGGAATCCCAAGTAGTCTTAGCACCAACTTCAACTAATGGTGAAACCTTGTGGTAGTAAGCTGCAGAGAAAACAGACAAGTTGGAAGTGGCAGTAGCAGCTAAAGAGTAGTTAGCGTTAGCGTAACCAACACCAACGGAGTACTTGTTAACCTTAGCTGAAGAGATGTCATAACCTAATTCAGCACCGGCAGTGAAACCATCATGAGCAACAACTAAATCAGCAGTAGCAACAGGACCCTTTAATAAGTCAAAGAATAATCTGGCATTGACAGCTGATTGTTGGTAGAAGAAGTTTAACTTGGCAGCTCTGGCACCGTTTGGAACAACAGAAGTGTCTAATTCACCCTTTAAACCTGGAGTTAATAATTCAGATAATTCAATCTTGGTGTTTAAAGCATTGGCATTGTTCCAACCTTGAGTCAAGGTTAAACCAGTAGCCTTGTCAGCGTATTTACCTTCAACAGAAGCAGCAATGGTGTCTTCCTTGGTGGTCTTACCCTTAACGGTGAAAGTAACACCATTTGGAGCAACTGATTTAACTTCAACAGCAGCAGTGGATAAATGGTAGAAATCCTTGTTGACTAAGTCATTGGAAGATTTGGAGAGATCGGAGTAAGCAGCTGGAGCCATTGTGAATTTATTATATGAGGGAATTGAGTTTCAAACTTAAGTTGGGGGAAGTAGCAGAAAGAGAAACAGAGAGAGAGAAAGACAGAATTTAAAATTTATAGCAAAAAAATTGTTGGAAGGCAATCGTGGGTTTACAAAGAATGATGTAAATTGGAAAATGCGGTTTAATTGGGAAATAAAATAAAAAATTGTTTTGATTTTATTTCATTTGTCAGACACTAAAATAAATTTCGTTGGGTAAATTTTAAAGCTTAAAAAAAATGTCTGTCTGTCGAACCTTTTTTGGTGACACCGTTATTTTGTACACAATCGACACCACGAAACATAAAAGTGTCTGTCCATGCATTAGATCTCTACGATTAAACACAGTTCACTCAATTGATTCTCTTGTTTTTGGTGTCTTATTTTTGGTTTCTTGAATGATTAATTGAATTGGGTTAGGGTTTGTACCGGCTGGCTATGTGCATATCGTTATATGTCTGTGGGGTTCTCTTTTCCGAGATGCTTTATTGCCCAAAAAAAGTGTCATTCACAACCAGAATCCACAGCGAAAAGAAATGGTGGTCGTGGGGTAATCCAAAAATATCGTTTGTTGTTTTTTGGTTCTATTTTAATACCTACCACGGGTTCAGCTCTATTTTAATTGGTCATAAACATCTAAGGTTTTAGTCGAATTTGACTATTAACTTTTAGTCTTTCTTAAATTGCAACAAATACAATCTTATGGAAACTAAAGAACAATTTTATAAACTGCTATATGTCTGTGATTTGGTTCAGACATCGGACTTCAAAGTTGACTGAAAATTTATCTGATCTGACAGCGTGAAGGAAGGTCAAATTTTTTTTATTTAGCACATGCAAAATAATTGACTTCGGACGATGTTACACCGATAAGTCAATCATGGTGTCAACTTGGCCAGAGCCATCTCATTCAACTTTGGTAGTATATTTTACCAAGAGCTTCAAATCTTGTTCTTCTGACTATTACCCCATATTTCGTTCCTGCACAATGATGCGGTTGCTAAAAAAGGATGCAATTGTATTTAGTCCGAGATATTTTCTCTTAGCAATTATCTGAAATCTCCGGGGTAGCTGGTGATTTTCTAGAAGGATAAAGGTATGAATTGCTTGTAGCTATCTGTATTCCTCTATTGTTACTTCGTGGTTGGGTTTTAACACGAGAATTGTGCCAATTGTCGTAAACTATGAAGTAATGTCTTGTTTTCAGTTTTTTTTAACCTTGACATTCAATACACTGGTGCTGCTACCCCTGCCCGGTTCAAACTGGGGTGGAAAACCTCCAAAACTTTCGACTACATATTGCTTCCCTCATTTCATTAATCTACTTGCTGTAAATGGAGAGCTCTAGGAAGAACCCTTATCCTTCAAGTTTTTGATTTTGTGACAAATCAATTTTTCCGCTTGTGTAACATTTTTACCCCCCGTCCGTCGTTCCTCATCACTTCCCACCGAGAAATTGATTCACCAACATTTTCATTTTATCAAGAGATTTGAAATTATCACCTGATAAATCTCCTCCGGCATATTCACATATAAAGCCTCGAATCATATTCATTAATCCTTTTCCCCTCGACCAGCAAAAGACACCATTACACTCGCTCGGAATGCACGCATTGATTTTTGTAGATAGTAATCCCTTGATAGTTAAATGTTGGCAACGACACTATCAACATCTTATGCAAATAATAAATACTCACAATTTGAAAACACATAATGCATATCAATATCTTTTCTTTAATCGCTCAATTGAAACAATGTTTGCTGATGTTCAATTTAAGGGAAGGACATCAATAGTTACCCCTACCAATTCATTATGTTATATGGGAGGAGGATTCGACAGATATTTATTACAAGGATTATTATTAGGTACGAATATTACAAATTATAAGTATCTTGAGAATATTATTCAGGATCAACAATTACGTAAACATCATGGATATTTGACACCCAATTCAATTCATAAGATTGAGTTAGAATCATTATTTGAAAATGATAAAGAATATAAATATCAAGATACTTTGGCATATAAGAATTGGAATTTGGTAGAAATCATTCAATTACCAACAATGGTAGTACCTGAACCAATTCATCAAGTAACAAATGTATTTGATTCACTTTGGAATTTATTACATGAAATCGATAAGTCACATGACCGACTTACCAATTTAATTATACCTGGTATTGGAACTGGATTTGGACATTTAGATGAATATGAACTGACTAAATTAATGATATTTACATTTTTCATATATAATTTACAATTAACAAAAAATGATAGATTAAATCAGTTAAAGAAATCTGCTTTGATCCTATTCTTTTTTAATAAAGATTATAAATTATTTAAAAATCAAAGTGATATAAATGAATTAGAAAATAATCAAATTATAACAAATTATGGTAAACAAAAAAATCTGAATTTAAAACCAAATTCAATTATGGAATTTGATGAATTATTTAAATGTGTAAATATATTCAATTAGTTTCATAAGAGAATCAAGAAAAGAGAAAAAAGAGTATAACCAGACGCGTTTTTGCGCAACCGCATCCCTTTTTTTATACATTAGATCTTAGCAATAAGTTAAGTATGACATCATCAACCAAATTAGGATATACTCTTGGATTTATTCGATGTAAAGAAAACAATAAGGTTCTTTTATTAAATAGAAATAAGGCTCCTTGGATGGGAAAATGGAATGGAGTAGGTGGTAAATTAATCCCCGGGGAATCTCCATTAGATTGTATAATTCGTGAAACAAATGAAGAAACAGGATTATTCTTAAACAATTTCCAATCTAGAGGAATTTTAACTTGGAAAGTATCAAATGATAAAGATGGAGATTTGATAGATTATGGTGGATTATATTTATATACTGTTGATATATCATTAGAACAATATGAAAATTATAGAACTCCTTTGGTATTTGATAAAGAAGGAATTTTAGATTGGAAAGATTGGGAATGGATAATTCATGAAGATAATCTTGGAATGGTTGATAATATCAAATTACTATTTAAGTATTTATTTCAAGGAAATGAAGATGATAAATATGAGGTGACTTATCACAATCACCAATTAATAAGCTTTATTGCTTTCCCTAGGATATAGAAGTGGGTGACAAACGCGTCTTCTCCACCCACATAGAAATTACTCTTTTATAGAGGTCGATAATTACTTTTAGAGCTTCGGTTATCAAGAACAAGAATACGTCTTATTTAATAATATACATGTTTGATTTTATTCTATAAACTTATGTAGTCCAAAGACGTGCAGTACCATCAGCACCAGCACTAAACAACCAAGCTTCTTTTGGATGCCAAACTAAATCCAATATACCAATTTGATTAATAATCTTATGTCCAGTCAATTTCTTTAATGGAACCAATAATGGATTAGTCATTAAATCATCATATACAGTTCCATGGAAAATATGAATATTACCATCATCAGAAGCAGATGCAAATAATGGTAATGTACCCTTATGGAATTTGATGGATCTGACTGCTTTTTCATGATATCTTAATGTTTTATATGGAGTTGCACTTAAATCTAAATCATGCCATAAGACTCTCTTATCATATGAAGAAGCTAATAAATTATCACCACGAGGATGAATATCAATAGTAGATAATAATCTAACCCCTGGCATCAATTTCTTGATTAATACTTGTGCAGCTAAATCATAGATTCTAATTTGACGTTGAGAAGCAACAAATAATTGTGGTTTAAATGGATGGAATTTTGCATCCATTATAATACCCTTTGACTTCTTGAATGGAGATTGTGATAAATGTTTAGATAATTGATGAATTAAAACAGCAGTATTCTTACTATCGGGAGATACAGTAACAAAGTAATCACCCTTTCTATGCCATGAGATCTTTTTGATGGTTTTACGACATTGAATAATGGCTGAAATTCCCATGGCTGCTTGTTCAGCATTTGGTGGGAACCATTTGGAAACTTCTTTCTTCTTTTCATTGCTTGTTGCCTTTTCTTCTTCTTCTTCATCATCTTCTTCTTCGGCATCTTCATCGTCCTCATTTGTGACTTTAAGATCTTTCCTCTTGTTTCCAAAAGTATCATAACCCCAACCAGATTCAATTCTTAATTTACCTATATTTTCGATATCAAATCCAAATACTGGTGGAACAATCAAATAAATATGTTCACCAACACAAACTGCCAAAATACCAGTATTTGAATCGGGATGCCATTCTAAACTTTCAATATGATCATCAGTATTAATTTCTTTATTTATTAATTGTGCCTTGAAAACTTGTCTACCAGTTAAAATTTCCCATACTCTTACACTACCGTCATCAGACCCAGTGGCTAACCATAACCCTTGTGGATCAATAGAAATAGTTCTGATCTTATCGGTATGTCCTTGATAAATAGTAGAACAACGGATAGGGAATGGTCTTAAATCCTTAGGAGAAGGTAATTCAGGAATCAAACTATCAGGATCAATGTTTAATTTATTATGACGAACTCTTGGGGCAAGATATAAATCCAAAGATCTTTCAAATCTTTCACGAACTGATTCTTGATATCCTGGAACTTGCCTTAATGAAGAATATTTCTGAGGTAAGAAATTTCTTTCTCTATCTTGTGGATCTTCATTTAGCCATCTTTTCTTTTCTTCTTCAGTTAATAAATATTCTTCTGGAGGATTATAACTTTCTTCATTGGTAGGTGGAGGTAATTTTGGTGCTCTTAAAGTCATAACATGATCTGGCACTTCAACTTCATCATTCCATAAATCGAAATTCTTTTGATCTTCTTCAATTTTTTGTTTAACTTGATCAGGTGGAATAATTCTACCTTCTCTAATTGCCCTAACAATCTTCATAACTCTCTTAGCTTCATGTTTAGAAGGTACGAATCTTCTCTTTGGTTCAGGTACGGCAGTTAATGGCATAACTTCAACATCCTTAGTAAACCATTCCAATAGTGGTTCATATGGATTAATATTCTCATCAGTATTTTCTTGTTGTTGAATCTTTCTAATTAATTCTAATTCTTCATCAGTTAATTTCAAAGAAGTACCAGTATTTTGATCCAATAAACCAGTCCAACCTTCAGGCAAATCAATAGATTCTAACAATTGATCTAATGCTGATCCCTTAGCAGGTCTCATGATTCTTTTACCATTGATGTCATAACCGATATGAGGCATTTCATCATAGGCTGAAAGTGGAACATTTCCAATGGTATTGAAATTTTCAGCATCACTATCATCACTATCATAAACAGGATTAATTTCCGGTTTTATAATTCTTGGTTTCCCATCTGAATAAAGAGTATGAATATCTTGTTTTTCTGGATCTTGGACAGATAATGATTTGATATTTATTCCTGATACTTCATCATCTTTTGGTTCATCGGAAAAGTCATCGGAATCGTAATCGCTTGGATCTTCTTCTTCTCCTAAAAGTTTGTTTAATTCGTCTTCAGAGTCGGCTTCCTCATCTTCGTTATCTTCAGAATCGCCTTCTACTTCTTCTTCCTCGTCTTCTTCACTGGCATCTAATAATCCATCGACTTGGAATTCTTCATCTGATTCGTCATCTTCGTCTACCTCTTCTTCAACTGGTTTTCTCTTTTTGGAACCAGCAGTTTTATCTACCTTGTTGTTCTTCTCTACAACAACAGGAGCTTTCTTATTTGTCTTAGCCATCGTTGTGTATAGTTGTATTCCTTGCTAAGAGAAAGAAATCAAGCATAATATTGAAAAAAAAAATTATAGAGAGGAAAAAAAAATCTCCATCTCATCTCTTCTCTGGAACCTTCTTGCGCACAATTATTTTTTTACTCACTCACTCACTCACTTTATCAGTATCAAGTCAAAACAGGAAGTAAGAAAGAAAGACAGAAGCAAATGAATTCAATACAAAAGATTAATCAAATCAACCAAAAAGAATTAAATTCAAACACTTCATACAAATCATCTTGGCATTATGATTATCGAGATACAAATTATTTATACATAGGAAATATACCATTTAATTTAACATCAAAAGATTTAATTATCATATTTAGTCAGTATGGAATACCAACACATATTAATTTAATTAAAGATAAAGAAACTGGTAATCATCGAGGATTTGGATTTTTAAAATATTCAAATTTTAAAAGTTGTATTTTGGCAATTGATAATTTTAATGGTATTAAATTAGGTGATAGATTTTTAAGAGTTGATCATAATTATTATAAATTACATCAAGGGGAGAATGAAGATGATTATTTGATTGATTATGAAGAAATAAAGAAACAAATTGGAGAAGATAAGAGAATTGAAAATGAGGACAACGAAAAGGAAGGGGAAATAAAATTGATTGAGGCAGGTGGTAGTGTGAATGACGATGATGAATTTAAAGATCCAATGGAAGAATTCTTGAGTAAGAAAGATAAGCCAAAAGATGATGATGATGAGTTTAGGGATCCAATGGAAGATTTCCTATCCAAGGAAAGGTCAAAAGATAGTCGTAAGGATGAACATACACATAGAAGTCATAGATCGGAGAGACACCGATCTTCTTCACATAGGCATAGGTCAGATAAAGAACATCGCTCCTCTTCACACAGGCATGGATCAGATAAAGAAAGGTCGTCCCGATCGCACAGGTACGATAAGGAAGGATCTTCTGATAGGCATAAATCAGGTAGGGAAGACAGAGAAAGAAGTCCTCGTAGATAGAATGTTACAAGTATATCACAGGTCTGGTTCAGCAACTAATAGAGCCTGTCAGTATACAACAACCACGTATGATAACATTCGGGAATCCTTATCTATCTACAGGCACATTCAGAGACTTCACCCTTCGCATCAGGTAATTGAGAACTATAGACTATCTTGACTAGTCTCCCTGTCTAATAGACTCAGAACTGAAACAAGTGAAAACACTGGTTGCAAAAAATTAACCATTTTTGGGTTAAATTACACTAACCTAGGTGTGTTGCAAAGATGGATAGTAATCTCAGTGTGCACTGCCTTGTACTACGAACTCTTGTCATATCAACCCCGTCAAATAGCTTTCCGTCATTAACTTATATTTATTGTTTAGATATACATACTTCGTCGATATACACATACTCTCCCAAGGTCATATATTCCTAACCATACTTATACCGTATATATTAATGCATTAAAATGTCATAATTAATAATCCTTTTAAACATTCTTCTTCGTCTTATTAACAGAATGATCAAAATAGTAATTTATAAACTTTTCTTTGGAATCTAAATTCAAATCTTGATTAATTAAACTAAGTGAATTCAATTCATAAGAACATCTAATTTCAGTTAAATCAAAATTATAATATTTATAAATTTTGAATCTAATTAAGCTATTTTTTGATAAATTTGTTAATAATTGAAATAAATATTGAAATTTTCCAATATAGCCAATTGGTAATGTAAAATAATTTGGTATAATTTTCAAAATTAATGATTTAATTTTAAAATTTTCATCAAATTTATATCTTGAATTCAATTTTATAAATGGTAATACTGATTTATTATTAGATGGAGTACCTTCTAATAATAAAAACACAATTTTATCCTTTAGGGTTGATAAATCTTCAACTAATGGTTGTTTCCCAATGTCATAAGTAAAACAATGATTAAATAATGATCTTGGAGTATGTTGATACAAGTCCCCCTTCTTATCCGGCACCAATATAACAATCTTAGAGTAATTGCTCAACATAGCAAAGAAATAACCATCAAGTGGACTTATATAATTAGCAACAATTATATCATTTGGATGAGGTTTAAAACTGTTCAATTTATCCGTTTGAGATTTCTTAACTCCATCCACGGAAAAATCAATTCGATTAAATCCAAATAAGAATCTAATGATGAATTTCAATAATATTGGAAGTCCTAAGATTGAATATAATAAGGATATAAGTAAAAAGAATGGGAATTTGAGGACAAATATTGGTGATTTAAGAATTATTTTTGTCCATTTTTTGATTGGAGATTTTTCTTGTACTAATGGGAATTGATTTGGCATGAATGGGGATATCCCAGTTGCTTTATCTCTCCAAGATGAGAACTTTTCCATGTTTATTTGTATTGATCTTGCTAATGGTATTGATGAGGTGAGTTGAGTTTATGGTTGGATTTTTTTTCAGTATCTCGTCCGTACCAGGCACTCGCACGACGGTGGGAGAAAATTCCATTTGGGAATATATTTTACTACGGAACCGCACCCAGTCTACACAATATTTTTCCAATAGAAAATGTTAATTCCATTAAACTACCATTTATATATAACAAAAAAAGAACTATAATAATAATATAATATACACTCTGACCCTAAAAGTAGAATCATTTAATAATTAAAGAAATAAAAGACATTCAAATAAAATACAGTTTTTGATCCTCCCAAAATGTTTTAAAAATACAAATAAAGCAAAATTATTGAATTTATAATTCTTGAGAAGCCTTACCTGCCTTTGGTTTCTTAGCTGGTAATAAGGATTGGTGAATGTTTGGTAAGACACCACCTTGAGCAATGGTAACATGACCTAATAATTTGTTTAATTCTTCATCATTTCTAATGGCTAATTGTAAATGTCTTGGAATAATTCTGGATTTCTTGTTATCTCTAGCAGCATTACCGGCTAATTCTAAGATTTCAGCAGCTAAATATTCTAAAACAGAAGTTAAGTAGACTGGAGCACCAGAACCAATTCTTTGAGCGTAGTTACCTTTTCTTAATAATCTATGAACTCTACCAACTGGGAAAGTTAAACCTGCTTTAGCAGATCTTGAAGTTGAAGCTTTTTCGGAAGAACCGGCTTTACCTTTACCACCAGACATTGTTAATTTAATATAATTTTATAAAATATAGATTTATTGATAAGCAAGAAGAAGAAGAAAGAAAGAAAGAAAGAAATTTTTTAAGTTTATGTTTTTATGGAATTCCTTGATGTATTTATAAAATTGATTGCGGGTAAAAAATACAATCTCTCTCCCTCACTCCACACAATAATCTGTAAGGAAAGAATTCACAGAGAGAGAGGCAAAAGCGAGGATTTGTTTTGATTTCGCAGTCACGCGCGAAAAAAAAATAATATCCCTTGATTTTGTGCGAAGATCTTCTGTACTGAAATTTACTGCGTCATTCTCAAATTAACTTCGAGAGGAGATCATTCCAAGTTTTACTCACTTCCGGGTGTAATTTATAGTCTGACGTGTTCCTTGATCAAAACAATAGAGATATTTGCAACCATACTGGCAACTAGAATCTCTAATCTATGTGAAGCTGGGTTAATAAAAGACTTCTATCATCAATTGGGTGCCTTTCAAAGTAACAGGAGAGAGATGTAGCCTAGTGTAGGAATTCAATTGAGTATCGTAATCTGATTCAGATTAAGATTGCTATTTGAATATTTAAGTTTTGAATGAAGATGAGCCTGAGGTTAGAGAGAGAAGTGCTCGGCGAGTGGAACGGGAGAGAGACAGAGAGAAGAAAAATCATAACAAAAAAAAATCGCCACTCTCCTGCAAGAGAGGGAAGAGAAAAAAACAAAACAAACGTACTGCGAGAACTAGAACTGGAGAGAGGGAGAAAGAAAAAATTAGATCATATCAAAACGGTGAGCGCGAATCTCTCTCTCTTACCAAACCACAACAGAAAAGTATGCTTCCCCCTTTTTTCGCATTTGAGAGAAATATAAATAAATCAAAGAATCCACTTACGATTAAGTCAAACAAATTTTTTCTGTTCTTCTTTCTTTCTTCTTTTTACTTTCCTTATACAAATATCTATATATATTTTACTATTTTAATAATTAACAATGGCCCCACCTAAAGCTGAAAAGAAACCTGCTTCCAAAGCTCCTGCTGAAAAGAAACCAGCTGCTAAAAAGACTGCTTCTACTGAAGGTGCTAAAAAGAGAACTAAAGCTAGAAAGGAAACTTATTCTTCATACATCTACAAGGTTTTAAAACAAACCCATCCAGATACTGGTATTTCACAAAAGGCTATGTCCATTATGAACTCCTTTGTTAATGATATCTTTGAAAGAATTGCTTCTGAAGCTTCTAAATTAGCTGCTTATAATAAGAAATCTACTATTTCTGCTAGAGAAATCCAAACTGCTGTTAGATTAATCTTACCAGGTGAATTAGCTAAACATGCTGTTTCTGAAGGTACTAGAGCTGTTACCAAATACTCTTCTGCTTCAAACTAAATGGGATAAGGCAAACCTTAAATAATTCATTTCTTAAATATTATTATTATTATTATTATTTTCTTCATTTGTTTTATATTATATAATGTTGGTTGAAAAGTGTGTACATTAGTTTTCATTAATAAATTAAAAAAAATTATTAATTTGATGAAGGTTTACTTTGTAGAATATTGGCTATCTCTCTATATATCTCTTGCTAACAATTACATTCTATAAAATTACATGCTAAATACAGCTTATGGGGAAACGCATTTTTTTTTGCAATCATGAACGGCTACTTTTCTCCCCGGATTCTTCTTCTTCTTTAGTATCATAAAACATGATTATCAAAATACAACAAAGCAAATTAAACAAATGATGTAACCAATAAGTATGACGACCACCATATATCAATGAATAACCAATAACATATATTAAATACCATTGTAAAACATTGATATATTTTAGTTTGATTTTTGGTATTTTCTTAAAATTATTTCTCAAGACAAATACAAAAATTGGAATAATTGATAGTAAATTATGATGAGAACTAAATGGAGTCTTCCAATTAACTGCCTGATTATGGATAAATACAATGATTATAGGGACATTTATAGGAAGAATCCATAACATTAATATTAACAATGATACTTGTAAATTGAAAACTTGTTGCAAATGCCAACATTTAATCACATTTATGATTTGTACAAAACAACAAACTGTAAATACAAACTGATATGGAATGTAGATTGGTATTGCCCCAATTAAAAGAATTGTAGCAATTATTCTACGATAATTGGGGGTGGCAATTGGTTCCGCTTTTGATTTCTCTGACAATGAATCAGTACTATTATTATCAACTGATGATTTTCTAGCTTTACTTGCATGTCGTATGAAAAACCTATCAGTAACTGATCTAACAATAGTGCATATCGTCAATATCATAAAATAAGTCATAATGATAATGAAATTAGCAACTAAATACAAGACTATCCCCACGATTGAAAATTCTTCATCTAATCCCAAGTAAAACCCGTTCAATTTATAATTCGAATGTATACTCAAATTTATCTCATTAGAATCTTGAACCACAACCGGATCAAGTAAATTCAAAATCATTTGTACTCCGTGTATCTTAACCACCGGATTAAGTATAATCAAAGCCAACCCAATCAACCACCATGCCTTCTGATTAACCAAACATAATATATTAATAAACGATGGAAATTTCCCATTCACATAAAGTCTAAATTGTATCAATAAAACAAGTGCCACAATCAGGACAATCATCGAAATGATCGATATTCTATATCTCAAAACCAATAATCTCAAACTTCTTATCCAATCAATAGAAATTTCAATATCGGTAGTAGTCTCATGAGTAAGACTACTTATATCTGTCCATAATTGAATCTTCATTCCATAATTTGTTTTCAATCTATATGGAATAAATGGTGCAATTCCATGCATGCTAAGTGATAATTCTTGGGATTTATCTAAATTTATATACCATTTGGTTTCATATGGTTCATCACTATATTGACGGATAAAACTAGTGAAATGATCTCCTTCAATACTGAGTCCGTTGAGTTTTAGTTTATATACAAAGATACTATTCCAAGCTCCTGGAATATCTATTGTCACTGATAATGGTCTATCGGAAGGTAAAGATTCTGAACCACTGGAAGTAAATAGGGTGAATAGATTACCTTTAATGTTGAACTTTGTGGTTGATTCTTCATTTAATTGTGCCATTAAGAAATCTCTGTCGGTGGAGATTGGTTTTTGGACAATTAACAAGTGGTCATACTTGTTCAAAATTGTCGAATTCAATTCTAGACTATAAAACGGAGATTTATTTCCACCTAATGAGGAATCTGCAAGTGAATCAGTATCTCTAGTTGAGCAAGGAACTACCGTGGAGTCGACTGATATATCGACACATTTCATAGCATTGAATTCAGTTGTTTGTTGGTCGGTCAAATCATCCATTGCAATTGCATCCACGTATTCCTCGCCACCAAATTTGGAACAAAGTAATACTAATGGACCTTTCTCGGAATTGAAGTCAACTTTTTTTGATAATTTTTGTGATGAAATAAGGGAAAATGTTTGATTTTCTTCTTTTTCTAAGGAGAATAAATTGAATTTCCGTATAGACTGATTTTCTTTACCAATGACAATTGAATTTTCTTTTCCGATATAATTCAACTGCTGTGAATCAATTTTAAGATTAATAACATTATTATCTCCACCAGTTAATCCCACAAAATCTTGACTTGAATAATCTTCAAACCCAGTTAAGAATTGTTTCCGAAATACTTTCATTCTCTGCTGCAATGGAATTGTCTTATATGGCAGGTCATAATCCACAACTTCAAGTAAACTTTCAGCAATTCTTCTTCTTAATTGAGCACACCATACAATAGCCAAATGATCAATTGGAGACCAAACTAATGGAATCCCAGTTGTAAATGTCGTAAATCCATTAGTAGGTGGAACCAAAAAACTAAGCGTAGTATAATCTGCAGGCAATGTTGAATCCAATTCACCACCAGTTATCGAAATCAAAGAAATATTTTTCAATCTGTCATGAGCTAATTTAGCATAATCACTAGTTGAATGAGGGTCAAATCCATCAAACCAGAATCTATCAATTGCTGAATAAATCTTTAGTATATCACCATCAAAAGTCAATGGCGCAGCGGCATGAGGTGATGATAATGTAAGAATGGTATTTATAGAACCTTCAAGATAATTGGGTAAGGTAACCATTACTCTAGATACAATTCCACCCATAGAATGACCAATAATTATGACTGATTTTGCTGGATGTTCATTCTGGGAATATAAATCAATTATAAACCTAACAGCTTCATTAAGATATTCAGCTTGATCCAATATGGTTCTACCATGAAAAGCCGTGAAATCTTCATTAAAATCAGCGGTGAAAACATCCAAATTTCTAAATTTTGGATTTATATCATGATATTTTTCAAATTCTCCATGATATAAATTTGTACATTCTGAAGCAATTGATCTAACTTGTCTATAACTACCAGCATTCCCAGGGATAAATAATACCGGAATTCCATCCAATAAATCAAATCCATTCTTTTCATCTGGGATTTTATCTTTCCATTGTTCACGATATAAATATAAGGAATATTTCGATGCAAATTTAGTATGTGATTCATCAAATCCTTTTATTCGTGCATATGATGGAGACATCCATGCTTGCCTACATCCAGGTGCATCTGGACCTGTTGGTGGAAGCGTGTATAAGTAACCTGTTAGACTAAATATTAAGAATCCTAGTACTAATAGAATATACAATGTAAGACCAGTATATTTATTTGGTCGTATATTATTACGTTGAGGTAGATCCATTTTTTTGTTATTCTCTCTTTCTATTCAATTGACAAGTTGGTTGTAAAAAAAAAACTCTCTATATAAGTTTCTTAAAAGAAAGTTTGAAGAAAGCGGGATGTACTGTTGATTATTGCTTGTCTATCTATTAGGGTACTAAAGTTAAGTAAAGGTTAAGGGGGTGGCAGTGGTCATTCAACGTGATAAATCTCTTATTTTTTATACCTTTTGAATAAATAATTATTATGGGAATCTTTAGCTATTGTTCTGTAAATTTAAAGGCAGCCTTGTTTTTATGAGGGAAAAAAAAACGTTGTCTACCAATTGTCTCATTTTATCTGCGCATGGCTTAACACTAAAATTTGCAATTATAAGGGTGAAATTTTTCAACCGACCCCCACACACCGTTAAACAACAACAAGCTTCCAAATTCATCTCCAGCCAGCTCTATCCAAGGCGTAAACTCACCCTAACACACTAAATAATCAACCAATAACAACCTCCTTTGAGTTTACTCAATGGGAGCAGGTTTTTCTGTATAGTTTTTATAATTGTATAGCTTTCCTAATTGATATGAGTAAAAAAAATGCCTCATCCCCCACCCCCAAAGCAGCCACCTCGTACCAATGGTTTTTAGTGAATTTACAACCCAGCTCTGCTGGTCTGGACTCTCACACTACTTACGATGTTTCTGTCATGCACTAAACTGCCTATTAAAAGTTATTGCCATTTCTAGATAACGTTATGCCCTATATGTATCAGAGGGTCAGTATCAATTTATATATTTTAGTCTATAAATCGATACCGTTTAAAAGGGAAAAAAAAACCTAAAATGAAAATAATGGCTGTGATTAAAGGTTCCCTATTTACATAAATGTAGGTAGAGGGGTCTCTAGCCCTTGGTGACCCATTATTCAGAAATCTATTTACTTGCGTTCTTCTTTTTCTTCGTGGTCCTCGGAAGAGTCATCATCATCACTTTTCGGTTTACTTTCAATGACAACTCTTTCTGCAATTGGAGTACTATCAACTATTTTTACTTCTAGTTCCTCTTCCAACATTCCTGAGTTTTTGGCTACATCAATAAGTTTCTTTATCTCCTTGGTGGAGAATTGACTATCTAATGGGATTTTACCATGCGTTACTTCTTCAACTTCGGTCTGACTCTCCCTTGGTGATGTTGCATTCTCAGATGAGTCTGCTTTTTTGGCATTTTCATACCTTGCTAAGATATCTTTCTGTTTGTTAGTTGGAGGTGTGGGAGTTGGTTCATTTTCGTTCAAGTCGTGCTCTACTAAATTTCGCAATTTTTGTTTTGCAGCTCCGGTAACATTTGGTTCTAGGACATCGGTCCTTGGTTGCGTCATTATTTCTACTTTATTTTCATCCATGGTTGTGTAGTTTAACAAATAAGAATAACTATTAGAAAGATATAAACATGCAGTTCTGTAAAATTCGAATTTATACATAGATGAAATATATATATAGAATTGAAAAAGGTTGAAATTTTCTTTGGTTGCTATTCGCTTGCATGTTGCGCAATAATTGCGCTTAATCTTTCATTACCTCATCATGATCTTCTTTTTGTTGTTGTTCTTCTTCCTCTTTCTTTTCCTTTTTGGCCAATTCTCTAATACCATTCAAAAATCCATCAATTCCTTCTCCTTTATATTCGTACTTCAAACTTTGTGCAAGCAAATAACCAGCTCCACTTCCCTCAGATAACAGTTCACTTAATTTTTGTTCTGATTGAGCATAGAATCCACTACGAATAATATCCATGATTTGAGCCTTGGTTGGATTTGATGATATAGATGAAGGAAGATATTCACTATATAAACTCTTCAATTCATCAAGAGACAATTTATCAAGATGAGAATCAATAAGCAGTAAATCTAAAACTGAAGAAATTGTACTAATTGGTAATTTTATTTCGGGTTTTGGTACATTAGTGGGAGCTACACTTAACAAAGTTAGTATTATCCCGTATACCCTGATCGCTTTTCTTCTACAATTATTCTGATATGTCTATATTCCATTGCAAAGCCGATGCATTAAATTTTTTTAAGAATTAAAAGTACAAAAAAAGCGTTCTCTTTCTATTATATAATTACTTACGCTTGAGAAGCATCTTCAATTCTAACATCTGTATCATCAGTTGGAGTTTCTTCTTCTTCTTCCTCATCTTCTTCCTCTTCATTTGGAGTTATGATTTCTTTAATATCCTGAATTATCTTTTTATCTTTTTCAGTTAATTTATCCAATTGATCAATATCACCTACATCTTGAATCCAATATAAATATTTAGCACCAGAACTTGAAAATGTAAATGCAATGACTCTACCAGTTTTACATGATTCTATATGTTTTACAGTTACATCACCAGGTATAAATAACAATTCGTCTCTTTCTATATTTCCAGGAGTAGCTTGAGTTGAATCTTGTTTAGCAGTCCACGTGAAGTCTAAGAAATCTGGTTCATCTGCACTTGGTTTAATTGAAATTACTCCTCTATGTGCTAATGGCAAACAACGATTAGTTTCTTCATCATATTGGACTTTTCCAGCATGAAATTTTATTGATTTGGATGCAGCCATTGTAAATATTTATGTTTTATATAATGTTTGTCAGATGTCAATTGGGATGGATATTAGATAGGGAAGGTTGATGTGTTAGATTTGTTGATTGACACTGTTCTGAAGAAGATTGCCACCACCTCCACCAAAGAGCTTGAAAAAAAATTGACAATCTGGAAATCTCTTTTTTTTGTAGTAGTACACGACCACTCTTTTTCTCCATTGTCAAATTTATTAAAACCGAAAAAACGGGTATGAGAGAAAACCTAGACATCACCTTTTTCTTCAATTGAAGACTACGTTGAATATCTTAGACTGTAAGACTAATAGAAAGTAATAAATAAACTTAAACGATGTCATTTCCACCTGAAGATGTTTCAAAAATAGTACAAGAAATTGCAGAAATATTAAGATCAAGAAATCAAACATTAGCAATATCAGAAGCAGCATGTGGAGGTTTAATCTCAGCATATATAGTGTCAGTTCCAGGTGCAAGTAATTTCTATATTGGTGGGAAATTGGTCTATTCCTTGAAGCAACGATTGAAATTATCAGGATGGTCAGAAGAAGAAATTTCAAATTATATGGGACCTTCACAACAGGTCGCATTAAAATTGGCAAGAACGGCGAAATATGAATTGGGTTCTACGTATGTGTTATCAGAAACTGGATATGCTGGACCTTCCAATGATTTACATATACTGAATGGTGATGATGATAAGGAAGATACTAAGGGAAAGACAGAATCTGATGATAAGAGTCAGTCAGTAGGAACTGTATATATTGGATTATCAGGTCCAGATGGAGAAGTCTCAACTTGGAAGAATACTGGATCTGTTGATAGATCTAAGAATATGACTGAATTTGCAAAGTTGGGTTTAGAGTTTTTATTGGAACAATTAAGAAAAGTTGAAGACAAGGAAGTAAAATAACAGTACTTTTTATGTAATTTTAATAAACAAGTTTCTTTACTTAATGCGATCACCCCATATATGTATATAATGTAGATATAATAGTAACAAACTCAGCATCAGTTATTTCTCTCTGTCCATTTGCATCAACCCCCTTGGCTGCAATTATTTTGCCAAAAAAAATACCAAAATTTAATGGGATTTTCTTAAAAATGAAAAATACAATAATTACAAAGGTTGTACCTTTTAAAAAGTGTAAAATGCACTATAGACCATAGAGTGATACAAAATTAACTAGTTAAATACTTTCATTTGATATTTCATTTCTCATATTACCACTTCATAGCATATTCTAGAGTATTTCCAAGTTGCGTGTACTTACCAATCACATGATTTGAATGTGACATTCACGTGATAAAAATTCGTGTCGCGGTACAATTGATTTAAATTTCCTTTGTTTTAATTTTATAATGGCTTGTAAAACATTAAAAATAAATTTATTTTTTCTTCATTCAAACATTCCGAGACGAAATCAATTTGAATTTTTCAATAATAAAGTCAGACAGCACAGACAGACAGAAAGTAAGGACCAAAAAAAAAAAAGTAGAGAGATTAAAATTCAACAACAAAAAACAACAAATCAATTTTTTTAATAAAAGAATCATCAGACCTTTTTTTGTCAGTCAGAAGTATTAAGTTAAGTTAATTTTTAATTGACAATTATTCAAAAATAACGGAAATAGAATCAATCCAATTTTTACAGTTTGTCTTAATAATTAATTGATTCATTTTATTATACCATTTTCAAAAAAACTGAAATTGCCTTAAAAGTTTAACGTTTCAAATTATCGCCAGCCGCTTATAAATTAACAAGAAGAAAGAGAAAATAGCAAACGATGACTTCCTTTGAACAACCAGCACAATCTCCAATCTCACTCGCAAATCCAGAAATCAAGATTGTCAAGAAAGCATTGAATGGATTTGTTGGATTTGCCAATTTACCAAAACAATGGCATAGAAAATCAGTTAGAAGAGGTTTCACTTTTAATATAATGGCCATTGGAGAAAGTGGATTAGGTAAAACAACCTTAATCAACACTCTTTTCAGTCGTGAAATACTTAATCATAAGAATGATGAACTTGACCTTGAAGAATCAGAACAAGATTTAGAAAAAGGTGCAGTTCCAGTTAAAATCAAATCAACTCAAGCTGATATTGAAGAAGATGGAGTTAGATTGAAAGTTAGTGTCATTACTGCTCCTGGATTTGGTGAGTCTATTAATAATACTGATTATTGGAAACCAATTGTGGATGAAATTAATAATAGATTTGATTCATATTTGGAAGCTGAATGTAAAATCAATAGATTACAAATTGTTGATGAAAGAATTCATGCTTTCCTTTATTTCATCGAACCAACTGGTCATTCATTAAGAGCTTTAGATATTGCTCTTATGAAATTGATTCATGAAAAAGTTAATTTGATTCCTGTGATTGCTAAAGCTGATACTTTAACCGATGAAGAAATTAATGAATTTAAACAAAGAATATTAGCCGATATTGAACATCAAGGGATTAAAATTTTCAAACCAAGAGAATATGATGATGAAGATGAAGAATCAGTTGAAAATACCAGGAGAATCATAGATAGTTTCCCATTTGCTGTTGTTGGATCCACTAAGGAAGTTCAAACTATTGATGGTAGAACTGTAAGAGGTAGACAATATCCATGGGGTGTTATTGAAGTTGATAATGAAGATCATAATGATTTTGTCAAATTACGTGAATTATTAATTAGAAACTTTTTAGAAGAATTAAAAGAAACTACAGCAAATATACTTTATGAAAATTATAGAACTGAAAAATTATCAAGAATGGGAATTGAACAAGATAATTCTGTATTTAGAGAGTTTGATCCAGCAGCTAGACAAGAAGAAGAAAGAGCTTTACATGAAGCTAAATTAGCCAAGATGGAAGCTGAAATGAAGATGGTTTTCCAACAAAAAGTTAGTGAAAAGGAGAAGAAATTGCAAAGATCTGAAGCTGATTTATTTGCCAGACATAAAGAAATGAAAGATAAATTAACTAAACAAATTAAATTATTAGAAGAGAAAAAGGCTCAATTAGAAAAACAAAAGTCTTTACCTCAAGATCCTCCTGCTGCAGCTACTCCAGTTCCAGCTAAGACTCGTAAAGGTTTCTTACGTTAAGAGTAAGTAATATTCTATGCTTCTTTTTAGTTTAATATTTAGTTCGTTTTTTATATATTCCCAAAATTGTTAGCTTTTTCAAATAGTTTTTTAATTATAATTAATTAGATACAAATCGAAAGTAAGTTATCTTGAACTCCTTATTGCTTTATAGATTTCTTCTGTTACAGCATTCTTTGAAACAAAGTCTTTTGCCAAGTTCCTTACAAATCAGGCAGTGCTGCAAAAAAAAAAGAACCTGCGGCTAGTTGCATGTTTGTTGCAAATTCTCTTCTAAAACTGACGAAACCTAATCTGATGGGGCCAAACATGTCTATTTCTACAGTTTACATGGTCTATGCTTGTCAAAGATAGCCCACTACTGGGTTTTCTTTAAGATTGCGTATGTCTAATATAATCATATCTACTCTAAGAGTTCTCTAGTCAAAGCCTCATCAAGTATACATTGCGATGGCAACAAGTAGGGGGTTCGCTCAGAAAGCTTATTTCAACAAATCTCCTAGTTCAACTTGCCAAGCGAAAGTCACATGTCCAATTAGTATTATTTTCTTGGTTGCTTATTATTATTTATTATTATCTCATCCCATTTCACCAGTTCGTGTAATAAAGATCGAAAAAAGTAGTCCATTTACGAAGTTATTTAAAGCAACCTAAATTTCTTAAGTTTGGGATTTATAAATTTCATTTATTCTCTAAGTAAGTTTGATCTCTTTCTTGAGACAATGACTTCCAATACTAAAGATCCACCCAAGAAGCATTTACAACAGGAGTTGATCAAGACTCTAAAGGTATGCAACCTCTCGTCTAATTTTTTTTTTCATTGTTGGAAGATAACACAAAGATAGTTACTAACTTGTAAGATGAATAGAGTTTGCAATTTGCCTGGTTTGTAGGAAACCTACTAGTTTTATTAAGTGGACTATTGTTCACCCTTACTTATTTCAATGTCATGGAATATACGAATTTCATATGGTATATGGTTCTATTTATAAGTGTACTTGAATCATTTGGTATTTTGATGTTTCAAACAATACAAAGAAATGGCTTTAATTTCAAAGCATTCATTAAAGATGATAATATTCATTATCTAGTATTAGGTGCATCATTGTTGTCAATTAGACCAAATGTTTTACTAACAATTATTCCATATATTTTATTTTCAAGTTTTCATGTATTAGCATACATAAATGGATATTTGTTGCCATTATTTGGGTTCAATAAATCAGTAGTATCTAAACTTATAAATGCATTCATAAATCAAAACAATACAAAATCAATTCAATTAGCCAGTGGAATTGAATTGATAACATATTTCTGGATGATTCTAAGATTGATTACTGCTAGACCAAGATCAATTTTCCCCGTGATTGTATACACCATATTCTTAAAGATAAGATATGAGGTTTCTCCATTCACAAGAGGATATGTTAGTCAAGTGGCTAACTCAGTCGAATCTTTGGTTAAGCTAATCGAAAATCCAATACTCAACAAAGTGTGGAGTCACACCAAACATGCGTTTAAAGTAATTGGCATGGTGAAACTAGTTAATGACTATACAAAGGAGGCTATCAAGACCGAATAACAAGGAGACACAACAAAAGAAAGTAAAGAGGAGGTGAAGGAGAAGAAGGAAGACAACAAAGAGGGCCCAAAAGAAGAGAAAAAGGAAGAAAAGAAAGAGGAAAAGAAAGAAGAAAAGAAGGATGAAAAGAAAGCAGAAAAAAAGGAGGAAAAACCAGAAGGGAAAGGTAAGAAGAAAAAGAAGAAGCAAACCAAGTTGTTAAAGGATGTAAGGAAGAGTATAGAGTTTATAGAAGCCCTTATTATTGCAGAGAATCATCTAGAAAAGAAAAAACTGAAGAAAGGAGAAAAGTCTCACGATAAAATGGAAGAAAAAGGAGACAAGAAGGAAGATAATAAAGCTGACGATAAGGAGAATAAGAAAGAAGCAAATCCCAAACAAGATAAACCTGAAGAGAAGAAAGAAGAAAAGAAAGAGGCGAAACCCGAAGAGAAGAAAGCAGACAAACCCGCAGAGAAAAAGGAAGAAAACAAAGAAGAAAGGTCAGAAGAGAAAAAAGAAGAAAAGAAAGAAGAAAGGTCAGAAGAGAAAAAGGAAGAAAAGAAAGAAGCCAACCCCGAAGAAAAGAAGGAAGAAAAGAAGAAAGAGAAAAAGGAGGACGGGCTGGAAACTAAGCTGAATGAAAAAACTAAGAGCGAACCAAAGAAAGAAAAGAAGTCAGAGAAATCGAATGAATCAAAAGAGGAAACGAAGGAAAAGAAAAAGAAGCAGCCACCACCTCCTAAGAAGAAAAAGTTTAGTCTCCCACCTGTAATTAAGAATCAATATCGACTGTTAAAAGAAGCAGTTATCGAGGGCCTAAATGAATTCGACTAATCCGACAAGCTCCTTCTCTTTATATCTCTTTTGTTGTGTATAAATGTACATGTTCGTGTAATTTTTTTAATGCTTATTTTTAGATAGTATATTGCTAGAGTATTGTATTAATGCATGGAATGAAATAATTTTAATTACACTTCCCATTTGGGATAAGTGGGCTCAAATTATTAAATGGTCCCCTTTTTTTTTGCAACCAAATCACGACATTTTTACGATCAAAAAATTTTAATTTCTATGGCGACATTTCTGGATCAAAAAATTTCACGATTTCTTTTTCTGTTTGATTCTAAAGATTCTAAAAACTTCCATCAGCTTCTAATCAAATTTCGCACCCAAAAAAGAAAGAAAAAAAAAATAAGTCAACGAATCTTCTCATTGGAAAATTTTCAAACGATTTAAATTGAATATAAAATTCCACTTTGTTGAAAAATTTGAAAACTTATTCTTCTTCTTCTTTTCTTTCTCTTTCTCTTTCTCTTGTCTTTAATAATCCTTATATTATTACTATAGAAAAATGTCTAAAGCCGTTGGTATTGATTTAGGTACTACCTACTCCTGTGTTGCCCACTTCGCTAACGATCGTGTTGAAATTATTGCTAACGATCAAGGTAACAGAACCACTCCATCTTTCGTTGCCTTCACTGACACTGAAAGATTAATTGGTGATGCTGCTAAGAACCAAGCCGCTATGAACCCAATTAACACCGTTTTCGATGCTAAGCGTTTAATCGGTAGAAAGTTCGAAGATGCTGAAGTTCAAGGTGATATCAAGCACTTCCCATTCAAGGTTGTTGACAAGGCTAGCAAGCCACAAATTCAAGTTGAATTCAAGGGTGAAACCAAAGTCTTCACTCCAGAAGAAATCTCTTCTATGATCTTAACCAAGATGAAGGAAACTGCTGAAGGTTACTTAGGTTCCAAGGTCACTGATGCTGTTGTTACTGTCCCAGCTTACTTCAACGATTCCCAAAGACAAGCTACCAAGGATGCTGGTTTAATTGCTGGTTTAAACGTTATGAGAATTATTAACGAACCAACTGCTGCTGCCATTGCTTACGGTTTAGACAAGAAGTCTGAAGAAGAAAAGAATGTCTTGATCTTCGATTTAGGTGGTGGTACTTTCGATGTTTCCTTATTATCTATTGAAGATGGTATTTTCGAAGTCAAGTCTACTGCTGGTGACACTCACTTGGGTGGTGAAGATTTCGATCACAGATTAGTCAACCACTTTGTTGCTGAATTCAAGAGAAAGCACAAGAAGGACTTATCCACCAACCAAAGAGCTTTAAGAAGATTAAGAACTGCTTGTGAACGTGCCAAGAGAACTTTATCATCTTCTGCTCAAACTTCTATTGAAATTGATTCCTTATTCGAAGGTATTGACTTCTACACTTCTATCACCAGAGCTAGATTCGAAGAATTATGTCAAGATTTATTCAGATCCACTTTAGACCCAGTTGAAAAGGTCTTAAGAGATGCTAAGGTTGACAAGTCTCAAGTTGATGAAATCGTCTTAGTTGGTGGTTCTACCAGAATTCCAAAGGTTCAAAAATTAGTCTCTGACTTCTTCAACGGTAAGGAACCAAACAGATCTATTAACCCAGATGAAGCTGTTGCTTACGGTGCTGCTGTCCAAGCTGCTATCTTATCTGGTGACACTTCTTCTAAGACCCAAGATTTATTATTATTAGATGTTGCTCCATTATCTTTAGGTATTGAAACTGCTGGTGGTATCATGACCAAGTTAATTCCAAGAAACTCTACTATCCCAACCAAGAAGTCCGAAACCTTCTCCACTTATGCTGATAACCAACCAGGTGTCTTGATTCAAGTTTACGAAGGTGAACGTGCCAAGACTAAGGATAACAACTTATTAGGTAAGTTCGAATTATCTGGTATTCCACCAGCTCCAAGAGGTGTTCCTCAAATTGAAGTTACCTTCGATATTGATGCTAATGGTATCTTAAACGTTTCTGCTTTAGAAAAGGGTACTGGTAAGTCTCAAAAGATTACTATTACCAACGATAAGGGTAGATTATCTAAGGAAGAAATCGAAAAGATGGTTTCTGAAGCTGAAAAGTATAAGGAAGAAGATGAAAAGGAAGCTGCTAGAATCCAAGCCAAGAACGGTTTAGAATCTTATGCTTACTCCTTAAAGACCTCTTTAGGTGATGAAGAATTCAAGTCTAAATTGGAAGCTTCTGAAGTTGAAGAAGTTACCAAGGCTGCTGATGAAACTATTGAATGGTTAGATGCCAACCAAACTGCCACCCAAGAAGAATTTGCTGACAAGCAAAAGGAATTAGAAGGTAAGGCTAACCCAATCATGGCTAAGGCTTACCAAGCTGGTGCTGCTCCAGGTGGTGCTGCCCCAGGTGGTTTCCCAGGTGCTGCTGGTGGTGCTCCAGAACCATCTAACGATGGTCCAACTGTTGAAGAAGTTGATTAAATCTAGATTTTCTTTGTTATAAGGGTTATATTATTTTGTATTAATGAAATTTAATGTTTGTTAATTTTTTGGGCTTTTTTATGTTTATTAGAATTCGATTGTATATTGTATAGACTTTAGAAATAGAAACAATTATTATTATCGAAAAAATTATTCATTTGTAGTTGAATACGGAAGAGTTCGTTTTCATATTTAACAATTCTCATAGGGATCTCGTAGCGGTACATTTCAGGTGAGCAGATCGTTATGAGCCAAAGAATACTGTTTTTTCCCCTACATTATAATACATAGGACAGAAAGAGATTTCTTTCGCCTAATTGAGCACAAGCTTAGGTATGTACTGCATGATTTCGAATCTAATGGATAAGGTCTCGATTATGGTAAAACCAAAAGCCTCTGCAAGAAAAAATTTGGTTTCTACTACAGGAAGGCACGAGCTAGGATTTCTTCTAAATATTCTAAAACTTTAACTACTAAAAGTTCGTTTCAGAGTTTCACAAAAGTCATCACATAAGTTCTTGGCTAAAGTATCGATTTGAATGACTCTTTTTACTAATCTTAGTGCATAGCCGAATTTAGAAACGCCAATCGACAGGGAACAATATAGTTTAAAAATGCAATTGAATCAAAGACATGGATACCTGGAACAGGGTAAAGACACTTTCTAAACATTCCGGGACAAACCCACTTAACTAAGAAGATAGCAACTTTACATCTAACCTTCCGATAACACATTAGCTAAAGCTGTAAACTTCAAAAGGGTAGATTAGGGCTATACGACGATATTGTTT